ATTTGCCACTTAAGTATCTACCAAATGGCCTGGAGTGTATTAAATGTTTTATATATATATATACACACACACACATATATATGGAGATATATATATATATATATATACACAAATGAGTGGACTCAAAATGGTGAGTCTTAGCAAGTAATTTACCACTATTGATCCTTTCCACTTTTTTTTTTTTAGACAGAATCTCACTCTTTGCCCCCAGGCTGGAGTGCAGTGGTGCAATCTCAGCTTATTGCAACCTTCACCTCCTGAGTTTAAGTGATTCTCATGCTTCAGCCTCCTGAGTAACTGGGATTACAGGCATGTGCCACCATGCCCAGCTAGTTTTTGTATTTTCAGCACAGATGAGGTTTCACCATGTTGGCCAGGCTGGTCTGGAACTCCTGATGTCAAGTGATCTGACCATCTTGGCCTCCCAACATGCTGGGATTACAGGTGTGAACCACCGCACCTAGCCGTCATTCTATTTCTTTCACTTCAGTTCTTCTCCTGTTTGTACATCCTCGTGGCAAGCATCAGATGAAGGGAATGGGAATGTGTGTATGTGTGTGCATGCATGGGAGTGTGTGTGTGTGTGTGTGTGTGTGTGTGTACAGAGCACCGAGGTCTTCAGAAGAAGAGTATTATGTCAAACAAAACATGTTTTTAAAATGTATTTTGTTGAAATAAAATTGAAGAGAAGAGATCCTGCACTTCTGTGTCCAGTTATCATTCATCCCTTTTTAACTCTGTCATGCCCTGAGGGGTTCAGCACTGAACAGACCCATTCTGCTGTGCAGGCTGATTTTTATTGTGTTCAGCGTGTACACAATTTATTAGCAGGAGTTATAGCCACCCAGCGATTTAAATTATACATGAAATCTAATAAAAATTTTAAAAGGTAACCAACATCCCTGCCTGTGTTGAGTTTTGGAAAGTGTGAATAATAACAAGCTTTTGGGTTTATTCTCGAACAGATCCTGGGTCTTTACCTTACCTGGTCTCCTCCACACTTCCTTCCAAAGCTTGAGATTGGCTCCAGAGGTGCCTAGGGGATCTCATTCCAGAACTTGGCAAAAAAAAAAAACCTTTATTACTGTCAGTCCAGCTCTCATTTTGAGGTGCTTAAAATATAGGGTAGTTCTCTCCCCAAGAGCACTTTCAGTAAATATAACAAAGTGCCAGTGCTTTGCGAATTGTGTTCTGTGGTCACCTCACTCGAAGTCCCTGAGATGGAGGGGTTAAAGTGATGATTTATGGGTTCTGCTTCAGATGGGTTAGATCAGAATTTCAGGGAGAAAGTTTAGGAATCAATATTGTTAATAGGCTCCCTAGGTAAATCTTCTTTATAGTAGATTTTGAGAATCACTGGTATATTTGTTAAGAACATGGGTTCTAGAATCAGGTGGAGCCAAGTTTGAATTCTTACTAGCAGATTACTTAACTTCCCTAGACCTCAACACCCAGGCATCTGAAAAATTACTTTGTAATGTGTTGGAAAGAAAAAATGAAATGTGATTATGCATGTAAAGCAGTGCTTCGCAAACTCCATGTGCATAGAAATCACCTGGGGATCTTGGTAAAATGCACATTTGGATGCAGTGGATGTGAGTTGGGGCCTGAGAGTCTTCTTGTAGCAAGCTCCCTAGTAAAGCCAATGCTGCTGGTCCTCTGTTCACACTTTGAGTAATTAGCAGGCCTTCAGTGAGTTTTTAATAATTACTAGCTCTTCCACTATTCAGCTTGGTGAGGATGGAAAGAGAGAGTACAGTGATTTTTATAAAACCTTCATCACCATTAGAATCACATGTGGTGCTTTAAAAAATGCAAATGCCAAGCCAGATGTGAGGGCACATCTGAGGTGGGAGGATCACTTAAACCCAGAAGCTCAAGACCAGGCTGGGCAACATAGCAAGACCCCATCTCTTAAAAACATTTAAATTTAAAAAATGCAGATGCCTGGACGCCTGTCTCTGAAGATGCTGATTTGGTATCTTCACAGTGGAGCCCAGGAACCTATGTTTTTAAAGTGCTACAAGTGATCCAGGATGGTGAACCAATAGATCTAAATAATAAGTATCTTCAGTGAAACTTATTTTGTAGCCACTGAGAGAGTGTCCAAATGTCCCCCTGGCACAAACTCTTATTCACCATGATGCCAGTCTAAAACACACTCTTTGAGTCATGGCCATCCAAAGAGGAGATAAAAAATTTTGGCCTTAGACCCCAGGCTGCTCTGGAGCCTCTAGCAATTCTGGGGCCAGTCTCCATTGTCCTTCTATCCTTTACTGTGCAAAGAAAGAACAGAGTATAAGAGATAAGCATCATGGGAGATCCAGCTCCATCACTTACTAGCTATGGGATCTTGGGCATGAATTTAACTTCCTGTTTCTCAGGTACCTCATCTATAAAATGGGAATGATATCAAACTCACCTACCTCATAAACACATTGTGAGAGCAAAATGAATATCCTATAACCTTGCTGCTCAAAGTGTGGTCTGTGAACCATCAGTATCCACATTGCCTGAGAGCTTGCTTGATATGCCAAACGTCAGATCCACTGAATATGAATCTGCATTTTAATAAGAGACCCTCCCCACAGTGATTCCTATGCAAAGTTTGCAAAACACTGCTTTATGGTATTAAAAAATATGAGGAAGTGTTATAAGATAAACCAGTCCTTGTTCTTTAAGGTCTCAGAGTCTCATTAAAAAGGAGCAAGCTTTACATTGCATGTGAAAAATCAGAGAGGGCTACAGAGCCCACAAAATCAAGTGCTAAACAGTGTCCATACTTTTCCAGAAAACAGAGCAATTTAACAATAGCAGCAACCACATTATTTGATCATCTTTCTAGGTCTGATTATAATCATCAGTGCTCTCCAAATGTTCTCACAATCAAGAAACAAATAAAGAATGATAATACATATACATCGAAGTGGAATTAAAGGATGTCATTGTTCAAAACCAGAGTTAATTTTTTTGGGCACAGCTTCTGAACTTCCTGGCAAATCACCTGGGCATTGGTGACAATGCAGATTCTGAGATAAGGACTGAGATTCTGCATTTCTAACAAACTCCAAGAAGATGTCCATGCTGCTAGTCCACAAATAGTACTTTGAGGAGTAAGAGTTGGGGATTCAGGCCACCCAGGGCCCACACCAGCAGCCATATTTACCAGGAATAAATATGTCAGTATACCTTAACCCATCTGTGGACAATGGATGGAAAGCACTACCCTAACTCATCCCATTTATGCTGGGACCAGAAAGTGTTGTTTCTGCACCTGAGGACATCTTTAGTGCCTGATATACAGGGAGATGAGGGAGAGACAGCTGCCTTAGTGGTGCTTATGTATAGCACCACTTAGTGGTGATATATGTCAGCCAATACTGCTGAGGAAAGAAGGGAAATAGCTGTTGGATATATGGTTCTGTAGCCCGAGAAGCCTGTCAATGTAAACTTTTCTGTTTTTCCAGAGCTGTGTAGTTGTGTTCATATGTGTCTCTCCTCAGAGCAGAACCTTGTGAATGCACAGTTTCCAGGAGCTACACGATGTTTTCCTTCTGGCACCTGCTTTACACATAGACGTTTAGCAACCGTGTCAGCTCACCCTTCCCTGAACACCCCAAGTAATTGGCTTCATGTCACTTTGCCTTGGTATAGCATTCTTACTCCCCAGATTCATGGGACTATATGTTTGATGGGGCAAGTAATGCTGTACTACTTCCTTCTACCTGAACTCATGTTATGAAACTTTATCAAGACATTTATCTCCAAGGAAAGAATATGCTTAATAAACATTACCAAGAAAGCCTGAGCAGGCTCCATATTTAAATATTCATTCCATAACTATGTTCTTTTTGAAGAAATCAAAAACTACAAGGGAAAAATGAATAATAATTTTACATTTAAAATTACCCTTCTTTTTGGCAAAAACAACAAAAATAAGATAAAAAGACAAATGTTAAACTGAAAATAAAAAAGACAATTTAAGCAAAGATTTAATACAGAAAGAACAAGTTAGTACAAGAAATGATTGCAATAAGAAAGTGGACAAAGAATATAATCTGGAATTCACATAAATTATATATATATATAAATGGTCAAGAAATATATAGAGAAAAACATTCAAATAATCCCAAAATGTAAATTAAAAGAAAATATTTGCCTATCGGATTACAAAAGATGAAAAACTATTGACAAAGTTGACAGGTTTTGTCAATACTTTTTCATCTTTAGTAATCCGATAGGCAAATATTTTGGGTTGGGCCAATGGTACTCTGTTGATAGGAACATAAATGGTCGAAGTGCCAAATATGTCTTTAATATTCATACCCTTGGTGTCAGTAATCTCACTCCTAAAAATCTATCCTAAAAACATAATTACACTAGAAGATAACTATTCATTATTTCATCCAACAGACATTTATTGAGCTCTTACAAGGCATTAGATTAGGAGTTAGGGATATTCTTTACTGGGCCAAGAACAAAATAAGCAAATGTCTCTGCCTTCAAGAAGCATTCATTATAGTCAAGGGAGACAAATGACAAAAAGTGTGTGTGTGTGGTCGGGGGCTGTGTGTGTGGGTGGGTGGGTAGGTAGTAGTGACGGTGATGGTGGTGAGAATGGTCAGAGTGAGAGAAGATGGAATATGCTGCTCCTACATATTAGGGTGATTAGAAAAGCCCTCTCTTATAAGGACACATTTGAGAAGAGACTTGAAGGAACCAGGGAAACAAGGCATAGAGATACCCATGAAGAGATGATTCCAAGTGAGGGAAGAGCAGGTGCAGAGGTGGGAGCATGTTGGTGTGTGGAAGGATCAGCAAGGAGGCCGCTGAGGCTGGAGCAGAGTGAGAGAGGGTGGAAACTGAAGCAGGGTGGGTGGGGCTGAGGGACGGTGCTCTGAGATCACGCAGGGCATTGTCACCCATAGTAAGACCAGTGAGGGTTTACTTTCAATGAGGCGGGCAGAACTGGAGAGCCGTGAGCAGAGCAGTGATGAGCTATGACTTGGATTTGTAAAGACTTACCTTTTTTTTTTTTTTTTTGAGATGGAGTTTCGCTCTTGTTACCCAGGCTGGAGTGCAATGGCGCGATCTCGGCTCACCGCAACCTCCGCCTCCTGGGTTCAGGCAATTCTCCTGCCTCAGCCTCCTGAGTAGCTGGGATTACAGGCATGCGCCACCATGCCCAGCTAATTTTTTGTATTTTTAGTAGAGACGGGGTTTCACCATGTTGACCAAAATGGTCTCGATTTGCTGACCTCGTGATCCACCCGCCTCGGCCTCCCAAAGTGCTGGGATTACAGGCTTGAGCCACTGCGCCAGGCCCTGAATTTGTAAAGACTCTCTGGCTTCTTAGTAAACAGTAAAGCCACTTGGGAAGCCACGATAATACAGGTAAGATACAATGGGGAAGAAGACAGTGGCGGTGGCTGAAAGTGTTTGAGTTCATTGCCAGGCATGGTGGCCCACACCTGTAATCCCAGCACTTTGGGAGGCTGAGGCTAGTGGATCACAAGGTCAAGAAATGGAGACCATCCTGGCCAACATGGTGAAACCGCATCTCTACTAAAAATACAAAATTTAGCTGGGTGTGGTGGTGCACGCCTGTAGTCCTAGCTACTTGGGAGGCTGAGGCAGGAGAATCACTTGAACCCAGGAAGTGGAGAGTGCAGTGAGCCGAGATTGTGTCACTGCACTCCAGCCTGGGTGACAGAGCAAGACTCCGTCTCAAAAAAAAAAAAAAAAAAAAATGGTTGAGTCCTAGATACATTTTGAAGATAGAGCCATCAGGATTTCCTCATGATACAGATGTGAGTTGTGAAAGGAAGGAGTCAAGGATGAGTCTGAGATGCAGCTGGGTAGTATTATATGTATTGAGATGGGGCTGCCCAAGGAAGAGAATTTGGGTGAGGTAGACTCAGAAAAATGAAAAGCTTTCAACGTGTCAAGTTTGAGAAGTGTCTTAGATGTCTAAGCAGAGATGTTAGGCAAGCAATTGGGCTATGAATCTGGAGTTCAGGGAAAGGTCTAGGCTGGAGATATATATGTGGTAGTAGAGGCTGGGATTTAGTTCTGAGTCCAGAAGAGATCACCTAAGGAACGAATGCAGTTAAGAAAGAGAAACGTTCTGAGAATGGAACCCCAGATTGTCCAAGATTTGGAGGTCAGGAAGATGAGAAGAAACAAGCAAAAGGGAGTGAAGAGCAGTAGCGGATAAAATAGGAGAGCCTCCTAGAGAGTGCAGTCCTGGAAGGCAAATGAAGAATTCCAACAAGTAATGATCAAAGTGTCAAGTGCTGTTCACAGGTCAAGGAAGATGAAGTTGGAGGACAGACTGAGGGCTTGATGACATGGGGGTCATGGTGACCTTGGCAAGAACTATACATGGAGGAATGTGGACAAAACCTGAGGGAGTGGGTTCAGGAGAAGCAAGAAAAGATGATGCACAGCTGGAAAGAATCAACAACTATTTCAGGTGCTCCAGGTGTCTAAGTAAATAAGAAAACAGGCTGGAGTTGGAGGTGGAGTGAAATCAAAAAGGTTTTGTTTTTGTTTTGTGGTCTGTTTTTTTTTTAGACGTCGTCTGGTTCTCTGGCCCAGGCTGGAGTACAGTGATGTGACCTCAGCTCACTGCAACCTCCAACTCCTGGGTTCAAGTGATTCTCCTGCCTCAGCCTCCTGAGTATCTGGAATTACAGGTGCCCACCACCATGCCCGGCTGATTTTTGTGTTTTTTTTTTAGTAGAGACGGGATTTCACCATGTTGGTCAGGCTGGTCTCAACTCCTGGCCTCAAGTGATTTGCTCACCTCAGCCTCCCAAAGTGCAGGGATTACAGGTGTGAGCCACCGTGCCCGGCCCAAAGAAAAATTTTCTTAAAGAGATGGGATCTATTATCTCATATTTGTTTGAAAAAGAAATAGTATGGCAGAGAGAGGAAAAATGGCAAAGGAATATCAAGGACAACTGTTTGATTAAGAGAGATAGGATGGGACTCAATAAATAAAAGAGGAGATACCTTGGAAAGAAGCAAACACAAAGAATTTATTATACAATTGTTTACAGTGGTAAAAACCTGAAAATTAATAAAAAGTTTATCAGTATGTACTGGGTAAGTAATTTAAGGGGTCTGAGTACAATAGAGCAAAACACAATCATTAAAATTGTTAGTGAAGATCCTATATTTATGTACATGGTAATACATGCACAATAAAAAGCAAAATGGAACGAAACAAAACAAAAGCCAGCATAGTCAGATCCTGACTTAAAACGATTAAAAGTGCTTTATCTACATAAGATTTGAAGATAGACTCTGCTTTCTTCTTTACGATGTTCTGCTTGCTTTCAAGCAATGTATTTAACTTTTACAAGCCTGTTCCTTCACCTGTAAAATAATGATTTGAAAAATCTGCCTCAGAAGGCTATTGTGTGGATCAAGGCAGACAATGTAGGTAAAGTGCCTAGCGCAGTGTCTGGCACTTAACAGGTACTGAATACCAGGCTGTTGCTACCTGAGTGTGCTACCCTCATATACTAACATTTCGAGAAGATGACTGTGGGGGACCCTGCTCTTACCAGTAGCAATGGTGCTGCCTTTGATTTTTCCTATTTCTGGTGATGCTGGTCTCCTCTTGTCTGATGCAGAGGAATTTGTGAGAATAGGAAAAGAAATTTGTTTTCTCACTCGCCCACAGATATTCCAAAATTTGGCTAATCCTCCCCCTAGTGGCAGACATCAAATTTTCTGTCACTTTTTTTTTCAACTGGAGTTGCAAGAAAATGCCCATGAAGGATTCAATGTGAAGTATTTGCTGCATCTCCTACTACTGGTCTTGTCACTACCATGTAAAGGCAGGACAGTGCTTACACTGGCCCACGGCTTGCTTCCTTATGTTAAGGCTTGAATGTCTATCTTAAAATGCAAACATGCGTCTAGGAGAAGTCCAGCTGGATCCTTTAGCCTGAATTAGCTAGCCTGAGGGATGAGACACAGAATAGATGAGGGTCAGGAGAGGCCAGGAGAGGCTAGCCATAAAGGTGAGTCATCAAGGAGGCCTGTGGCTATCTCAGGGGTGAGAAGCAGAAGGCACAGGTGCCAAACATGCTTCCTCTGCTCTCACAAAAAATCATAATTGTGTATCTAGGAGTCATACCTTAGGACAGAGATGGATGTCATAAAACTGGAACATAGCATTTTTTTGAGACAGGGTCTCAAAAAGTTGGAGTACAGTGGTGTGATCACAGCTCACTGTAGTCTCTACTTCCTGGGCTCCAGTGATCCTCCCATCTCAACCTCTGGAGTAATTGGGACCACAGGCACATGCCACCATACCCAGTAATTTTTTTTTTTTTTTTAGTAGAGATAAGGTTTCACTACGTTGCCCAGGCTGGTCTCAAACTCCTGAGCTCAAGTGATCTGCCTGCCTTGGCCTCCCAATGTGCTGGGATTACAGGTGAGCCACTGGGCCTGGCCTGGAACATATTGTCCTTAAAGGAAAGGAATGCAAAACTTCCTTGCCCAAAAGGTGACCCTTTTTAACATGTTAGTATGCATTTGTGCTGGCAAAAGGGCCCTAAGATTTTTGAGTCAAAAGACCAGGGATTGAGTGCTCCTCTTGTGGTTGACAAGATGAGCAATAACAAGCAAGCCATTAAGGCTTTCTGAGTGTGAGTCTTTTCATCCACAGAATGGGCATGATGGTGACAATTCTGCTGTCAGTGATGTGTTTATGATTTTGTTTGTTATTTAGGTCTTCCTGAGAATGGCATGCTGTAACGGGCGTTGAAGGTGAAAGAGGGACATTTACTGAAAAGATACACTCCTCCTTTGACCTGGGCCTAGTGGCTTGATGACATGAGAGTAAACTGTGAAGTTTAGCTCTTTAGCAAAGCTGAGGAGAGAACGTGCAGGATGCAGAGATCCCTATCAGAGAGCTTGGGGGAAATCTCAAAAGTGAAATCCCAGTAGTGAAGTCTTAGGAGCAAAGATGGGAGGAGAGAGAAAAAGAAAGTGTGGGGAGGAGGCAAGGGCAGAATAGAAGCTTGAAACTTAATAAGTATTACTGGAGATGAGATTTCAACTCACAGAAGTAGGATAAGGGCTTTATCTAACAGAGAAATGTCAACATGAACCCAAATGTGGAACCCACAGAGATGGTCTGAGAGAGATGAAACATGCTGGAGGGGCCTTCGGTAGCTCCAGAAAAGGTAGTTCTGTAATGGGTGGTGCATGACTAAAATGGTGATAAGACCATATGCAACTGACCTGACTACAAAATTGGGTCGAGTGCCATTCAATAGGCAAGTCAAGTAAAAGAGGGTACACTAGGCACACTCTTCTAGCCAAAGTTTAATCACAGCAGACAAACTAGCCAACAAATTAAAGCCCAGAAGTTTGTTTTGTTTTGTTTGTTTGCTAGATCATACTGTAATAACCAGAACACGGATCTGAAAAAGTCTATTACTTGTGAGTATACACCTTCTTTCATTTGTTCATTAGGTATTTACTGAGGACTACCTATTGTCCTAGCCCCACAGAGATGCGGTTTCCTTCAAGGTAGAAGGTGTGATTAAAGTTTAGCAGAGAAAGTTTAGGATACAGACAGATCACAGCTAGCTAAAAGAGAAACACATATAGCATAGAGCACTGTTCACACAAGAACTCAGCAAATATTTATTGAGTGATGTTTTGGCTCTGCATCCCCACCCAAATCTCAACTCGAATTGTAATCCCCCATGTCAAGGGAGGGTCCTGTAATCCCCATGTGCCAAAGGAGGGACTGGATCATGGGGGTGGTTTTCCCCAAGCTGTGCTCATGATAGTGAGTGAGTTACCACGAGATCAGATGGTTTTATAAGTGTTTGGAAGTTCCTCCTTCGTGCTTCTCTCTCTCTTCTGCCGCCAGGTAAGACTTGCCTGCTTTCCCTTCCACCATAAGTTTCCTGCGGCATCCCCAACCATGCAGAACTGTGAATCAATTAAACCTCTTTTCTCTATAAATTACCCGGTCTTGGGTATTTCTTTAGAGCAGTGCGAAAAAAGGAATAATACATTGAGTGATTGGGGTAGAGTCAAATACAGTGGGATGAGCAGAAAGGAATGGGAAGAGTATGGACTTTACTGTTAGAAATGTCTGAGTAAAAACCCCAGCTCTGTCCCTTGAGCCATGTAATACCAGGCAACTTACGGGCTCAGCAAAATGGTAGACATTAGAATTCATAAGACTACATTAGCCTTGAAAGATGGGTAGGTTTTAGATTTGTGGAACTAAAGGGAAGGGCATTTATATCTCACTACTTATCAGTGCATACTTAGCTTGATGCTCTCAGAAATCATCCTTTTCATCTAGAAGCTCACATTATAAGCCAGCAGCACAGCAGGCATGCTAGGAAGGTGCAGGCAATGCTTGGAGTCACACAACAATAATTTCACACTAATAAGAAGCAAAGATTCCCACCTACTTTGCCCATGCAAAATATTATGATTTTATACTGCGAAGTCCTGAGTTGGGAGTTATATGAACAAATGGAGTTGTCTCAAGTACTTCAGAATCCTTGCAGTAGCTTCAAGAAGAAATGTTAGGAGTTAACTGTGTTCTCCAGGAAACTCTATGTTGAAATCTCAGGCCCCAACACCTCTGCATGTGACTTTGTATGGAAATGGGATCAATGCAGATGTAATTAGTCAATGAGACTATACTAGAGTGGGCCCCTAACCCAATATGACTGGTGTCCTTAGAAAAAGGAAGATTTGGACACACACAGAGACACACGCGTGCACACACACACACACACACACACACACAGAGAATGCCATCTGAAGCTGATGGCAGAGATTGGGATGATGCATCTACAAGTCAAGGAACTACCAGAAGCTAGGAGTCTTAGAACAGATCCTTCCCTAACATCTTCAGAGGGAATATGGTCCTGCCAAGAGACACTTTAATCTCATACTTCTAGCCTCCAGAACTGTAAGACAATAAATATCTGTTGCTTAAGTCACTCAGTTTGTGGGACTTTGTTATGGCAGCCATAGCAAACTATTAAATGAAGTCTTTATGGTTTTTAAGAAAGGAGAGAGAGAATATTTGAGGTAAAAATAAGATACACTGCCCGAGGAGGGAAAAGCAAAAACACAAGGAGCCAGCTGAAGAGAACTGTTCCCAGAGATGAGTGTCTGATACCGGAGCAGATGTGTAGGTAATACTGAATGGAAGGAAGTTGATCAGACAAAATTTCCTTTGAACAATACATCATAGTGACTCTAACAGATAAGATCTGTGCATAAGAGACTGATATTGAGGGGTCCCCTATAATACAATCAGAAAACTAAGCTTGTGGTTAGGAAATATCACCAATTCACCTGTTGGTTCCAAAATGTCTGGTATAGCATAGAGTTTATTTACCTCACATAGGGCTTTGCATAGAACAGTGTTTCTCAAACTTAAATGTGTGTACAAACTGCCTACAGATCTAGTTAAAACACAGATTCTGACTCAGCAGAGTCTGCATTCCTAACAAGCTCCCAGGTGATGCCAGTTCTGCTGGTCCTTGGGCCACCCTTTGGGTAGCAAGGGTGTGGATTACAGTTGTGTTCACAGGCAAATGAAAATAATTTTGGACAAAGAGAATGCTAAGTAAACAGAACTGATTGATGTTCTTGTTCTCTATAAGCTGGATCAGTTCAACTGAGTCAGTAATAAAGAAATAGTGGTGTGGCAGCGACCCACTCTGAGTCTGGACTGGTGGCCAAATCATAGGAGAATCTTTTATAGCTATTTATATGTTTCTATGTAGGATATTTACAAATTTTCTATTTGATCTTTACAATGCAAAATTTTAAAATGTAATCTTTATAACTTCTCTGTAAGATAGGATAGATATTAATATTTCTGGTACACACTTAGCCTAATAAATATTTGGTATTTTTAACCCTATTTTATACATAGAGATTGAGCTTCAGAGGTTAACTGTTGGTCAAACAGATGTTCAAACACACATCTTCAAAACTCTTACCACCCTACCCAAGCCCCCTCCTATGTACCTTTTTGTGTTTGATATGATTTCCTTTTTATCTAGACTTCTCTGTCTCTTTAAGCATGAAACTCAAACCTTACACACTTATGTCTTAACAGGATTAGTATTTTTGTACACATCCTATTAGCAATGTGCCAAGAAAGATTTTAATTTCCCTATTCTCTCTTATTTCTTACTGTCTTTAAGCAAGTGGCTCAATTCCTTGGCTTGAGTGTCACACTCAATTCCTTGGCTTAACCCTACTCCATACCTTTAAAAAATATTTACAGCTTTTAAAAGTTTTTCTCAGCCCATCTTTCCTCCCCTGCCTGGCACTCTTAATCTCACTCCTGGTAGCAGCTCTAACTTATTCTATGAAGACACTGCCATTTGTTAAGCTCCTGTGATGTGTATGTTAGGGAGAAAGAGGGCATTTAGCAGGTGGTCAGATGGAAGTTCTTTGAGTACTCTTGTTCTTGCAGAGATCTTTTTTTCTGGCTTTTATACATAAGAATTATTGAGGGTTCCTCCCAACTTCAATGTCATTTTCTTATATTGGATGTAGATAAAGATGAAACAGTGAAATCCTTGCCATCAAAACTGTTCCAACCCTAAATGACTTTAGTTGCATTTTGAAGAGTGGCAGCATTACACAGAAACCGGTGACACCAATGTCATTACTGCTGAGGACAATTCTTCCTCTTGATCAATAGTTATTGATGTTCATTCCCAAAGGGTTAACAACACTAGAAACTAAATATACATAACTCTTTGTAGGCCTAAACTCTACAAAAAGACTGAATTAAAAATCAGACCAGTCTGGTCATAGTGGCTTAGGTCTGCAATCACAGCACTTTGGGAGGCCAAGGTGGGAGGATCACTTGAGTCCACAAGTTTGAAACCAACGTGGGTAACAAAGCAACAGCCCATCTCTACAAAAAAAAAAAAAAAAAATCAAACCCAAAACATCAATAAACACATTTAAAGAGAGTTTGGGGATTCCCCCCCCGCCCCCCATCTCTGGTAGTCTAAAATGAATGTATTAAAATAAAAGCAAAAAAAAAGATAACATTTATTGCACATGTTGTGCCAGGAATTGTTTTAAGAGCTTTAAACCTCACAAGAACCTTTTGAGTACTTTTACTACATCTCTTTAAGAGATGAGAAAACTGACTTTTAAAGAAATCCAGTAACTAGCTCAAAGTCACAGAGTTAGCCAGAAATTTAAATCCAAGTAGAAGAACTCTATATAAGATTTTTATTTTTCAGACAGAGTCCCACTCTGTTGCCCAAACTGTGCTACAGCGGCACAATCACAGCTCACTGCAGCCTTGACCTCCTGAGCTCAAACTATCCTCCCTCCTGAGTTTCCCAAGTAGCTGGGACTACAGGTGCACATCACCATACCTGGCTAATTTTAAAATATTTTTGTAGAGATTGAGTCTCCCTATGTTGCCCAGGTTGGTCTCAAATTCCTGGGCTCAAGAAATCCTCCTGCCTCAGCCTTACAAAGTGCTGGTATTATAGGTGTGAGCCACTGCGCTCAGCCAAGATCTTAAACATTATTCTATACTATCTCCCAAGACATGAGATTTGTTTGTCTATGAGAATTTAAATAAAAATCTACAGCCCTTTTTAATTTGCAAAAAATAGAAATTCCCATTCAAAAAAGCTTCAGTAAAAGGTTGAGTGGCTCCTACCAGTTTGCTGCAGAATGGGCAGGCATATTAACCTCAGGGCTGGTTAGATCCATGGACTTGACTACTGTCTGAATTCTCTCTCTGTGCTCCTTGCTGTCACACTCATTCTTTCAGACCAGCTTGTGGGGGACTACCTGGGAAAGCTCCAGGTTTACATGCTAACATAAGCCTAGAGAGGAAAATATTTGTCTCTCTTGTCTTTAGTACAAATTCCTGTGAAAGACTCCGATTGCCCCAATTAGGTCATGTACCCCTACCTCAGTTGGTCACAATGGCAATGGAGATAAGAACTGCGATTTGTCCAGTCTGGGTCACATGCCAACCCCTGTAGCTTAGAGGTCTGGGTCTGTACCAGAAGAGAGAAAGGTGCTGGACAGAAAAAAATAAAATAACTGCTAAGCTACCTAGTATGTGTATACCCCTCTAGAGTTTACACAGTGCTCTCATGATTCATGCTTTTGAGTCTCACAACCACCATGTAGAGAAGGCAGATAAAGTATTACTATGAAACAGTGGTGGCTTAAGATGGCTGCAAATTCTGTCACTGCCTCCATCGATAGACAGAGTTCATTTCCCTTTCACTTGAATCTTGGCTGGCTCCATGTTACTCAACCAATAAAATGTGGTAAAACCTAAGACACCTCGTTCTGTGCCTCACCATTAAAAGGATTTGCAGCTTCTACCTTCTTTCTCTGTGAATGCTCACTCTTAAGATGCTTCCTCTCCAAACCAGCCACCAAGGAGTGAGATATCCAATCCACATGGACTGCTTATGGTGGACACTCCAGTCAACAGTTCCAGCTCAGCTCTCAGCTGCCAACCAGCATCAGCTGCCAGCCATAATAACTCACCCATGTTGGACATTCCAGGGCGGTTTGGTTGGCAGCAATTGAGAGCCAAAACAGAAAGGAGGACTCACTGGTTTAAGGTCCCACGGCTAGAAAGTATCCATGGGAATGCTAAGCCAGATGCTCTGACTCTAAGCCCACTGGGCATTGATTTCTCATTGCCATCTATTAAAAACAGAACAAGCCTCAATTCAAAATCTCCAAATGTAGAATTTCTGCCCAGGATGAAGGTTGAGGAAGTGGAGCATATAATTTGTTCATTTACTCAGCTCTGTTAATTTATACTGGGCAACTGAACAAAGTAATCTCCTGATTCTCAAGGAACTTAGAGTTTAATCAATAGAAAGCCCCATAAACAGCTCATCTCAATAAGAACTCATAAGTGCCATGAGGCAGCATGCCAAGGGGGATTTTGGAACCCATGTCCAGGCACTAAACCTAGCCCAAGCCATGAAATAATACACACATATTTTATTGGGTGTGGAAGAGTATCTGCATCTGTATGGAGGATGCTGAAAAATGTTTAAAATGAATACAGTTATTCTTAAAGAACCCTAACATTTGAGGGGGAAACATGAATTCTAGTTCTGGTTCAGCCTTGACTTAAATGTGCCCTTGGCCAAGTTGCTGAACCTCTCGGTAACTGAGTTTCCTGATCTGTAAATCCAAGGTGAAATTACACTACACTGCTTCTTCATGTACTTGACAATTCCTTTCTCCAACTCCATCCCTTTAAGTTTTGGTGTTCCTTGGAGGGTGGTTCTTTGCTTGTTGCTCTTCTCACTCTTCAAAGTCTCCCTAAGTGATTTCATCCATTCCTCTGGCTTTTGTTATTACTCATGTAACAAGGAAATCCCTTTATGATTAGGCTATTTCTTTCTGTGAGCTATCTACCAATGTATTCATCTGCTTATAGTACATCACTGAATGTTTTACAGGCACATGAAGTTCAATATACACAGTGCTTGGCTCATCTCCTTGCCCACTTAACTCCCATTTTTGATTTCTCCCTTTACCGTCAAGAATCAACACTGCTACCCAAGCTAGTAGCCTATGAAATTAAATTCACTTTTACTTTTCTCTCAATCTCACATGCAATGGCTTGTCAAGGACTGCTAATTTTGTGTCCTAAGTTTCTGAAATTCATCCCTTTGTCTGGGTATCTCATAAACAGCTCAAATTCGAAATATTCAAAGCTTACTTCATTACTTCTCCCTCCTGGTTATCTTCCTGTGTGTTCCAGGAGGATGCTATCACTATCCACCCACTTGCTAAATCTGGAACTTGGGCATCACCCTTGTTTTCTCCTCTTTTGCCTCCCATCACCAGGTAACCACCAATTCCTGATGTTTGGCTTCCTAGTCAATCTACCCACTTCTCTCCATTCTCGTCGCTATTATCTTTCACTTCCTGCAGTAGTATCTGGCCTTCTGTCTTCACTCTCTCTGAGCTTTCTCCACAGCGCAGCCAAATTTGATCCTGTCAATCTTTGATTCCTGATATGTTTAACCCCCACGCTCCCAGGCTGCAAAATCTAGTACAGGCATCATAATCCACTCACCCTTGTCTCCCCTTCACCTAATATAATGTACTCGGCATATAACAGATACTCAATAAATATTAACCTGTGCTCACCACCTGATTATTGGTTATTTACAGTAGATAAATCCGTGAGGTGCTCTCCATGCGCTGGACCTCTGGAGGCATAAGGTAACTTACGGCTCACTGTTGTTATGAGCTGGAGGCCTTAAATGAAAGCTATATAAATTACATGCACCTAATAGTACCAATGAATTCCGTAGTCAGTACAGAAAGGATGCATATCTCAAGATATATATCTCCATGATGGGGCCTTAAAAAGAAAGTCACCCTCGTGGCTCTGTGCAATTTTTTTTTTTTTTTTTTTGAGACAGGTTCTGGCTCTGTCACCCAGGCTGGAGTACAGTGGCACGATCTTGGCTCACTGCAACCTCCGCCTCCCGGGTTCAAGCGATTCTCCTGCCCCAGCCTCCCGAGTAGCTGGAATTATAGGCGCCCACCACCACGCCCAGCTTATTTTTGTTGTTGTATTTTTTGTAACTATGAGGTTTCACCATGTTGTCAAGGGTGGTCTCGAACTCTTGGGCTCAACTGATCGGCCCACCTCGGCCTCCCAAAGTGCTGGGATTAAAGGCACGAGCCAGGCCGGGTGCGGTGGCTCACGCCTGTAATCCCAGCACTTTGGGAGGCCAAGGTGGGTGGATCACGAGGTCAAGAAATCGAGACCATCCTGGTCAACATGGTGAAACCTCGTCTCTACTAAAAATACAAAAAATAGCTGGGCATGGTGTAGTGCGCCTGTAGTCCCAGCTGCTCGGGAGGCTGAGGCAGGAGAATTGCTTGAACCCTGGAGGCAGAGGTTGCTGTGAGCCGAGATCGCGCCATTGCACTCCAGCTTGGGCAACGAGCGAAACTCCGACTCAAAAAACAAAAAACAAACAAACAAAGGCGCGAGCCACAGAGCGCGGCCCAAAGCCGTAAGCTTCAAAGCCCGACAGGTGTGACAAATAATGGGCCTCTACGCAGGTTGGCGCTTGCCTGTGCGCGTGCGCGTGGCGCGGGGCTTGAACGCAGCGCGGCCTTCCCGGCGGCCCCGGGGGAGGCGGGATCGGACCTGTTCCCGCGGTTTCGTCCCGCCATTGGCAGGCGGTTTGAATGACGGAAGTGACGGCGGCTCAGCGATGGCTCTCCCGCAGGCGCAGAGACGGCTGCTGGGCAGCTGATGGGCAGGAGCTTCCCAGGCTGGCTTGCTGAGTTGCGGCTACCGTGTCCAGGTTCCGGGTTCTCAGGTGAGTGATGGACGCACCGGCTTCTTAGTCGCCCTGCATGAGCACGACTCCCTGAGGCCTGGGAGCTGGGATTGTGCTCCGGAGGAAGAGGATCCTGGGAAGGCGCCGTGTCGCGAACGCAACACGGCCGGTGTTTCTCAGGCTCCGCAGTCCGTAGACCCTGCCCTCGGTCGGGCTGGCGGCTCTAATTAAGGAGCGTTCGACCCAGACCCGGCACCTCTGTACGAGAGGCTTTTTTTGCGCACTCCCCTGTGGTAGGTTCGCGCGAGCTTACCCCGCAGCCTCCCCAGGCCCGGAGCTTCAGTGACGGGGGAAGGGGCGCTTCCCCCAAGTCACTCGTGCGGACATGGCCTGCCACCTGGTAGCTGTTAAAAGAGCATTGCCTGGAATCGTGTCATGCAAAGAGCGGGCTCTCTTTTGGTATCTGCCATCTTAATCCCACAGTTGTTCAATCCTGTCACAAACTCAGCTTTTAAAACAGTGGTGAACTTTTGAGTCTTTAATAGCGTATTTGGCGACTTCACGCTAAGTCACGTAGTCGTCAGAGCAAACTTCTGACCTCCTAATTCGCCCGCCTCGGCCTCCCAAATTGCGTGGATTATAGGCGTGAGCCACGCGCCCGGCCGCTTGTAACCTTTTTTTTTTTTTTTTTTGAGACGGAGTTTCGCTCTTGTTACCCAGACTAGGGTGCAATGGCGCGATCTCGGCTCACCGCAACCTCCGCCTCCTGGGTTCAGGCAATTCTCCTGCCTCAGCCTCCTGAGTAGCTGGGATTACAGGCACGCGCCACCGTGCCCAGCTAATTTTTTGTATTTTTTAGTAGAGACGGGGTTTCACCATGTTGACCAGGATGGTCTATTTGTTGACCTCGTGATCCACCCACCTCGGCCTCCCAAAGTGCTGGGATTACAGGCTTGAGCCACCGCACCCGGCCCGCTTGTAACTTTTATCAGCTCCTTCCCCATTTTCCCTCACACACGCATTTCTCCTAATAAAATATTTGCAGGTTAAATCCCATCTTAGCATCTGCTTTTTAGGTGACCCACAGTTGCATAACAACAAATGTAATGTGTTATCCTTGGATTGGATCCTGGTCCAGAAAATATACATTAGTGTGATAATTGACAAAAATTGAATAGTCTGTAGATTAGTAAAAACTACTGTACCAGCGTTAATATTCACATTTTGATCATTGTACAGTGGTTACGTACAAGACGTTGACGTTTGGAGAAGCTGGGGAAAGGGCAAATGGGAATTCTAAGCCTGAAATTTTCAAATAAGAAGTTTAAAAAATTTAAAAATTATACACAAGAGGAAACAGTTATTTTATCACATTTTAGGAGCTTCAAAATAATATGTGTATATGTTTTTCTGTAATCCTCTGAGATGAAGTGATGGATACTTAAATCTGAAATATTAGTGTTTTTTCCTCTTATATTGAAATAAAAGTTAGAATCAAACACAAATACAGGTGTACCATTTGAGAAATTTTTACATATGGGTACACCTGTTAAACCGTCATACGGGTCAAAATATAGACTCTTTTCAGTATCCCAGTAAGCTTCTTTGTGCCATCTCCGTGTCAGTAACCTCTAGTAAGATAACTTTATTTTTACCTCTCATAGATTAGTTCTGCTTGGTTTTGAACTTCATATAAATGAATTTTATTGTACTCTTTTGTGTCTGGCTTTTTTGAAATTCAGTGATATTATGTCTATGAGATTTATCAGGAATTAGTCTTAATTATTTAAATATGAGTGAATTCTTAGACCTTCAGACAAAATAATAAAGATACATTGTGAAGATTAATCTTGTTCTTTCTTCTTTGTTAAATTCTTCCCTGTTTTTTTTTTAAATTCTAACTCGCAAAAAACAACAGCTTAAATAAAATTTTTACCACTCCACATGTCTTTGTGTGTTCGAAAGTTAGTAGCCATTTGGAATAAGGAAACCAGATCCCTCCGCTCCTCCACTAGATGTCATCACTTAGGAAAAGTCCTTTAACCCAAGAGGCCTTGTTTTTTCATGAATAACATGAAAAATATAATCAGTACTTCAGTTACCATTACCAAAACCTTGTGAGTATCAGATGAGTAGGATGCATTAAAAAATTTTTTTAATGTAAGCAGTTACTCCTTTTTGGCATTAGAGTCTTACTGAAGATAGTAATGATGATTGCATATATCTCTGTAGAACTTTACATGAATTAACTCACTGAATCATTCGTTCAGTCACCACACATACTGAAGTAGCTACCTATGGGTGAGATGCTGTTTTTAGGCTATGGACATAAAATGGTGAGGAAGTCCATTCCGCCTTATGAGCTTACATTCTGATGGAGAAGTCAGTGGAAAGGTATTAGTCCCTGTTAGGTAACCCCACAGTCTCCTAGCCCCTATTCTGTTTACACCTAATTGACAACAGTGTCAATCCATGTGAAATATTACCCGGTAGTTATTTATTATATTTAATTGAATATTAAATTTTAATTTAAAAACCCATAGCCACTGTCCTTCAACTGTCAGTAATCTAACTAGAAAGAGCAAACTATGGTTGATGAAAAACTACAGGAGGTAATACCAAGACAACATAAAATTAGTCCCTATCTGAATGTATTGGTAATAATGCATTAGAGGTGGACAAGTCAGGAGTGGGAGAGTAAATGGAACAGGAATTATCAGAGGACAGCTTCATAAAGGAAGGAGGGTTTAAGCTAGCTTCAAAAAGATGTAAACACTCAGCAACTGAGAATGCCTGCCTGGTCATTGTGAGAGAGACCTGAGAAATGTTGACTTGTCTCAGTTAAAATGGTTGCATACTGATATTAAGTGTCCAATTTTTTGGAAATGACAGTAATAGGAACCAGTTAATATCAGAATTACCTGAGGAGGGTATTCAAATTATAGAACTATAGATTCTTATATTTATTCCATTTCTCTCTGCCTCGTTCCCCCAAATAGTAGCATGTTATAATCCAGGGAGTAGAGAGAGAATACCAAGTATGAACAGTAGCAATAGAAGAATAGGTCTGGGCTGTGCATGGTGACTCACTTCTGAAATCCCAGCACTTTGGAAGGCCAAGGCAGGTGGATCCCTTGAGGTCAGGAATTTGAGGCCAGCCTGGCCAACATGGTGAAACCCTGTCTCTACTAAAAATGCAAAAATTAGCCAGGCATGCTAGCATGTGCCTGTAATCCCAGCTACTCTGGAGGCTGAGGCAGGAGAATCACTTGAACACGAGAGACAGAGGTTGCCGTAAGGCGAGATCGTGCCATTGCACTCCAGCCTGGGCGACAGAGCAATACCCCATCTCAAAAAAGAAAAAAGGAAAAAAAAAAAAGAATAGATCTGGAAACCTAGACACTTGACACAGCTGAACAGAATTATTCTAAAGGGATTTTTAATGATCATTCATATAAAAAGAACATCACTATAATTATTGAAGAACTGTTTACTGTAGAGTATAGAACATGGGATTGATGTGATTTCATGGGATAACAATGACACTTGGTGATCAAGTTATATAGAGTAGACTGAGAGTTTAATCTAGGAACGAAGAGCCCTTGAAATTACAGCAAACTTGCTGGTTATGAACAAGTTATTAAAGTTCTAGAGTGTCAAATTGTAATTGTGAAAAGATTTATTTCGTGCTAATATCTTTTTAGGTCTTTGTGCTTTTTTACATTTAAGCTCAGTAAACTCGGGAAATGCTAACCAGGAATAAGTCAGGTCCAGATACTCAAGGTAGACAATCTGCTACAGATGGGAGAAAACTTTTCTGAGTAATTCTGATTCAGTCTTCACTTCTCCATTGCCACCCTTCTGAGTATCATCGATCTAAATGTGATTTTGTAATTCTTATTTGTCTATAAGTTGGACTTCGTTTACTCATTTTCCTTGCATGTATATAGCCTTCTAAATATCAAAAGTATTAAGACGAATTTTAAAAATTATTCTAGCCAGGCATGATGGCTCATGCCTATGTTTCCAGCACTTTGGAAAGTCGAGGCAGGTGGATCACTTGAGGCCAGGAGTTAGAGACCAATCTGGCCAACATGGTGAAGCCTGGTCTTTACTAAAAATACAAAAATTAGCCGGGCATGGTGGCTTATACTTATCCCAGCTACTCTGGAGGCTGAGGCTTGAGAATTGCTTGAACGTGGGAGGCAGAGGTTGCAGTGAGCTGAGATCATGCCAGTGTACTCCAACCTGGCTGACAGAGGGAGACTCTGTCTCAAGAAAAAAAAATTCTAATCTTTGCTGCCCTATTTTAATGTCACATTATTTTTATAGACATTTTCCCTTTTTTTAAATTCAGAACTGTCATACATAAAGTACATAGAAATGAAAAGAAAAGTAGTGAATGCTCGGAAGCTGAGATTGAGTCCTAATGAGGAAGCCTTCATTTTGAAAGAAGATTATGAAAGAAGACGAAAACTAAGATTGCTACAGGTATGACTTATTTGGAATAAGGTTTTAAATACCTTTGTTCCTCAAAGTACTTGTATCTTTTACATTAGAATGTTCAAAATGTTGTATTTTAAAACCCTTTGTGGGTATACAAGAACCCTGGTTCTTCAGTATTAACTAGTTTTGGAACATTTGAAAAATAGTCCTTTCAGGAGTGGGCACCAAATAAAAGCTAATCAGTTAGGAGACATTAGATACAATCTTGAGATTTTTACTTTTTATACATCACTCAGATTTTCTGCTTTAAATAGTTCTTATCTAATACAAGATGAATATCCAGGAGAACTGATAGACTTAAGGGAATTCATTTGAGTTCCTGTTTCCAAATAGCTTTTCAAAAAAGTTTAAGTAAAATCTCCTTTCATGTAAACTGTTAAATATGCATTCTTTAGGTTCGAGAGCAGGAAAGAGATATCGCCTTACAGATAAGAGAAGACGTAAAACAGAGGAGAAATCAGCAATTTACACGTTTGGCAGAGGAGCTAAGGGCAGAATGGGAAGAATCACAAACTCAGAAAATAAAGAACTTGGAAAAACTATATTTGGCAAGTTTAAGAAGTATGGGAGAGGGACATCGACAGGCCAAAGAAAATGTGAGTGAGATCTTATTTGACTACTCAGTGTGGCAGTAATATTGGTCAGAGGTAAATTATAGTTGTTGAATGCTTTTATTATGATAAAAATGTTTCCATGCATTGAATTTCTTTGGGGAAGGCTGAGCTTTTTTATAAATTTAATGTAATTTGTGAGTGATAGTAGGCTCATTTCTTAGTAAGAGTCGTGTCAAGTAAAATCCATGTGAAATAAAATTGTTCTTCCTATGATGTTTAAATTAGCATTATTCTCTTCCAGTACTCCTCTATCTGGGGAAGTAATAATCTTCTGATTCAGAAGTTGTTCATCTCAGGCATTTTAGACAGATTCAGTGGGGTGAATTCAGATTTCCCATTTCAGTATATTTCCCTTAAACATGTGGTTGAATGTATATGTTTGTATTTCTTTTACAAATAGCAAACATTTTCTGATGACTTTCAGAAAACCATTGTAAGTCTGCCCCATTATTTTGATTTATTATGATTTGTGATGTCGAAATATTACCGTCCTAGAATCAGTCACATACAATAAGCAAGCTAGTAACAAAGAATCTTTGATAAAAACTAGTGAGGAAGAAAATACTTTAAAGAATGTGGCAATCTGTTTCTTGGTCCTTGGTTTTAGTCTGGTTTTATGTGTGCCACATTAACTTTGTGCATTAGTGCAGTGTTTCCCAAACCTCTGTCATTTGAATATCACATTCACAATTTTTGCGCTGACTGGGAAACTACCCATATTACTATACATTTGACATTTTAATTTAGATGAACTCTTTTATTACTTACTTTAACCATGTCCTAAGTTGTTCAATATCCTATTTATATTTTTGTAATAATATGTGAATTGATTGCATTAACTTTACATTAAAATGTTTGCATTTGTCCCCCTTAATATGGCATATCATCAGCGGTGCTGTTATCATGCTCTGGGAAACACTGCTATATAAGGTGTAGAAAGAAGATGACAAAATTGATAAATTACTTCTGATATTATGTGAGATACATTTCTATTATTCTTGTTTAGTATGACATTTTAAGTAATAAATATTTTTAGGAACCTGATTTGGATGCTCTGGCACAGCGGGCAGCAGAAAGGAAAAGAAAAGCAGATTTGAGGCATAAAGAAGCCCTGAAAGTACAGAAAAAGCAAAAAGAAATATTAATGAAACAAAAAACCTGGTAAAGTAATAATTTTTACTATAATCTCAATTGGAACTAACATGGTTGAAAGTAGAGGATACGTAGGATACTGTGTAAGCAAATACTAAATAAATGTCATATAGTAGCATATTCATTGTATTTGTTAAACTTGGTTTAAAAATAATGCTGGGGACGGGAAGTGATTTGCTTAGGTGAACATAATAACTAATGAGCTTTCTTTCCTAGTTGTAGTTTGAATGTTGAGTGTTACTAAGTTTCTGGAGAAATGTGTGACTAGTTCAGAATGCATGTCAATCAGTGTCTATCTCTGATACAACATGAAATAAAAATTGATGCGATTAAGAACATTAAAAAAGATTTTAGACTCTGAAAGTCATTAGTAATTTTTTCATGTTGTAAAACTTAAGGGCCATTCACAGGAAACATGAGTGAAGGAAATTAAAAAATTAAGGGCTCTGTTACTATTGAGCAATGGTTATTTTAGATAATGGCCCATTTTAATCAACATTTCTGGTTTTTTTACTCTAAAGAACATTGGAAGTTTCTTGGGTTTGTCCCCACTGTAGAGCTTTTTGTCTTTAGATATGCCTGTCTTAATTTGTAAATGTTTTCTTACATGTGTATAGAGTCTTTACTCATGTAAAGCATACTGAGCCTGTGGGATCAGACTGGAGGATTTCTTGAGCCTATGACTTATATTTTTAACCCTGAGCATTGTACTGTAATATTACCACTAAGAGATTAATTGATGACATCTCTTGTTTCTTAAGGCATATAAAAGCTCGAAAGGAAGCACTGCTTGTGGAAAAAGAAAGATCAGCCAAAATTACAAGTTTGCCACCTCCTCCTCCAACTCGTTTTGAGGTGAGTTTGTTTGAGTATAAAGAGGAACTAGGTCATAATTCTTCTTTAGTATTATAATTCAGTGAAAGTCAAAATGACTATCACTTACTTAAACTTAATTAATTGTATAAGAAAACTTACGTTAAGCAAATCACTTCCCGTCCCCAGCATTATTTTTAAACCAAGTTTAACAAATACAATGAATATGCTACTATATGACATTTATTTAGTATTTGCTTACACACTATTCTACATATCCTCTACTTTCAACCATGTTAGTTCCAATTGAGATTATAGTAAAAATTATTACTTTACCAGGTTTTTTGTTTCATTAATATTTCTTTTTGCTTTTTCTGTACTTTCAGGGCTTCTTTATGCCTCAAATCTGCTTTTCTTTCCTTTCTGCTGCCCTCTGTGCCAGAGTATTTTAAAATAATTCTAGATATCATTTCACCTGTAAATACTTCAGTGTGTATCTCTGATGTATAAGGACTTTTTTTTTTTTTGAGTTGGAGTCTCGCTCTGTCACCAGGCTGGAGTGTAGTGGTATGATCTTGGCTTACTGCAACCTTGGCCTCCTGGATTCAAGCAATTCTCCTGCCTCAGCCTCCCAAGTAGCTGGGATTACAGCCACCACACCCAGCTAATTTTTGTATTTTTAGTAGAGACGAGGTTTCATCCCGTTGGCCAGGTTGGTCTTGATCTCTTGACTTCGTAATCCAACTGCTTCGGCCTCCCAAAGTGCTGGGATTACAGGCATGAGCCACTGTACCCAGCTCTTTTTTCTTATATAAAACTAATACTGTTTCTAATATCATTTAATACCTAGTATTTGTTCAGCCTTCCTCAGTGATGTAAAGTTTTGTCGTTTGGAAAACTATAATGGTTTTGGTTTTTAAGAAACTTAAGAATTCTGCTTTTTGAAAAAATACCCTATATTTATTGGGAAAAAAAAACTAGGCTATTTGTCCTATAGATTTTCCCACACTCTGAATTTAGCTTATTTTAAATGGTCACCATGTTACAGATAAACTGAGTTTCAGTTAAGTTAATAAATTTGCGTAAGATTATAAAATATCCAGGTGTGATTTAAAAAAAGAAAAAAGGTAAAAAAGACTATACCAAGAGGGATCTATTTTTTATGAGAGTAAAATGTGTGCTTTTGTGTTTTGAAGCTCATTTTTAAAAAAAAATCTAAAGCAGAAATTTTAAAAAATATTCTCCACATTAGCTTGTTATAGTTATTGAAATGGCTTTTTGGATGATTGTCAAAATTACCTAGTCATTTTTATCTGAAAAATTAAGTAGAAGTAAACCCACAAGTATAGGGATGTCTAATTGAGTTGTACGTACAAGTATATTCTGTATAAGCATAAGTACCAGATACTCACTTCTTAGGCCTTTCATTTGGTCGCCTTCCTGCTTTTATGTTGAGCCATCTACCATGTCACATTTGATCCAACAAGATTCAGATGGAAGAGTCATGTTTCAGTCACTTCCTCAGTACAAAGTGAGATGATTAAAGTCAGGCAGTATATTATCCATGATGAATTTTGATTATCTTTGTCTTAATTCTTAATATTTATAACAAGCCGAAGTAAAAAATGTATAAAAAGCAAATAAAACTGTATTAGTGCTTTGAGAAGCGTGAGTTGTATCAGTGAACATGAACAATTTAGTTCCTTTTCTTTTTTTTTTTTTTTTTTTTGAGACAGAGTCTTACTCTGTCACCCAGGCTAGAGTGCAATGGCACAATCTTGGCTCACTGCAGCCTCTGCCTCTTGAGTTCCAGTGATTATCCTCAGACTCCTGGGTAGCTGGGATTATAGGTGCCTGCCACTACTCTCAGCTAATTTTTGTATTTTTAGTAAAGATGGGGTTTCACCATGTTGGCCAGGCTGGTCTCAAACTTCTGACCTCACATGATCCACCCACCTCGGGCTCCCAAACTGGTAGTGTTACAGGCGTGAGCCACCATACCTGGCCTAGTTCCTTTTAAGAAAACAGGATATATTCTTCATTTTTTCCTCTGCCAGTTTTCAGAGTAAAGGGTTGGTGTAATAATCGATGCCACTGATAGTAAATGGGTTTTTTTTTTTTTCTTTCTCTTTTGTGAATATCACTGCTAACTTGTGGGGGGTTCTTTTTTTACTCAGTATTACATAGTCAATTATAGTCATTCTTTTTCTTCTTAAAGACGTTCGTAGTATCTGAAATTTGGTCAGCAGGAGACTCTTGAAGTTGTCTCTGCGTCCCTGTGACTCCATGAGCATTTCCTTGCTCTGTGGCCTAGGCAAATGACCTAGGCTTGTTTACCCTGTCCCACATCTGGTATCTCTAAAGACCCCTGGTTCTTTTTAGTGGAGAAATGTTACTTATAAACTAAGATCTGGGTGATTATATTCTTGTTTAACTAAAAGGCATTATTTTAGAAAAATTCATTACCCAAGCCAGTAAAGGTATTTGGGATAAGGCAGTGTTTCTGAATGTCTTAAGATGGTTGTGAATGCATGGCATGGAAGGGAGGGACAGGATTTTGGTTTGAGAAAAGCTAGTTTTTAGGGTATTTTGGGGCCAGGGAAATGTACCATGTAAGAACATTGTGTCCCACACACAGGATATAGATGCATCTGTATCACTGTTTCTCCCAGCAGATAAAAATATAAATGCTGAAAAGCCTGGGGAAATAAACCTAGACTATTTAGTCTTCTCAAACCAAGATTTTTCCTTAATTAATTTAAGAAAATATTATTTTTTGAGGCAGCTGTTTACATGGTGAAGAGAATGGATACTTGTTGTAATACCTAAGAATTTAGTTATGTCAGATTTTTTTATTCATATCTAGTTTAATCACTTTAGCCCTGCATGGTAGATATTTCCACTTAACAAATGAAGGAAATTGAAGGTCAGAGGTTAAGTAATGTGTCCAAAGTCCTATAATAGTTAAGTGCGAGAACCAGAATTTATCTCAAGGTCAATTCTGTGAAGCTCATGATCTTTTGAGTTTGACACTTAGCTTCCCACGAATATACTTCTTCAGATTCAGGCTAACTTTTCCTGTTAACTGTTTAAACACTAATGTCTACAAATGTAAACAACCACAATCTTTTCATAGGGCTGTTAAAGAATGAAGTTTGTATGGAAAACCCTGAGATGCTATGAAGACACCTCATGTATCTATACTAGATGCAAGAGAAACTGAGCCTTCTTTTACTTCTTCCCTTGCTTATACCCTTCTTTTTGTATTTGAGATGGGATCTCACTATGTTACCCAGGCTAGAGTGCAGTGGTTCTTCACCAGCACCATCATAGCTCACTGCAGCCTTGAACTCCTGGGCTAAAGCAATCCTCCTGCTTCTGCTTCCTGAGTAGCTGTGACTACAGGCATGGGCCACAGTGCCTGGCATTTTTTTCTTCTTTTCCTTTGCTGCATGAGCCAGTGTTGGGTACTCCAGAGTAGAAAGCTGGTTTTGTCCTGTACATGGCTAGATAAGGCAAGAAATAGTCACTGTGGAACAAAACTAAGGCTAGAAGATAGAACACAGGAAGTAAATTGAGTGATTTTAAATTATTAACAGGTTATCCTAATCCTGCCAGGCTAAGGAGTGATTTCAGTAAACACTTAGGTATAATTCACTGGAAATCTTGTTATATTCAACAAGGATTCATAGTAATTGAAATCTCAAATTGTGATCCCAATTTTGGGAGGATTCCAAATTCTATACATAATTGCCTTTACTCTGGAAGTACTGGTACTTTAAAGTGTGTAAATTGAATCACATTTTTATATCAAGTTACATAATTTTAGAGATTTGTTTTCTTCAGAGTTCTTCCTTGTCAAGAAGCTAATGGTTAATTTTTTTCAAGACATTGATTGATTCATTCATTTTTTTATTTTTTGAGATGGAGTTTTGCTATGTCATCCAGGCTAGAGTGCAGTGGAGCAGTCTGGACTCATTGCAACCTACACCTCCCAGGTTTAAGCGATTCTCCTGCCTCAGCCTCCTAAGTAACTGGGATTATAGGTACCTACCACTACACCTGGCTAATTTTTGTACTTTTTTGTAGGGATGGGGTTTCACCAAGTTGGCCAGGATGGTCTCGAACTCCTGACCTCATGATCCGCCTGCCTCAGCCTCCCAAGGCATTGATTTAAAAGCTACTAAGATTCTTTGAAACATTCTAATGTGTATTACCATCTCTGAATTTTTGTTTAGTGACTTAAGTTTCTTACTGAACTTTAATAGTAACTGGATAAAGCTGGGTACGGTGGCACCTTCCTTTGATCTCAGCTACTTAGAAGGCTGAGGTGGGAGGATTGCTTGAACCCAGGAGTTGAAGAACAGGCTGGGCAACATAGCAAGACCCTGTCTCAAATATATTTATGCTAGTTAATGTTTTCGTTAGTTGTCAGTTTAATCTTTTACCTAAATGATAAGATCCTGAATAAGGTCTCTCTATTGTACATATCTGGATGTATTTCAGGTACTTGCCAATTAGTTATCTTCTGACTGATCTAGGTAATTCTCCACTTTGGCTGTATATTGTTTACCTGTGGAGTTTTTTTTTTTTTTTTTTTGAGACAGAGTCTCACTCTGTCACCCAGGCTGGAGTGCAGTGGCGTGATCTCGGCTCACTGCAACCTTCACCTCCTGGGTTCAAGCGATTATCCTGCCTCAGCCTCCAAAGTAGCTGGGATTACAAGTGTGTGCCACCATGGCCGGCTAATTTTTGTATTTTTAGTAGAGAAGGGGTTTCTACATGTTGGCCAGCCTGGTCTCAAACTCCTGAACTCAAGTGATCTACCTGCCTCGGCCTCCCAAAGTGCTGGGAATACAGGCATGAGCCATTGCGCCCAGGCCCTTCTTGTCTTTTATATTGTTTGTTTTCTTTCCACTTGAGTCCTCCTCATCATTCCACATTCATATAGCTAAAACTTTGGTTAATTCTCAACCTATTCTTATTTAAACTTGTCTCTCTTCCAACCTGTGTTGCATTCATGATGTCATTGAATAATCCAGGCACGGTCCTACATACCTGTAGTCCTAGCCATGGTAGGCTGAAGCATATGGATCGCTTGACCCCAGGAGTTGCAATGAGCTATGATCATGCCACTGTACTCTGGCCTCGTCAACAGGCCTTAAAAAAATTAAAAGTGCTTTTTATTAATTCTTACAGTAACTGTCACAATGATCATATGGTATATTGATAGCTGTAAACCCACTTTTCTTGAGAAAGCTGAGGGACAGAAAAGCTGAGGGACTTTGCTAAGTTTTCACTACTAGGATGTAATACAGGAAGAGATCCAGTAGAAGTGTTAACCATTTCTTTGTGAATTTTTTTATGTTACCTGTAAAATGCATGGTTATTATTTATGTCTAATTGTTAGAACTTCTAGTTGTTAAGAACTGTTACTCTGAGTTCTTTGAAGCCAGGGGCCTTTATTTTATTTTACTTCTCGTTGCTGTTCACAATGCTTTGTATAATGTTTAACACATAGTAGGCACTTAATATTCTTTGTCAGTTTAGTTGATTAGTTAAACATCAACGTGTGATAGGTTGTGATGGACTGAATCTGCTTTTACTACAAAATACAGGAAGGGTAAGGGGGAAGGTAGTTTATTTTCATTCTTGAGAGTTGTTTTGTTCTGGAATAAGGGTAATTTAAATATTGGCAAGTGTTTCAGGACCAAAACTCAAATACATCATTAAACATTGAGAAAATAAGACTAGTATGAACTACAGTAGAATTTTTGTGATTAGATATGGAAGAGGACATAATGGTACAGGTTGTTTTCTTATAAATACAATGAAGTGCTTTTCATTTCATTTGATCTGGCCTGTAAGTCTTTCTATATTCAGGAAATTTAAAGATGAAATGTCTCTATAAATAACTTAAAAATTGAGATGAATACAACACATTGATTAGTTAGCCACACCTTGAAGATGATTTGAAATACTGATGAATCTGATACTTGTATTAAAATTTGAAGTAATTTGACTCTGTAAAAATTTGATTTCATTATGAGCAGATTTTTAGCTTGTTTTGGATGAAAACTCATTAAAATACAAAATCACTTTTTTTGCATTGGATTCGGCTTTAAATAAAAATACTTTTAACCCATTTTTTTATGTTCTCTTTTCCAGAACATTGAAATAAAAAGAATTTCTGCAGTCAAAACCAATAGTTCTACCTACCATCATCTTCATACTTTTGTGAATAGAGAGATAGACACAAAACAGGTGATTGACTTATTGTTTGTTCATGCCCTCGCTTTATTATTTCTGTGTACATTGCATTGAATTATACCTTAGTTATATGTATGGTGTTCCCAGACTTCAAAACTTGGGCAATTGGTAATTATAAAAATCTTTTAGTTATGCTTTGAATTTTCATGTTGCTTTAATATGGATTAAACTAGTTGGCTATTTAAATGGTTATATTTTAAAATAGCATATTTTAGGACTTTTTTGTCATAAAATATTACATGCTGTTTGTGAAAATATTGGAACTATACACATAAGCATAAACAATTGGAAAACCACCAATTCTGTCACCAAAATGGAATATGGGTAATGTTTTAATAAATTCATTATAAGTTTTATTTAAATATAAACATATACACAAACTTTTCAAAGCATTATTTTTAGTATCAACTTAATATTTTGCATAGCATTTATTTAACCATTGTTTTATTTTTTGCTTCTGTAAGTAATGTTAGCATAAAGAGAAAGTTTTTGGCTCCAAACTGTGTTAACATTTGATTCAGATCATTAAATTGCTTTTTAAAAAGCATCAGCAACATGAGAATGGCCAGCTTACCATAACCTTGTCTGCACAGAATATTATTTTTAAAAAATTATTGCCAGTCTTAAGAGTAACAAATACATTGTTATTATAATTGCTGTTTCTCCGCTTCAGTGGGTTTTAATTTTTCTCTTATTGAATATATTTGGCTACTAAGAAAATAAACTTTATAGCATTCCTGTGGCATTTAGAATGCAACAAATATACATTTTGGTTGACTGCTTAATAGCAGGTATTAAAAGCAATATTCAGTTAAGAACTAAAGTGAATATCATCACAGAATGAACTTCTAAGATGTGAGTGTAAATCTGACATTTATTTTAAATTGTCAAGTATTACCATTTCAGTATTATAATGTAGGAACAATAACTTAATTTGTTGCTAACTACTTTACTGTTTACTGCATTTTTGTGATATTAAAAAGATGTTACCTTTTAACTAAGAGTGATGATGAATTTTTTTTCCTGGAACTCCATCAGCATATGGTGCTGCTGATGGTATTAAATTAACATTCATAAGCTTTCTTTTTTGATAGTAACTAGAAGACCTAACTCCTTTTCAATTTTTGGGCTAAAATATTAGATTAGTAGTTACAATGTTAAAGGGTTAGAAAAAAGCTAGGGACCACAGACAGATTTTGTTTCTAGCAGTTTTATGAGCTTTGTGTACTGATTGAAGATATGATTTCTGAATATTTTCAGAAATAGATTTATTACTGTAAACATTTTTATTCGTTTTTTTTTTCTATTTGCTGCTTTACTCCATTACTTAGGAAAAATCTGTCCTTAAATCTTGGATTTAAAACGTGATGATCAATGTGCTTGGCTTTCAAGATAAAATTACCTCTGAATTTTCATCTGCACTCAACTTATAGCACATGCACAATAATTTTAGCACCTTCCCTGGAGAAAAGCGATATTACCTTTACAGCAGGTATCTTATGAAAAATACTTGCACCCTTGACATATATGTTTGGGTATTTTTCTTTAGCAGCTTTCTGCAAATAAACTACTTTCATTTGTTCAGTCAGCCTTTTTAGCACATAAGAGCTGTTATTGTGTGTGTGTGTTTTTAATATCCTGATGAAGTCATTCCAAAAATCTCTTGTATGTCATAATATTTGTCTTTGGCTGAAGAAGAATTATGTAGTTGTACTTAGAGCCAGTAAGTCTCTACATTATGATTTGCTACATTCACTACCTCTATACAGAACTGAACAAAATACCATATGCTTGAAAGTCCTACATTACTTACTCATAGCCTTCATCATGTGTATTCCTTGTCAGTGACAGTTACATAGCACTTTTTTCAAATGAATTTATAAACAACTTTTTTCTTGAAAACCTCATGGTTGAAATCAATTGAAATGTTGTTCTTAGAGGTTATTTTATTTAATATCATACATACTGATATACTAAATCTACATATTATAATTTTGATTTAATCTGTTTTTGTCTTGCCTGATGTTATTTAGTTTTACATGAATATTTAGTGGCTCAAAGCGGGTATATTTTTAATAAATTTGTTTGGCCAGTATACTCTTTATTAATTTATTAACCATCAATCTCTTTACCTATTTTTCTCACTATTTGACATTTTTAATAATTTTACACATGAAGTTAATAGCTGTCTTCTTGGTCATCATTAATTGTTTCAACTGGCTGGCAGAATTTCTACATGCAAAAGACAGAAAATGACTTTTACTGCTGGTTACATTTAGAATATTTACCTGTACTTGAAAGCGAATATTCAGATAATAAACGTAAATCCAGGCTGGGTATGGTAGCTCACGCCTGTAATCCCAGCACTTCTGGAGGCTTAGGTGGGAGGATTGCTTGAGACTAGCCTGCTCAACAAAGACCTGATCTCTTAAAAAAAAAAAAAAAAAAGTAAATCCAGACTGTGTGCCTCTTACTTTTTGTGTGTTATGTTAATGAGCTTTGTGGGTGTTTAGTTTTCAATACTGTCATTTTAATGAGGTTTCTTTTTATTTTTTTTTTTTGAAACAGAGTCTTTCTCTGTTCCCCAGGCTAGAGTGCAGTGGTACAATCTTAGCTTACTGCAACCTCCTCCTCCTGGACTCAAGCAATTCTCCTGCCTCAGTCTCTCAAGTAGCTGAGGTTATAGGTGCCCACCACCACACCTGGCTAATTTTTGTATTTTTAGTAGAGATGGAGTTTTACTATGTTGGCCAGGGTGACCTTGGGTGATCCGCCTGCCTTGGCTTCCCAGAAAAAGCAAAGATTTCTTTACTTACAAAGTGATGGAGAAATGTGTTTGAAGGAGTATAACCTAATCTGTTTTAAAATGAGTAACTCATAAAAATTTATACAATCAATTTGATCCCTTTCATAGATACATGCTGTTGATAATTATGGGCATTTAAAAATATAACTCCTTATATTTAATTTTATATATGTAGAAAATATGACTTTAAGGTTGTTTTGTTTTTTAGTTATTGCTTGTCTCACACTTTAAAAATTATGCCTAAAATGTTATTGATTGACTGCTAGCCAGATGCTCATTTGGCTGCTGAAGAAGAAGCTAAACGATTGGAAGAGCTACAAAAACAGGCAGCACAAGAGAGAATGCAACAGTTTGAAAAGGCACATGTACGGGGATTCCAAGCAATGAAGAAGATCCATTTGGCTCAAGTAAGACTTAAATTCCACTTGTGACCATTACTGATAGACTTACTAACAGCATTGCGGGACTGATTAGTGAATGAGCTCAAGAAAGGTAGGAAGGGTGGAGTTCAGTATAATCTGATTCATATGATTTCAAGTTTCCTAACTTTCTTTGCCCTCCCATTTTAAGTTCTGATTGGGTTATGCTATTCTCCTGGTGTATTGCTCTTTTAGAAATTTTACTAATGAATTTATTAAAAGTTTAACATTTTAATGAGTCCAAAACAGCTTAAAGAAAAATCACTTTTCTAATTCAATTTTTTCAGTAACATGTGCTCTATAAAGTTGAGGATTTAGTTTATTAAATATGTATTGAGCAAAGCACTTTTTGGCTTTGCAGAATGTGGTTTCAAAAGTAAAATCATCATCCATGCTATTGGAGCTTTTAAAAAGTTACCATCAATAGGTCGATCACAGTGGCTCATGCATGCCATCCCAGCACTCTGGGAGGCCGAGGCAGGCAGATCGCCTGGGCCCAGGAGTTCAAGCCTAGCTACATGGAGAAACCCCGTCTCGACTAAAAGCAGAAAAAGTAACCAGGCATGGTGTTATGTGCCTGTAGTCCCAGCTATTTGGTAGGCTGAGGTGGGAGGATCACCTGAGCCTGGGACAAGGAGGTTGCAGTAAGCTGAGATCATACCACACCACTGCCTGCCAGCCTGGGCCACAGAGCAAAACCCTGTCTCAAAAAATAAAATTAAAAGTTACTGTCAAGACCAGTCAAGATGGCTTATGCCTATAATCCCAACACTTTGGGAGGTCAACGTGGGCAGATTGCTTTGAGCCCAGGAGTTCAAGACCAGGCTGGGCAACATGCAGAAACTCTCTCTACCAAAAATCCAAAAATTAGCCAGGCCTGGTGGCAATACAGCCAATTCCAATTTGGGACTGTACTGTAGCCTGGGACCTCATTTCCCAAGAAGGCTGAGCTGGGAGGATTGCTTGAGCCTGGGAGGCAGAAGCTGCGGTGAGTCGAGATTGCACTACTACACTTTACTGTGGTAACAGAGTGAGATTTTGTCAATCAGTAGTGACTGTCATAAATGTGCAAAATATTATATTGAAAGCTGACTTTATAGTTTTAGCTTCACTTCTGTCATGGTTATTCATTTAGTGCTTAGCCTTGAAATGTGGCATAAAAATGATTCATCTTATTAGAAGTCTGATTTTTTATTTTCTGAATTTGACTAATACATTTGGATGTTTTAAACACCCATCTTAGGAATTAGTTTTTAAGTACTTCTTAAAAATACATTGGGAATTAATTTTTTTTATATAAGTTTATTTTTATAGTTTGAACTAAATCATGAGCTTCTCCTTTAAATTTTTAGCTTTTATAAGCTAGGAGTGAACTATGACTAAAATAGCTGAATGTCTGAATTATTATCAGTAATTCTCCCCATCTTAGGTTTAAACTTACAATAAAACAGACACAAAAAACAGTCATAAATTGAACAGATTCTTCTATAAAAGCTGTGGTGTTTAATAGTTTAAGCAGGTGGGCTCCACAGCCATTCTGCCAGGATTTCTCTCTCTTCTTGGCCAGTCAGCTGTTTGATCTCAGGCAAATTAGTTAACCTCTCTGTGTTCGTTTCATGTGTGTGTTTTTTGTTTTTTTTTTTTTCTCACAGTCTCACTCTGTCGCCTATGCTGGAATGCAGTGGTGGGATCTTGGCCCACTGCAACCTCCGCCTCCTGGATTCTAGCAATCCTGCCTCAGCCTCCTGAGTAGCTGGGAGTATAGGCATGTGACACCACACCCAGCTAATTTTATTTAAGGCAGTCTTGCTCTGTCGCCCAGGCTGGAGTGCACTGGCATTATCTCGGCTCACTGCAACCTCCACCTCCTGGGTTCAACCAATTTTACTACTTTGTTCTCCCGAGTAGCTGGGACTGCAGGCATGCACCATCACACCTGGCTAATTTTTTTATTTTTAGAAGAGTTGGGGTTTCACCATGTTCACCAGGATCTCCTGACCTCATGATCCACCTGCCTTGGCATCGTAAAGTGCTGAGATTACAGGTGTGAGCCACTGTGCCCTGCTCAATTTTTTTGTGTTTTTATTAAAGACAGGGTTTCACCATGTTGGTCAGGCTGGTCATGAACTCCTGACATCAAACGTTCTGCCCACCTCAGCCCCCCAAAGTGCTGGTATTATATGCATGAGCCACTGTGCCTGGCCCGTTACCATTTTTAATGCAGGATTTCTCTACCATGCAATCTCACTGCTAATAGAGGATTTCATTTTTCCTGTCTGAACCTTTTTGCTGCAGACCATATTATGGCCTGGGACCCTTTTTCCTTCCAGTGTTTATATTAACTAATATTTGACTTCTACCTGCTTCTCCAGTTTTAATCTTCTTTCCTTAATCATCCTTGCCTTCCATGCACTAGCTGTGATGAACAGTGTGCTATTTTCTGACTATCCCGTGCCTCTATCTCCATACCTTTGTGTTGCAGGTTTTTTCTTACATGTACTTGTTCTCTTTCACCAACTTTTGTCTGGTTAAATCCTTATCCCAAGGAATGGAAAGTTTTTCCTTGTTCTTCCTCCTTACCTCCCACCACCAAAATTCCATTAGATAACCTCCGTAAAACACTGATTGAACTTTCATGATAGCCACACTCTTTAAGCTTAAAGAAATACATTCAGATCTCTTTTAATCATGGAAATTCATAAGAGTATGAAAGAAGTAAGAAGGAATATTCTGGGTACAGCCACAGTCACTGTGGGTCTTGGTGCTTACCTGAGACGGGTACATGAAGAACTGGAACAAAGTACATTACAGGAGCCATGCCAACTTATATAGAAATTAACTTCATGACTTTCCTCTGAAAGTAAAACTGTAACTGGCAGACACTTTTTGAAGCTTTATGGCCTAACTCATGGTACTTACTAACATAATGCTAATTGTTTGTTGGTCTTATACTACTAGGGTAGGGTTGAGATTGTGTCCCTAGCACTTAATGTGGTAACTGGTACTCAGCAAATAATTGTTGAATGAATAAATGTCTGTCTTTTGACTGAACAAATGATAGAAGAGAAGAGAGAAGCTTATGCCCTGATCCTCATTTCCCCTACCCACAACACTGTTAATATTACCATACAAAGTTTGTGACTCGGTTTTTGTTCTCTTTATTCTTGAAGAATCAGGAGAAACTAATGAAAGAACTCAAACAGCTACAGCAAGAGGACCTGGCACGTAGGAGACAGACTGTAGCACAAATGCCACCACAACTAGTTGAACTTCCATACAAACGCAGTGAAATGAAGGAAGACTGGCAGAGAGAATTGGAATTTGCCTTTGAAGATATGTACAATGCAGACAGGAGTAAGTTATTTTCAGTGGGGTTTTCAGTAGTGGTTTTAAACATTTTGGTGGGAAAATATGTCTAATGATAAAGCAGTTTTTATTTTGAAATGGGGTCTCAGTTTGAAGGAGACCTCCATATTTTAGATTAAGGCATTACAGTGGCCTTTGCATTTTTGTGATACAGTTATTTTTAATCATTTTGGAATGGAAACATGTCTCTATATTTCTTTTTTAAGAGGTAAAAGGGAATCTGATTTTGCACCTTGAACCAGAGCCTTTGCCCACTGTGACTGATCACATCCAAGATGAAGAGCTGGACCTATCAATGGAACAAGAAAATTTGGGTACAGCTGAAGACCTTCCAGTGACAGAAGCTGAAATAATATGTTCTAGTGAAACAGATGGTAAAAACCTTTCTGTTCTAAATATTACAATATTTCACAGAAATAAATGCTAATCCTTAGCCAACAGTTAGGAAAATCTGATTTGATTTAAGTGCAAGCAATGAATAATACTGATGGGAACGGTAGCTAAAGGAAACAATGTTTTCATATTTCCATCATGGATAATCCTTTTTCATATGTGCAGGAGGAAATTTTATTGATACGTACAGATGATCTGAAGATTTTTAAGTTATTTGAGTTAGGTGCTCAATTCTGAATTCATTTAAAATATTGCATGGTAGACATACCTGATAGCAATAACTTAAGCATATCCTGAGAATGACCCTGTGTGGCACACACACCTGAATGTGGTTCTGAGCTAGGGAATCTAGGAGATGCCAACCTGGAGATTTGTTTCTTGTCTGTGAGGAACATCTGAGCCCCTGTCTCATCATGTGAAACATGAGCCATACAGAGGATCAAGGCATCAAGTTTTGGGTTCAGTAAAGGTTGTCAGTTGGAGGTCATAAGGAAAAGAGTACTAAGTGACAATGCTATTTAAACTGCATGGATTTTGCAGTTCTTCAGTCCAGCCTGCTGCCACTGGACTCTCCCTTGTATATATTCCCTCAGTGAAACTGCATAGCTCATTGGCTAGGTTTGGATCTCTTATTTGGCCTCTTGAACTTGGTGCCATCTCCATTTGAGTCAGTAGAGGTTCAGCACAACAAAGGTAAGCACAGACTTGTCAGATCATCAGAGATCCTACTGGTATTCAGTTATTTCTAGATACTTTGTGTGTAATGCTGGGTAGCACAAATTTTGATCTTTCAAACATCTCTGCTCCAGCATTCTGAAATTTTTCACTTGGCTTTCCCATAGTTACTTAAAACTCCATGTCTAGCAATAAATTTATAATCTTCTCTTCTCTACTGAAACCTTCTCTACCTAGTTTTGCTATCTTAGTGAATGATATCACAGTCCCTTTTTTTTCTTTATTTCTTTTAGTTCCCTTGGCAATGAAGACCCAAAAGATTCCTTCAAAAGTTCTTTTTAAAAAATTGTTAAATAAGATCCGAAGCCAAAAATCTCTCTGGACAATTCAATCCATGTCTGAGGATGAAAATGAAATGATTACGACTGTTAGTGAAATTGAGAGTAAAGCACCAACGATTGAGTCAGGAACACTTGCCAGCGAAGAGAGAATGCTATCCTCTGGGCAGGAACAAGGTATTTCTCTCCAAGAGTCTCATTTTCTATAAACCCCTTTTAAATTGTTCAAAAGTAGGTTCGTTCCTGAAAATCCGAAGAATAGAGGTTACAGAACACTTTTAATGTAGTATTATTTATGTATATTTATTCCAATGTAATCAATGAATCAAAATTAACCAGTTCCTTAATGACATGTTTAGGCTGTTTTCTAATTTTTCTTGGTATTTTTTTGTGCTATAGTGGGCATCCTTTTAGTGAAGTCTTTGCCCACATCTTGACTTCCAGAGGAAGAACTCTTGAAAGAATAACTCCTGATCAAAGGATATATGAGCGTGTTAATGGGTTTTGAGTGTATTGTAGTCCCACCAGATATTTGGTTTCTTATTTGCTGATTTTAAATAATTTTTTGATTGGAAAAATAGGCTCTTAAATATATTTCCAGAAGTTATAAAGTATCTGTTCACACACAATTCAAGTATCTCCTTAATGGAGATTCTTTTAAAAATGTGATTAGATTTGTATGGAAATGTTTTGCTTCTGTGCTTTTGAGCAAAGTGACTTATGTATTTGGGTTTTGGATTTTTCCTGAGTCCCACAGGAAGCCTTGAAGTATTTTCTTCCCTTGGCCTCTTGACAGTCCCTTCCTTTAGTTTTCCCACTTTACTGTTTCCTCTTTCATTTTCTTTGCTGTTTATCCACATCTCCACAGTGATTAACCATTGCCCCTGGAGCTTGTTCTGCAAGTCCCTTCTCTTTGTGCCAAAACTCCCTAGATGATCTCAAATGTCACACTTTACATTATCATCTATAAACTGATGTCTCCCAAGGGTGTATGTCTAGTTTAGGCCTTCTCTTTGAACTCAACTTATTTATTTAACTGTTTATCATCTCTTGTATGTCTAACAATATCTTAAGTGTGTTCAGAAGTGAACTGTTGATATCCCCTCCCACCACACATCTGCTTTTCCTACAGTATTTCACATTTGAGCATCTGGCAATATTTTAATTCCCTTACTCAAGCCAAAAAGCTTATAATCATTCTGGTTGCCTCTTTTCATATCTTACATCCAAACTATTAGCTGATCCAGTTAATCCTACCCTCGAAATATATCAATAGTCCAACCATTTCTTACCATCTACATCCTAGTTTAAGCCACATTCATTTTCTAGGTAGATTCTTGTAGTAGCCTGCTGTCATCAGCCTTTGCACCTACCTATTATGGTCTATTAACACGCCTCTTAAAAACAAATAATCTCATGTAATTCCTCTGAGTGAAGCCCTCCAATAACTGTCAGTTTCACTCAGTAAAAGCCAGAGAGTGTATAGTGGTTTCAAAGCCTTATGTGACCTGCATATATACACCCCCACCACTGCTCCTCTAATACCCACTACCCTTCTGACTTCATTTTCCTGCCACACCTCCCTTCTCATCTTCTGCACTGTAGATGCCAGCTTCCTCACTATTTCTCAAATAGCAAACATAGGGCTCCTGGTCTTAGCAATTGCTGGTCTTTTTGGCTAGACTTCTCTTTTTCTTGGGTATTGACTCACTTCCTCACTTCTTTCACATGTTTACTCAGCTATCACTTTCTCAAATGGCACGCTTCTACGCCTCCCCACCTCTACTCCAACCTCCACACCTTTCACTTCCTATCCCCTTTACCCTGCTTTCCCCCCATAGCACTTATCAATACCTGATGGGCAATAAAATGACTTTGGTACTTACTTTGCTTATTGTCTTAATGCCTACCCCACCTATGCATAAGGATAGGAGCTTTGATTTTCTACATTGCTGTGTCCCCAAAGCCTGGAGTACTGCCTTATACAAAATAGGTGCTCAGTTAACATTTGTTGAATTAATTGAATAGTTTAAAGGAAGAGAGGTAAATTTGGAATCTAGACATATATATGATGTTTAATGCCATGAACATAGAAAACCACTTGGAGGGGAAAGAATTCAGTGAAAAGAGGGCATATAAGACCATGTGAGGGATTCCAGCATCTAGAAGATGGCTAGAGAAAGGGCAGATAGCAAAGTCAGTGAAAGGAGTGACCAGAGAAGTTGGGGAGAATATGGTATTGGAATCCAAAAAAGGGGACTCTCATATCTTTTGATAAAGGGCCTATAATGAGGAGGCTTTCTCCATTCTCATCTTGCTTTATTCTCCCCCTTGCCTGACTATAGCCCATGCACACTGATCTTTCAGTTCCTTGAATGGGCCAAGGTTTGTTTCTTTATCCTTATGGGGAGTTTTGTACCTGTTGGTCTGTCTGGAAAGTCTCCTATACATCTTCACATAGTTAACCTGGCTGGTTCTTCTTTACCTTTCAGGTGTCTGCTTAAATGTAATTTCCTCAGAGAAATTTCATCTTGCCCAGCAAGTTATTATTTATTATACTCTATTGTATAACCCTTCACTTCTCTTGTATAGTACTTGTCACGATTTCTACTATTATAATTTTTTGGGGGATAATTATATGATGGTTCTGCTATCTATTCTGTAAGCCTCCTTGAAGCCTTTTCTCATTCACTGTGGTATCCCCAGTATGTACCACATAAGTAGGTGCCAAATGAATAAATAAGTGAACAGAAACGGCTGCTCCATGCAGAGTATCTGGCTACCCAAATATGATCAGAACAAATTGCTTTAACTTCCTTCTCTGCTCTGGTTTCACAAATTACTTTAAAAAAAAAAATTCTAGCATCTAGATATATCAAAGATACGTTGACATTTCGTTAGCGTCTCTTTTAACTTTGATTCCTTGTTATTTTCACTCTTGTTATGCTTTTCCACTGTGTTTGAAACCTTATCAGCGTATCTTTTAAATCAGTTCTTCACGTTTTCACAATTTCAGTCTTTCATGTCGTATTATTAGGCTTGGGTTTAATGAGAAATATATTTGATCATCAGGAAGGTGACTGGATCTTAACTAAATGAGATATTCAGGTGGCCCTAGATTGAATTTGTTAATACCAGAATTTTGTTATTTTGCTTTGATTTAAGCTTGACAATGAGATATTCTTAATAACAGTGGTATTATCTATTACAGTTGTTGAAAGTGATACACTAACAATAGAGTCTGGACCACTTACTAGTGAGGATAAATCACTTTCGTGTGGTACAAACTCTGGAAAAGAACAAGGTATTTCTTTTTATCACATCCTCAAATTAAATTTGACTCCTCACATCATTTTTTTTTTTTAATAAAATTACATGTGATATATTAAGAAAGGGCATTATAATGGTGTCATAATTCTAAATTATTTAAACTAATTTTTGTTTGGGGCATTCCCCTAGAAATAAAAGAGACTCTGCCTATCACAACTGTAGCTCAGAGTTCAGTTCTACTTCATCCTCAAGAAGAAGCAGCCAGGATTAGAAAGTCAGCAAGGCAGAAACAGGTAATTTGAATTTTTATTTTTAAAGATTTATTCCCCCCACCGCCCCACTCGGTACTATTATATAATTTCGTTTGACTAATGACATTTGTTTTAATGTCTGGCTACTTTTGATATAATGTTTTTGACATTGTCTTACACAGACATTCAGCTGATAGAATGCATGTTGTCTTTGCTCATACTACTCATTCAATCCTTTCTGTGTCTGCTTTATATTTTATATATTTGTATGTGTCTTACCTTCCCTATAAAACTTATTAGCTTTTAAAAAGCGGAAACTATCTTTAAAAGATTGAGTTTATCCTACATAGTTTCTGATACAATGCTTTGTACATAGTAAGTATACAATAAATGTTGAATTAACAAGTCCTTATCATAGTATTAGACACTCAGATGGGCTTTGTAATCCCACAAGTTTTTTTGAAAAATATATTTCAGAGGGGGAAAAAAAATGTTTTTTTTTTGAGACAGAGTTTCACTCTCGTTGCCCAGGCTGGAGTACAATGGCTTGATCTCGGCTCACTGCCCCCTCTACCTCCTGAGTTCAAGCAATACTCCTGCTTCAGCCTCCTGAGTAGCTGGGACTACAGGCGTGCACCACCACGCCCCACTAATTTTTGTATTTTTAGTAGAGATGGGGTTTCACCATGTTGACCAGGATGGTCTCAATCTCTTGACCTCGTGATCCACCCACCTCAGCCTCCCAAAGTGCTGGGATTATGGGCGTGAGCCACTGCGCCAGAGGAAAAATTTTTCATATACAACCCCCTGTTTTTGCTCTGTCGCCCAGGCTGGAGTACAGTGGCATGATCATGGCTCACTGCAGCCTTGACCTCTTCAGTTCAGTCCTCTGACCTCAGCCTCCTGAGTAGCTGGGACTACAGGCATGGGCCACCATATCCAGCTGTTTTTTTTTTTTTTTTTTCATAGTAGAGATGAGGTCTTACCATATTGCCCAAGCTAAACTTTAACCTCTTTAGGCCAGCCGTGGTAGCTCATGCTTGAAATTCTAGCACTTTGGGAGCCCGAGGTGGGCAGATCTCTGGAGCCGAGGAGTTTGAGACCAACCTGGCCAACATGGTGAAACCCCATCTCTACTAAAAATTAGGTGGGTAAGGTGATACACACCTGTAATCCCAGCCATCCTGGAGGCTAAGGTGGGAAGATTGCTTGAATCCAGGAGGCGAAGGTTGCAGTGAGTCAAGATCATGCCACTGCACTCCAGGCTGGGTGACAGAGTAAGACCCATCTGAAAAAAAAAAAAAAAATTCTCCTTAACTTACAATTTTGGTCTCATCTACTATTAATAAAAGATTTTTCAACCCAACTTACCTAAAAGGAGGCTAATTATTACTAAGCAAGTCAGGTTGTAGTCCTAGTTTGTTTTTTCAAAAATACAGCTGGGGAGTGAGAATTCCATGTGCCAGTATTTCTTCTCAGATAAATATTTTCTCAGGCTGGGCACGGTGGCTTATGCTTATAATCCCAGCACTTTGGGAGGTCTAGGTGGGTGGATCACCAGAAGTCAGGAGTTCAAGACCAGCCTGGCCAGCATGGCAAAACCCCGTCTCTACTAAAAATACAAAAATTAGCTGCACGTGGTGGTATGCGCCTATAATTCCAGCTACTCAGAAGGCTGAGGCATGAGAATCACTTGAATCCAGGAGGTGGAGGTTGCAGTGAGCCGAGGTTGCACCACTGTATTCCAGCCTAGGCGACAAGAGTAAAACTCATCTCAAAAAAAAGAAAAAATATTTTCTTATCAATAGTCTAGAACAATATTGTTCATTAGCACTTTCTATGATGATGGAAATGTTCTGTATCTATGTCTAGCATGTATCTATTAGCCACATAGGCTGTTGAATTCTTAAAATGTTAGTGTAACTGAGGAACTGAATTTTAAGTTTTATTTAATTTTAATTAAATTTAAGTAGTCACATACAGCTACTAACCACTGTATGGATAGTATGGTTCTAGATGTACTACAGAACTGTAAACAGTCTAAATTCAGGGCTTCCTATGAGTGAGGGAAAGTAAGGAAGAGGAAGACAGGAACTCAGTTGAAGCCACTGTTGCCTAATTAGGAATAGGCAAAGAATCTGGTCGAGACTTTGTTTTTATCTTGAAAAGAAGATCATTGTTCATTATCTCTAGTAGAAGTGCTATTCTTTATATAATAAAACTGAATGTGCATTCCTTTTTTTACTTAGTAAATATTTTATCTATCAAGGACTGTATAGTAGTCTCTGCTTATCCACAGGGTATATGTTCCTAGACCCCTAATGGATGCCTGATAGTACTGAACTGCAGATAGTATTGATTCCTGTATATAGTATGGGTGAAATTTTTTCCTTCTTTATAATTCCACTGATAGAAAATTTACTCTTCCCATAGATGTTAGCAATCAGTGTACAATTTTTTTTTTCTTTCCTTATTGAGAACTTTCAACTTTTCACTAAAAGGAAGCACTTTACAGCCTCTCTTTGATACATCTGAATTGCCAGTATTACTGCTCTTATGCTTTGGAGCCATAGTGAAGTAAAACAAGGGTTATTTGAACACGAGTACTGTGATGCTGCAACAGGCAAGTTTTTGTAACCAAGATGGCTACCAAGTAACAAGTGGCCTGATTGAGTTTATAGCATGATATGCTGGACAACGGGATTATTCTTGTTTCAACCGGACAGTGCAAGATTTAATTGCACTACTTAGAACAGTGCATAATTTAAAACTTATGAATTATTTCTGGAATTTTCCATTTAATATTTTCTGGCTGCTGTTGACCTGAGTAATTAAACCACAAAAGCTAAATTGCAGATAGGAAGGGACTAAGGTGGTAGATTTGGCAGGCTAGTTTTGTCCTCATGAAACTCATAGTTACTCAAACATGTTCATATTACTTAGAATGTAAGTATGCTTATATAATATTAGAGTTTGTGTTATCTTTCTGCTATTTTCTTCTGTTCCATGCCTGACAAAACAGACACAGAATGTTGTTCTTTGCTTCTAGATAACTATACCTCTTAATGGGTATAGCTAAGAAATTAAAGTATTTTAGGAGGCCTTGATATTTAATTTCTGTACTCATTATTTATACTATTAAGTGTGTGAAGATAGAATTTGGCTGTACATCATTTGCTGCTTCAAAGTAGTTCTTCAGTGGTGATCAGGGTTTCCCTGTGCTCTTAGAAAGCAGAAATAGTTAATGTATTTATGCTTTTGTTTCCTTCTGCCTTTTTTTACTTCTCTCCCTTTTTCTCTTTTCCCATCTTTTACTCCCATCCTCAGTCTGTCAGTGATAATAACAGAGATAAAGCATCACTACTTATTTCTTTGAAATTGGTACACTTCGTGAAGAAACTTCTTTCTTTTAAATGGAATGTGTATTAGCTTTCCCTTCGTATGAGTTTGTTGTTAATAGATCAATAGTATTTTTGTTACCTAGATAATGGAAATAGAAGAGCAGAAGCAAAAGCAGTTGGAATTACTTGAACAAATTGAACAGCAGAAATTGAGATTAGAAACTGACTGCTTCAAGGCTCAGCTGGAAGAAGAAAACAGAAAAAAAACTACTCAACAGACTGGGGTAGGATGCAGAAAAATCTCACCACTATATAAATCTTTTGGTGACGGGGGCAAGAAAATATGAGCACTTGTTGCGTTTAGAAAAGTGAAATGGTTGGCTGGGTGCAGTGGCTCACACCTGTTAACCCCAGCATTTTGAGAGGCCGAGACAGATCACTTCAGGTCAAAAGTTTAAACCAGCTTGGCCACTATGGTGAAACTCCATTTCTACTAAAAATAAAAAATTAGTTGGGCATGGTGGCACATGCCTGTAATCCCAGCTACTCAGGAGGCTGATGCAGGAGAATCACGTCAACGCAGTAGGTGGAAGTTGCAGAGTGAGACTCCATTTCAAAAAAAACAAAAGTAAAATGCATTTGTAATTTATATTTGGTCTTTTTTTAATGTAATGTATGTATATATAGTAAATTTGCCCAGTTACGGCTTTTGTCTTTTAGTTTCTATAGGATATTAGTAGATATGACCATGGTTTGTAGGTAATGAGTACATTGAGCTTTTGGATGGGCACTAAAGGAGAATGACAGATTAGTTTATTTCTTACTAATGGAAGCTGTATAGAAGTTTACAATTATAGAACTGTATGTAAAAATACTTTAGTATTTATTTCTAAATATCTCTTTTAATTAGTAACTTTGTCTTTTATTAGGTTGGCATTGTTCCAGCATCTTGCACTGTAATTTCTGATGAAGATAGTCATAGGCAATTGATTCGTAACTATCAACATCAGCTTTTACAACAAAACAGGTATTAGCTAGGGTATAATTTATATGAGATTGTATGTGGCTACATTTTTAAGATTCATTATTTTGTTTATATGATGATCTAATTTGGATTTCCTTAGAACTATGGCATGTAGAACTGCCATTCTTAAAGGACAACATGAGTGTAATTTCTTTTCACCATGAGTATTGCCAACCCTAGATTACTGTTTGTTAAATTTAATGTACAGATATGGGGCTTTTATTTTTTATTAAAAAAGAGTAATTGTTTTCTTTTGTTTTTGTTAGGTTACACAGGCAGTCTGTTGAAACAGCCAGGAAACGATTACTTGAATATCAAACCGTGTTAAAAGGAAGGTGCCCATGGATGTCAGCTCCATCATTGATAACTGATTCCACTGTATCAGTGCCATCATGGAAATCTGAGAGACCAAGGGCTGTATCAGAGCATTGGGATCAAGGTCAGAGACTCAAGTTGAGTCCTAACAAATACCAACCCATACAGCCTATACAGACCTCCAAATTAGAACAAGGTCATTTTCAGGAAGCCAGACAAAATCACTTTCCACAAAGACAAGTGGAAACAACAGAAACATTAGGTGTTTCAAATATTTTAACCAATCAGTCTTTAAAATCACAAGAACATTTAATGCAGTTCTCTCAGACTGAAACACAACAGAGAGACTATAAATTGATCTCTGAAGATTCTGAGACACTTTCAAGGGCTTTGTCACATGATAGGCAGCTAGTATCACAGGATGCTAGAAAAATATCTGAAACATTTAGGGTAACAACTTTTCAAAGTTTAGATTCCCAACAGATGTTCTCAGAGAATAGTGAAAATACGTCTTCCAAGCCAACTGAACCTTCTTCATTTGTACCACTATTACTTCAGCATTCTTTTAGTTCTCCACCTGTTAAAGTTGAATCAGGAAAAATGCAAGAACCGTTTTCAACCATGAGGAAAAGTACAGTTTCCACAAGCCATGCTATCGTCAGCCAGATGCATGATAGGCATTTGCTACCCTCAGAGAATATCATAGCCCAACAAGGTAATATGAAAGCCCTCCAAGAACAGTTAGACCTACAGAAGAAAGTTCTTCAGGCAAGACAGGAAGCTCAGGAGCAGTTGCTTTTGTGCAAACAGAAAGAATTGGAACAGCAAACTGGCCTCTCAGTATTCCTTCCCTTGGTAACTCCCAATTCATCTGCTTTATTGCCTTCTGCCAAAGCTGATTTGGGGAGCATCCAGGAATCTTCACCAGCCAAGAATAATACTGCAATTTCCTCAGACCATCATGTGATCTCACAACTTCAGGATAGGCTTTTGAATTTTTCACAGCCTATCTTATCACAGCAAAATAATCTTAAATTTCTCCAAGAGCAGTTGAATATTCAGAAGGATAGCCTTCAGGCTAGGCGAGAAGCCCAGGAAGTATTGTGTGTACATAAACAGAGTGAATTGGATGGAAGAGCATGTTCTGAACAGTCTGAGCCCTCTTCTCTCCCTTTTCAGATAGCTCAGCATATATTTACTTCACTACCTTCTGCTGATAGAAAACCTGGAAAAATCCAGGAGCAATATTCATCTAAGAGCGAGAAAGGACTTGTTTTTTGCCAATCTGACATCCCCAAAACTCAGGATGGATCTTCGAGTTTCCTACAGCAGTTCCTACCTCTACATGATAGTTTGAAGTTGCTCCAAGAACAATTGACTAAGCAGAGGGATACTCTTCAGGCTCAGCCTGAAGCTCAGGTGGCATTACTCTTACATAGACAAAGAGATTCAGGAGACAGTAAGTCTGGGCTGGTGAGCTCTTCATCCTTACCAATGGTGGTTAAACATTCAGTTGCTTCACAAGCTTCTGCTAAAGCTGAGCCTAGGAGAATTTCACAACATATACTACCTCTACAAGATAATTTGGAGGAACACCAAGCATGGCTAGACACTGAGAAATTCAGCCGGAAAACCCAAGAAAATACATCTTCTGAACAAACCGGTTCATCTTCATTTGTACCTCAGTTGGTACAGCTTTCATTTACTTCATTAGCTTCAGCTGAGTCTGGCACAATCCTGGAACCTCTTTCAATAGAAAGTGAAAGTAAAATTTCTTCAACCCATCTTCAGATCCCACAGTTGCAGAATAGACTTTTGAGGATATCACAACTTATCCAACCTCAACAAGATAATTTGAAGGCACTTCAAGAAAAGTTAGCTACACAGAGAGAAGCCATCATTCTAGCTAGACAAGAAGCTCGGGAAGAATTACTTTTACATAAATGGAGTGAATGGGAGGGAAGAATATCTCCCAAGCAGGTTGACACCTCTTCCTTACCCCTAATACCACAGCATTCATTTGCCTCATTACCTCTTACTGAATCTGAAAGAAACCAAGAACCATGTTCAATTAATGGTGATAATATGCTCTCCTCAGGTCACGCTGAGATATCAAGATTGCCTGATGGGCTTTTGGGTTTATCACATGTTGTTTTACCTCAACAAGATAATTTGATTGCACTTGAAGAAAACTTGCATACCCAGACAGATTTCTTTCCTTCTATTGAGAAAACCCAGAAAGAATTGATTTTGTCAAAACCATGTACATTTGAGGAAAAGGTATCTCCTGAGCATTTTATCCATTCTCACCATAGTGATTTGCAAGCACTTCAACAGCAGTTAGATGCACAGAAGAAAGCCATTCGATCTAGTCAAGAAGTCCAAGAAGAATTGCTTTTGCAAACATTAAGGGAATTGGAGAAAAGAGTATCATCTGAACAAATTAGCTCCTCTTCATATCTATCCCAGATAGTACTGCCTGTTGCTGACTCTGAAAGAACCCAGAAGTCTCTCCCAACCAAAAGTAATGATACTGTTCCCTCAGGTTATCCTGAGATCCCAAGGTTACAGGATAGACTTTTGAGTTTATCACAGTCTATTCTGCCTCAGGAAGATAATTTGACAGCTCAATTGGATGTACAAAGGGAAGTGATGTATTCTTACGAGAAATCCCAGGGAGAACTGCCTTTAAATAAACAAACAAAGTTGAACAAAAGTGAATCTGCTGAGCATACTATCCCCTCTCTGTTGCTACCCAAGGAAACAGAGCATTCATTTATTCCACTACCTTTTGCAGAAACTAAACCTAAAAGCACTTGTGAATTATACTCATCCCATAATGAACATGCAGCTCCCCAAAGTGATCCAGTGATCCCAGCATTTCAAGATAGACTCTTGAGTTTTTCACAGCCTGTCTTAGCCCAGCAAGATAACTTGGGACTTCAGAAGCAGTTGGAACTACAAAGAGAAGTTCTGCATTATAGCCAGAAAACCCAAGAAAAATTGCTTGTACAGAGACAAACAGCATTGCAGCAGCAGATACAGAAACATGATGAGACATTGAAGGATTTCCTTAAAGACAGTCAGGTATGTTTTAAACCTGAATAATAATGAAACAATAGAAGCTTAAATCCAAATTAGTTTTTAATAATAGGATTACAAGTTTTTAGTTGAGAATAAGTAGTTTGACCTCAACTGTGCTTTGATTTTCTACCCTAAATAATGTGGAAATTAAAACAAAAATTGATCCACCCACACAGTGTTTATGGGGTGAATAGTTACATGAAGCCCTATTAATTTCATTTTTTTTAGTTTTACTTTTTTTTTTTTTTTGGAGACAAGGTCTTGCTCTATCATCCAGGCTGAAGTGCAATGGCACCATGTCAGCTCACTACAACATCTGTCTCCTGGGTTTAAGTGATTCTTATGCCTTACCCTCCTGAGTAGCTCAGATTACAGCTGTGTGCCACCATGCCCAGCTAAATTTTGTAATTTTTTTTTTTAAGTAGAGACTGGGTTTTGCCTTGTTAGCCAGGTTAGTCCCTAACCAACCTCAGCCTCTCAAAGTGCTAGGATTACAGGTGTGAGCCACCACACATGGCCCAAAGCTCAATTAATTTCAAATGCAAACACACTACAAAACAGTGTAGATTCTCATTTTGGAGTTTTGTTTTAATGGATTTTAAGCTTACTATAAGATTAAAATTATAAAAATAACTGGTTAACAGGATTTCTCTTACATAGCTGTAGACATTGTGCTCTTTGCTGACATTTATATGCAAATTTACATCAATGCTATCTTTTTTCTCAAGTGACACTATTATTACTTGTTGCAAAACTAGCATGATTTTAGGCTGACGTACAGCAGGACCTGCTGCTTGTATCTGAATTGTTCGTAAGACTCTGACCCAGTGACTCATTCATAGTTGCTCTACCTGGGAGACGAGTATGTTCTAAATTTGAATGTATCTTTTATTTTAAAAGGCCACTTCTGCTGGGAGTGGTGATCCAGACCTGTAATCTCAACACTTTGGAGGCCATGCCAGGGGGATCCCCTGTGCCCAGGAGTTCGAGACCAGCCTGGGCAACATGGCAAAACCCTGTCTTGACAGAAAATACAAAAATTAGCCAGGTGTGGGGTAGCGTGTACATCTAGTCCCAGCTACTCTGGAAGCTTAGGTGGGAGGATATCTTGAGCCCAGGTGGTTGAGGCTGCAGTTGGCCATATTATGCCACTGTACTTCTGCCTGGGCAATGAGGGAGACCCTATCTCAAAAAAATAAATAAAAGGCCACTTCCTAAATTTATTATTTAGTCTAAATAGAATTCTACAAAACCTTTGATATCAAGAAGAAGCCTGAGTTGGGTTCAGGAAGAGTTGATGTCTAGAGATTTACTGGTCATTTAAAGGGAAAGTAATGACAAAAGCAGAATGAGATACTCAAATGTAATCTCTTATGGAAAGATGCAATGGAGGCTAAGTTGTTGTTGTTTGCTTGTTGTCTCACTCTGTTGCCAGGCTGGAGTGCAGTGGTGCTGTGGCTTACTGTAGCCTCCAACTGCCTGGTTGAAGCAATTCTCCTGCCTCAGCCTCCTGAGTAGCTGGGAATACAGGCATGTGCCACCACATCCAGCTAATTTTTGTATTTTTAGTAGAGACGCTGTGTCATCATGTTGGCCAGGATAGTCTGCATCTCCTGACCTCTTGATCCACCTGCCTCAGCCTCCCAAAGTGCTGGGATTACAGGTGTGATCCACTATGCCTGGTCAGAGGCTAAGTTTTTAAGTCCAAGGCTGTGAGTGGTTCTATTTTCTTTCTTTTTTTCTCTTTTCCTTTTTTATTTGAGGCAGAATTTTGCTGTGTTGCCCAGGCTGGAGTACATTGGTGCAATCTCAGCTCACTGTAACCTCCGCCTCCCAGTTCAAGTGATTGTCCTGCCTCAGCCTCCTGAGTAGCTGGTATTATAGGCACGCACCACCATGTCCAGCTAATTATTATATTTTTAGTAGAGACCGGATTTCACCACGTTGGCCAGGCTTTTCTCAAACTCCTTACTTCAGGTGACCCACCCGCCTCAGCCTCCCAAAGTGCTGGGATTACAGGCATAAGTGACTGTGTCCGGCCAAATGGTTTTATTTTCAATGGAAATATTATCCTTTTGGCATTAGAAGCACATCTTATTTTTTATATATAGATAAAATTTTAAAGTGTGATTGATGGAACTATTTATTTGGTTGACATTCTAATTTAAGAAGGGAGATATAAATCTTTTTTATAAATAAAGACGGGGGGTTTTTTATAAATAAAGATGGGGTTTCACCATGTTGGTCAGGCTGGTCTTGAACTCCCGACCTCAGGTGATTCGCCCGCCTTGGCCTCCAAAGTGCTTGGATTACAGGCATGAGCCATCATGCCTGGCCAGGAGATAAAAATCTAATGAAGAACTCGTCACATGATCCCCCAATTTGTGTTTCCCCACCCTCATCTCCACTTTTTCAGATAAGTAAGCCCACAGTTGGAAATGATTTAAAAACTCAGAAGATGGGGCAGCTCAAAGAGTGGTTTTCTAATATACAAGATCTAGCAGGAAATGATCAGGAAGACATTAGGCATGCAGATAGGAACAACACTGATGATAATCAGCTGGTTTCAGAAGATTCTAGTGCCAAGCAAAGTGGTAAGATAATTGTGTTTTATTGTTATTATTCCACTTGTTAGTCCTTGTTTACGTCCCCTGTAGCTTGCTAGTTGAAGAAAAGTTAAAAGTATGTTAATAGATTTTTTTTATTGTACCCAACTTTGTCATTGACTTAATAGGTGAGCATCTGGAAAAAGAACTGGGTATAAGATCCTCAAAGCCACCTGTAGCAAAAGTCAAATATGGTTTGGACTTAAACCAGCATGAACTTAGTGCTATACAAGAAGCAGAGTCACCAGCAAGTGGCAGAACTTCTATACTAGGTAAATAGGTGGTTTGATAAAACAATAATTTTAAATAATTTGCCAGATTTCTACCTTTTTTTTTTTTGAGATGGAGTCTTGCTCTGTTGCGCAGGCTGGAATGCAGTGGCGTGATCTCGGCTCACTGCAACCTCCGCCTTCTGGGTTCAAGTGAGTCTCCTGTCTTAGCCTCCCAAATAGCTGGAATTGAAGATGCCCACCACCACACCCAGCTAATATTTGTGTTTTTAGTAGAAACAGGGTTTCACCATGTTGGCCAGGCTGGTCTTGAACTCCTGACTTCAGGTGATCTGTCCTCAGCCTCCCAAAGTGCTGTGATTACAGGTGTGAGCCACCGTACCTGGCCTACATTTTTTCAGAGTGCTAAACGTTTTTTGTTAAGTTATAGCAGAAAAGGAAGATGGAAAAAAAAGAAAAAGAAACCTAGACTGACTTCTAGGTTAGTCTAAAGAAAAGGGAAAAATGTTTTTTGTAAACTGTATTTAAAAGTTGGACTTAAATGTGGCATTGGTAATAACTATGACTATGTAGTTTCTTTATCTTGTATATGGCGAAACCAACTTATTGTAGACAAAAATTTTTTTATTTTCCATGTTCTGGCACTGTTATTCCCTCTTCTTCCTTTAATGTCTGTATTCTAAATGTGTTTCTTTAGGATACACTCGGGTTTTTTTTTTTCTCTTTCCGTTTGTCACCTACTTTCCTACCTTCACTGCTCTTTTATTGTATTTTTATAGGATTATTATGCTTATATCCTGGCTTTATGGTCAGTATCAACAGATACGTTTCTTCACTGTACTACTTTCTACATCCAGGTGTCAGGAAAAAAAAAAACCCATCCCTGCAATTTTTAATAAAAAGTCTTATGTGAATTTCATAATTATTTTTAGAATTCAGATTCACTAATTTTCTCAATCAAATTTATCAAAATAAATTATTTTTTAAAGGGGAAAATTAGCTTTGTCAATAGAAAGGTACATAGAAGTTATATTCTCATTAGTATAGTAGTTGAACAAGAAAGTTGTAATGTTAATATTGTTTTGTTCTTTAGCTATAAAATACTGTACTTGTGTTTCTAAGCATTTGAAAGAATTAAGGGAGGCATGCCAGGTGCAGTGAGTCATACCTGTAATCCCAGCACTTTGGGAGGCTGAGATGAGAGGATCGAGACCAGCCTCGTGTAACACAGCGAAACCCCAGCTGGTGGCACTTACCTGTGTAGTCCCAGCTACTTGGGAGACTGAGGTGGGAGGATCGCTTGAGCCCAGGAGGTTGAGGCTGCACTGAGCTGTGGTCCTACCAGTGCACTCCAACATGGGCAACAGAGCAAGACTGTGTCTTAAAAACAAAAAATTATTTTATAGGAATGAAACGATTTAGAAAAAATTTAAAAATGAAAGAATTAAGGAAGGTAGAAATATCCCCTTTATTACTAGGCTTTGGAAGCTGTTCTCCTGTCGCACTGTTCAACAAATCACAACTGATAAGGAATTGATTAATACTCTCCCTAATTCAGAATGAGCATTGGGAAATTCTCATCATTAGTTACTGTAATTTAATGATTCATGTTTGAGATTGCAATAATGTCACTTTGTCTAAAAGGGAAATCCATATATTCCCTTACATTTACCTCTTTAGCCTTTAGCCTTCTTTTTTCAGTGTATAGTACCCAGATGTCAAGTTTTGGCCCTTCCCTTATCATTACTTCCTTAATACCAAATAAATCACCAAATCTTCTACTTTTTGAACTCCTGAATATGTCCACATCTTTCCATTCCCAATACCATTTATTTAATTTAGGCTATTTTTTTTCTTGGATAGTTGCTACAACTCCCATTGTCTCCCAGTTTCCAGTCTTGCTTTACTGCAATCCATTTTTCAGTGGTGTATTCAGAGTAATCTCCCTCTGTTTTTCCCTGTTTAAAACTCTGCAATCGTTTAAGTCTAGGAATAAGTCTAAATAAGTCAAAATCCCTAGGTAGGTGAACTAAAATCCCTACCAAAACCCCTGGTAGGTGAACTACCAGGCCCTCATGATCTTTCTCTTCCTCCCTTCAAGACTTACTAAGTGCCATTTGTTTGGTAAACTCTTTTAAGTTTCTGTCTCATGAAGTCTTGGGAGTTCTCATCATAGCCTTTAGTATACTTCTTAGGGTAATACTTTTTTTCATCACATTACACAAAAGTAATTTAAAAAGGGAAATAGTGCTCAAAGGTATAACATGAAACAGCAGTTCTTCCTGCCCCCTACAACATCCTTTAATACCACTCACTCGAGGCAGTTACTTTTCAAGTCTTTTTAAGTATTTCTTCTTGTATTTACTTTCCTAGTTGCAGTGTGTTTAAGCAAAAAGTAAGCTAAATTGTCATCATGGTAATACGTAGATTTTTTTCGCTGCTGAGTCCATTAGTATTTTATGTGATTATATTTTCTTTGTGTACGCCTTTTTTTGTGTAGTAAATGATCCTCTTTATTTCATTTGCTTAAAGTTACTTAAAGTGTCTGTCTTCTTTCACTTCAGTTAAATACCTCTAAATATAGTTTTCCAGGTAGTTTGCACTATTTTCTCTTTTTGTGGAACACCTTTTAGTTGGAAGTTGTATGGACTGTGCTATGCATTCTTAACAAGGGTGTTACTTCCCGCAAGGGGATAAAAATTGGTTCTTGGGGAGGTGAAAAAAACTATTTTTATGTACAAAGCACAAATATACATAAATATATAGTGTATTTGTGGTTATTAAAACTGAATGAAGGTAGGGGCAATTTGAAAAGTCTAAAAAGACTCCTTAAGGGATGATTAAAATAATGTTGAGAAATACTGATCTACATTAATCTTCAATTTTTTTCTTCTCTTCCTTTTAGTTCATTTATTTTTCTTTTGGTTTCATGTTCTGGACAAATTTTCTTAACTGTGTCTTCTAACTTTTATTTTGAGCTTTTGATTGTCAGAAGATTGTAGTTTCTAAAAGGTTGTTCTTTTTCTCTGATTATTTTCCTTTTTTTATAGCATCCTGCTATTGTTTCATGGATGCAGAATATTATCTACTTTAAATGTTTATAGTGGGTTTTTTGGTTTGGGTTTTTGTATTTTCTATTTGAGTTCTTTTGTTTCATTCTTTATTGTCTCTGTCTTATACTTTAGAAACTTTCTTCTAATATCTTCGTATTTGAACAGGATGCTAAAAGGCCAATTGGAGGTTCTGTGGGAGTGAGGGGCCATATGTGCTGTTGGACTTCATTGGAAAAAGTTTGGCTTTGTAGTGAGGACTATCACCTTAGTATCTTTAGTTTCGTTCCTTGAAGGGAGCTTACTAGTTTCTCTAAAGAAATACCTTCTAAGCTTTATTATATAAGCCTGGCTGTTGATATTAGGAGCCAGACCTAGGAGATCTGGATTGAGGTTGCAGACTTTGTTTTAATACCCTCTGATTTCCTTATGGCATTCTGTTGCCCTTCCACTCTTGCCTCCTTTCTGTGCCTGATCTCCTGGAATCCAGAGTATATCAGATTCACTTTCTCCAGAGAATAAACCTTTAATCACTTTGAGGGATGATGTTGATGGACAGGGATCTCAGGAGAGGGAGGTAACTCTTCCAAGTACATAGTCTTAAATATTCTGTTTTTAGTTTCCTGCTGCATGTATTCCTTTTGTAGTGACAGTGCCCTTAGTTACCAAGTTTTTCTTGGATGCTTTATCAAAATATAACTTTCAAAGAGGGGGACAAATCACGTTTGTTTCAGTGGTTTATCACTGTAATAATCACACCCATGTAAACACCACCAAGTCAAGAAGTGACACATTAGAGAACCCAGTAAACACTTCTATTGTACCCTCCCAATTATTGTCCCCTCTCTTCTACACCATATCTTGATTCTTATACCACAAATTGTGGTTATTTTTGAACTTTATATAGAAATTTTGAATACATGTTATAATGACTGGTAAATTCTCCAGGAATTTTATTTTTGTGATTAGTCAATACTGAGGCATAATCTGATATGGGGAGGTAGCAGCATCATTAAAAACTTAGACCAAGCTTGGTGGCTCACACCTGTAATTCCAGCACTTTGGGAGGTCAAAGCAGGTGGATCTCAAGGTCAGGAGATCGAGACCGTCCTTTCCAACATGGTGAAACACCGTCTCTACTAAAAGTACAAAAATTAGCTGGACATGGTGGCACATGCCTGTAATCCCAGCTACTCGGGAGGCTGAGGCAGGAGAATCACTTGAACCAGGGAGTAGGAGGTTGCAGTGAGCTGAGATCATGCTATTGTACTCCAGTCTGGTAACAGAGTGAGACTCCATCTCAAAAAGAAAAAAAACTTAGTAAGATTAAATACAGATAAAGTAAAAGCTTGACTGTGGAAGATAAGTAATTATTACTTTCTTGCTACATACCTTAAGTCTTTAAGAGTTTAGATTTCTACCCATAATCTAAATTGCCATTTTAATTTTAGCTATTAATAGTTCCAGAAACTGAAGTGGAAATCTTTTTTCCATTTTTCCCCCCCCAGGTAAACCGGGTGTTTATCAAGAAAGAGACCCCCTGAGAGTCTCAATAAGCCGAGAACAAAATTTCTTTGCCAGCCCAATGGCCTGTTATTCATTTGGTTGTCTTCAACCAGTTGGCGAGAATGTCTGTGGTGATGACCATGATGAAACAGGTGAGAAATAAATGGAAAGTGGAGTTTTATGCACAAGGGTATGTGGACAAAAGATATTTATCGCTTTGTTATTTGTAATGGTGAAAAATGGTAAATAACCTTAATTATTGCTGTTAGTGGCATCTTTATGAGGCACCCATACTGTGTTGTTCTGTGCAGTTGTTAAATGAGTAATTTTGCTTTTAAATTGTTTTATTAAATAAATACCAGTAAGAAGTTTATCAAGGCATAATTTTTATGCAGTTGGCAGCATGTATAAAGTTATGTTTAAGCCTATTTGTAACAATCCACATCTAATTAAATACTGTTAAATATTTTAAAAGTTCTATCTGTGGGCATTCTAAATAAGCTGTTTTATGTTTATCTTTAAATATTTGGAAATAAAGATAATTGCAAGAAGAAATCTTTAAATTACTTAATCCCAACACCGAAAGACAGCCAATGTTAATCTTCTCACTTCTGAATTTATATATATAGCACAAAATATTTTATATGTATTGATAACTTGTATCTGCAGTTGAGTGGAATTAGAGATGAAAGATATTCTTTTGAGGGTTTATAAAAAAGATTGACTTTAACATCTCTTTGAATTGTGGATTAAAATAACTTGAAAGGGTATAATTTTCAGTGAACCATAATTTTTGACTTTTTAAAATAAAACAGATTGTTCTTTTGTTTCAAGTTTTAATTTTTGGGGGTACATAATAGGTATATATATTTATGGGTATATGGGACAGTTTGATACTGGTATACAATGTGTAATATTCACATCATGGTAAATGTGGTATTTATCACCTCAAGCATTTATACTTTTTTATAAACAATTCAATTAAGTTTTAGTTAATGCAAAATGTACAATGAAGTTATTCACTCTAATCACCCTGTTGTGCTATCAAATACTAAAATTCTATCTAACTGCTTATTTGTTCCCATTAACCATCCCCAATCCCCCCACAACCCTCGACTAAGCATTCCAGCCTCTAATAACCATTGTTCTACTCTCTATCTCCTTCAGTTCTGTTGTCTTAATTTTGAGTTCCCACAACTAAGTGAGAATATGTGAAGTTTCTGTCCCTGGCTTATTTCACTTAACATAATAACCTCCAGTTCCATCGAAGGCATTGCAAACAACATGATCTTGTTCCTTTTTATGGCTGAATAGTACTCCATTGTGGTGATATATACCACATTTTCTTTATCCATTTGTTTGTTGATGGACACAGGCTGCTTCCAGATCCTGGCTATTATGAACAGTGCTGCAGTCCACATGGGAGTGTAGATATCTCCTCAATATACTGATTTCCTTTCTTTTGGGTATATACCTAGCAGCAGGATTGCTGGATTATATGGTAACAATATTTTTACTTTGAGAAACCTCCAAATTGTTCTTCATGGTGGTTGTACTAATTTACATTACCACCAATGGTGTTCCCTCTCACCACATCTTTGCAAAACCTGTCTTGGATAAAAGCCATTTTAACTGGACTGGGAGGATATCTCAAAGTAGCTTTGATTTGCATTTCTCTAGTGATTTCAGTGGTGTTGAGCACCTTTTCATATGGCTGTTTGCCATTTGTATTTCTTCTTCTAAGAAATACCTGGATATTTTTGTCCATTTTTTAAACCAGATAATTAGGTTATTTTCTGCAGAGTTGTTTGAGCTCCTTATATATAATCTGGCTATGAATCCCTTGTCAGATGGGTGGTTTACAAATATTTTCTCCCATCCTATGGGTTATCTCTTCACTTTGTTGATTGTTTCCTTTGCTGTGCAGAAGCTTTTAAATTTGATGTGATTCCATTTGTCCATTTTTGCTTTGGTTTCCTATGCTTATGAGGTATCATTCAAGAAATCTTTGCCCAGACCGATGACCTGGAGAGTTTTCCCAATGTTTTCTTTTAGTAGTTTCATAGTTTGTGGTCTTAGATTTAAGTCTTTAATCCATTTTGGTTTGATTCTTGCATATGGTGAGAGATAGAGGTCTAGTTTCATTCTTATGTATATGGATATCCAGTTTTCCCAGCACCATTTACTGAAAAGACTCTCTTTTCCCCTTGTATGTTCTTGGCACCTTTCTCAAAACTGAGTACACAGTCAATGTATGAAATTGTTCCTGGGTTTTCTGTTCTGTTCCATTGGTCTGTGTGTCTATTTTTACGCTAGTACCATATTACTTTGATTACTACAGCTCTGTAGTATAATTTGAAGTTAGGTAGATTCCTCCAGTTTTGTTCTTTTTGCTCAGGATAGCTTTGGCTATTCTGGGTCTTTTGTGGTTCCATATAAATTGTAAGATTTTTTTTTTTCTATTTCAGTGAAGAATGTCATTGGTATTTTGATAGGGATTGCATTGAATCTGTAGATTGCTTTGGGTAGTATGGACAATTTAATACTGTTGAGATTTTTCTAATCCAGGAACATGGTATATCTTTCCATTTTTTGTGTGTCCTCTTTAATTTCCTGCATCAACCTTTTATAGTTTTTGTTGTAGAAATTTTTCACTTCTTTGATTATTTCCTATTTAATTTTCTTTGTAGCTATAGTAAATGGGATTACTTTCTTGGTTTCTTTTTCCAGTCATTTGCTATTGGCATATAGAAATGGTACTGATTTTCATATGTTGATTTTTGTATCCTGCAACTATACTGAATTTATCAGTTCTAATAGTTTTCTTGTGGAGTCTTGTGGAGATGTGATATAAACTCAGATCATCTGCAAATAAAGATAACTTGATTTCTTCCTTTCCAACTTGGATGCCCTTTATTTCCTTCTCTTGTGTGATTGCCCTAGCTAGGACTTCCAGTACCAACAATATGTTGAGTAACGGTGAAAGTGGGCATTCTTTTTTTTATTTTTTATTTTCACTCTTGTTACCCAGCTGGAGTGCAATGGCGTGATCTCCGCTCACCGCAACCTCCGCCTCCTGGGTTCAGGCAATTCTCTTGCCTCAACCTCCTGAGTAGCTGGGATTACAGGCACGCGCCACTATGCCCAGCTAATTTTTTGTGTTTTTAGTAGAGACGGGGTTTCACCATGTTGACCTGGATGGTCTTGATCTCTTGACCTCGTGATCCATCCGCCTCGGCCTCCTAAAGTGCTGGGATTACAGGCTTGAGCCACCGCGCCCGGCCAAAAGTGGGCCTTCTTGTGTTTCAGATCTTAGAGGAAAGACTTTCAGGTTTTCCCCCATTTGGTATGATACTGGCTATGGGTCTTTCATATATGGTTTTTATTGTGTTGAGATATTTCCTTCTGTACCCAGTTTTTTAAGGGTTTTATCATGAAGTGATGTTGAATTTTATCAAATGCTTTTACAGCAACAGTTGAAATGATTATATGGTTTTTGTCCTTCATTCTGTTGATACGATGTATCACATTGTTTTGCATAGTTGAACTATCCTTGCATCCCTGGGATAAATTCCACTTGGTCAGACTGAATGATCTTTTTAATGTGTTGTTGAATTCGATTTGCTAGTATTTTATTGAAGATTTTTGCATCAGTATTTATCAGAGATACTGGTGTGTAAACTTTCTTTCTTTCACTGCGTCTTTGTCTGGTTTTAGGATTAGGGTAATACTGGCCTTGTGGAATGAGTTTGGAAGTACTCCTTTCTCTTCTGTTTTTCGGAGTAGTACCAGTGGGATTGATATTAGTTTGTCTAATATCAATCCCACTGTATCACTATAGTTATTGCAGGCTCATAGAGGTACTGCCTTGGTGGTCTTGCATAAGATCCAGAAGAATTTTCGGGACTACCTAGCAGAGACACTTATTCTTTACCTTCCTGTCTTCCAAACAAATAGTTTCTCTCTCTCTCTGCTTAGCTGTCTGTAGCTGGGGGTGGGGTGACACAAGCACCACTGTGGCCATCATCTCTGGGACTGTGCTGGGCCAGACCTGAGCCAGCACAGTACTGGGTCTTGCCAAAGGCCCACTGTAACCACTACCCGGCTCCCACCTTTGTTCATTCAAGCCCCAAGAGCTCTACAGTCAGCAAGGGGCGAAGCCAGTTGTCCTTCCCTTTAGAGTGGCAGTTGGCTCTGGGTAAATCCAGAGATTATGTCCAGGAGCCAGGGCCTGGAATTGGAATCTTTAGAACTCTACCTGGTACTCTATTTGGCTAAGTTGGCACCAAAACCATGAAGTCCTTTCCACTTACCTAGGCAAAGGAATCTCTCCCCTTGTCTACCACCGCCACAGGCCTATGGAGAGTACTGGCATGGTACCACTGATAATCACTTAAGGCCCAGCAGTTCTTCAATTAGCTTTTGGTGAATGCTGTCAGGCATGGGACTCTTCCTTCAGGGCAGTGGGCTTCCTCCTCCTCTCTGACCCAGGGTAGATCCAGAGATGCCATGCAAAAGCCAAGGCCTGGAATTGGGGATCCCAAGATCCCACTTGGTGCTATTCCCCACTGTGGCCAAGCTGGTACCTAAGCTGCAAGGCAGAGTTCTCTTTGTTCTTTCCTCTGCTTCTCTCAAGCAGGAGTCTCTTCTCATAGCCACCACAGCTGTGAATATGCTGGGTCACACATGAAGCCATGAAGCCATCATGTCTCAGAACCTCACCCAAGGCCGGTGGCATATACTACCTGGCTACCACTGCTAGGACCCAAGGGCTCTTTAGTCAGCAGGTGATGAATCCTTCCAGGACTGGGTCCTTCCCTTCAAGGCAGCAGGTTCCCTTCTAGCCCAGGGTGTGTCTATAAATGTCATCTAACAGCTAGGTCCTAGTATGGGGACCTCACAGATCTGCCCAGTGCCTTAGTCTGTAACTGAGTGGATATTCAAGTTGCAAAACAAAGTCCTCTTTATTCTTCCCTCTTCTCTCCTCAAGCAGAAGGAAAGGGTCTCTTTTAGAACTGGGAGCTGTGCTGCCTGGGGTTGGGGGAGGAGTGGCACAAGCACTCCCTTCGCTACCTTAGCTGGTTTTCACTAGGTCATATTACCCCCCAAGTCTATAAGCGCTGAGCCCAGCATACACTAGGACTTGCCTAGGAGTTGTAGTCTTTGTGGCCTAAATAGCCCTTCAAGTTTATTTAGGACTCCAGAGCACAAATTTAGCCCACAATGGCAAGACTTGCCAGAACTCAGCTTCCAATTGCCAAGGTGGGCACTTCCCCTCTGGCTAGGGCTGGTCTTAATGCTCTCTCCATGGGCATTGGCTGAGTTCTGCCTGGTGCTGGCCAAACTGAGTTCCAATGCCAAGTCCCAGAATGGCTGTGCTCTCCTTCCCCAAGCATACAGATTCTCTCTCTGCACCATTTGGCCACTGCCTAGAGATGAGGGAAGGGTGGTATTGGCATTTCAAGACTGTCTTTGCTGTCCTTTCAGTGCCATTGTCAGTGATAAGAAGTTAAAACCAGGTACTGTGATTGCTCCCCTGATTTTTGGTTCTTATGAAGGTACTTTTTTGTTTAGATAGTTGCCAAGTTTGAAATTCTTATGGTGAGGACAAGTCAGTGGAAGTTTGTATTCATCTGTCTTGCTCCACCTCCCCACTACATCATTCTTTATTATTTACACAATGGATATTTGTGATTTCTTTTTATTCTACTTGTTGATATCTTCTAGCTAAAGACTATGAGGAACACACCTATAGTTGAACAAAGCTGAGTGTCTCACCTGTTGCAGGGTCGGGGAATGCGTACCATGGGCAACCAGGAGGCATCTCAGTAAATGGCTATTTAGAAAGTACTTAAAGGATTTGGGCTTGTTTTAGGGGATTGGGAGAAAGGTTCAAGGAAACAGAGCTTTGGTTATTAGTATCGGATGTTGTCAGGAAGCAGGAGTAATTCTGTTTCAGTACCTGAAAAGTTCTTATCTAGGAAGTGGTATGAATGAAGTGAAGCCAAAGTTGCAACTGGTAAAACAGGAGTAGTCACTCCTGTTAGCCAGGATGAGGGAATGCTTGGCCATTTTTGTGGTTTAGAAAATATTCATGGTTTTGTCTGTGTACAGATGTTACAAGGTGTCTCATTTTTTTTCTTTATCATGGTCACAGAATGGCCTTTTCTGATATTGGCATTCCATGGAATTGTTGTTGTTTAACAGAACACCAGGACCGACCTGATAGTGCCGGGTCAGCTTCTGGATCCCAGCTTTCTCAGAATCATTCCCAGATTCAGCTTGTTTCAATTTTATTTTATTCTATTTTGAGACAGGGTCTTGCTCTATCACCTCGGCTATGCAGTGGTGCAACCACAGCTCATTGCAGCGTTGACCTCCCAGGCTTAGTTGATCCTTCCACCTTAGCCACCCTGGTAGCCAGTACTACAGGCATACACCACACTGCCCGGCTAATTTTAAAATTTATTTGTAGAAACAGGGTCTTACTATGTTGTCCAAGCTGGTATTGAACTCCTGGGCTTGAGCAATCCTCTTACCTTGGCTTCCCAAAGTGTTGGGATTTTAGGTGTGAGCCACCACACCTGGCCCGGATTGTTTCTATTTTAGAAAGGTCTGTTTTGTTACAACTACTCCATTGTTTCTGTGCAACACCTTGATTTAACGGATTTTTAAGATGGAGTCACTAACTGCAAGCTTTGTACTCTCAGCCTCTGTAGAAAAACAGGAAATGGTGCCTTCCTGCATGGCATGAAAAGATAACAGTAAGGTGTTACTTTCATGGTGTCAGTTCCCCTTTTTAGGAACTGTTGTCAGTGAACCACATCCCAAATGATGAGGACAGTTATTTCTCTTCCAACTTTCAGGGACCTATCCATGGAATTTTTCAGCATCTTCAAGGACTCTGATCTTGCTCCTTTCCCTCACTTTTATTTTTAGTACTACCCAAATCCTGCCTTCTTCATTCATACCTCGGCTGAGGGAGTCTTCTAGGTATATTACAGGTAACAGTAAATAATTGTAATTAGTATTATTGAATTGAACAACCCAGATTAACTTCTCATTTCCCAATTAGCTTTTAAAATGAGCTGCTTAAGAGTAGAAGAAAAAAATAAAAACTCACTATAAAATTTCACCAGCCACCCTGGGTGATAGAGCAAGACCTTGACATGTAAAAATTATATTGTATTTAAAGACAAATATTTGGTATTAGCTTTGTTTCATTTTCTGATTTTTTTTTTTAAGACACCGTTTCTCGCCGGGCATAGTGGCTCACGCCTATAATTCCAGCACTTTGGGAGGCTGAGGCGGGCAGATCACCTGAGGTCAGGAGTTCGAGACCAGCCTGGCCAACATGGTGAAACCCCGTCTCTAAAAAAAATAATAATAAATAAATAAATAAAAAGACACCATTTCTCACACTGTTACCCAGGCTGAAGTGCGGTGGTGCCATCATAGCTCACCCAAAATCCTGGGCTCAAGCCATCTACTTACCTCAGCCTCCCAGGTAGCTAGGACTACAGGAGTGTCCCACCATGCCCAGCTAATTTTTTAATTTTTTTGTAGAAATGAGGTCTTGCTAGGTTGCACAGACTGGTCTGAAACTACTGGCCTTAAGCAGTCCTTCCACCTCAACACCTTTAATGTGCATACCTTTTAATATAAAGATTATGAAGCAGTTTTAATTGTATTTTTCAGAGCCACAGACTACAATATGCCTTGGTGAGTTTTCTCACAAGTGTCGGTCACTTGGAATAAGAAGGAAAATAGGCTCAAAATACATGAGTTTTTAATATGAGACAGAAGGTATAATATATATAATTAGGAATGATAATTCATAAATATATGCTCATTGTGAATTTAGAAAGCTGTAAAAAACAAAACAAAACAAAAAAAAACCTGGGCATAGTGGCTTATGCCTGTAATCCCAGCTACTCAGGAGGCTAAAGGCAGGAGGATCACTTGAGCCTAGCAGTTCAAGACCAGACTGGGAAATATAGCTAGACTCTGTCTCTAAAAAAATGAAATAATAGTATTAAAAGTAACAGTACAAGTAAAATTACTCCTTGTGCAACCATTCATTAACAACCACTGGCTACATTTTGGTCTGGTTTTTTTTTGAGACAGGATCTGGGTCTGTTGAAGAGGCTGGAGTACAGTGGCGTGTTCTCAGCTCACTACAACCTCCGCCTCCCAGGCACAAGCCATTATCCCACCTCAGTCTCCTGAGTAGCCAGGACTACCACTGTGCCAGGCTAACTTTGTACTTTTTTAAGAGACGAGGTTTCACTGTGTTGCCCAGGCTGGTCTCAAGCTCCTGAGCTCAAGTGATCTGCCTGCCTCGGCCTCCCAAAATGCTGGGATTATAGGTGTAAGCCACCGTGCCTGGTCCTTGCTTACTTATTGTCTCTTTTATATGCATTTTTTTCTCATCTTTGAGATCATACGGTGTTTATGATTTAATATTCTTGCTTTTCCACTTAAAATAGTGATGATCGGGTGCAGTGGCTCCCAGCACTTTGGGAGGCCAAGGTGAGTGGATCATGAGGTTAGGAGTTCGAAACCAGCCTGGCCAACAAGGTGAAACCCCATCTCTCTACTAAAAATACAAAAAATTAGCCAGGCGTGGTTGCGCACGCCTGTAATCCCAGCTACTCTGGAGGCTAATGCAAGAGGATCACTTGAACCTAGGAGGCAGAGGTTGTGGTGAGCGGAGATCACACCACTGCACTCCAGTCTGGGCGACAGAGTAACTTGACTCTCTCAAAAAAAAAAAAAAAAAAAAAAGACAAAAGCATTTCTTATCACACTGGTTCTTTTCTAGCTTTTAGACCTAATATTCAAATATTTTTAAAGCATTTTATTCATAAAATAACAATAGCTACAGTTTTCCAGGAAAAAGTGTATTTTGCTGACTAGTGAATGTTTTAAACAAATAAGTTGAATTTTTTCTTAGCTCTAAGACAACTTTAAGAAGCAAAGAAAGAAATAGATTGTAGGAAATCAGGGAATGGTGTCCTGTGGTACTAAGAATTTGATTTGTTCTATCCCATCTATATTTTTTTCCCATCTTGAACTCCAAAATCTATTTTTCAGTTAAGGTCAAGGAATCTGTTACTGAAAATCATGCAGTGTTAAGTTATGCTGTGGAGGAAGAACATACATATTTGGGTCCATCTGTGAAGCCAGATGATAAGGTTAGTAATGTCTTATGTTCACTCAATTTTTAGAGCTGTTTGGGTTCATATTCTCTTTAGTTTCCAGAAGCTATATTATAACAGTAAAGTCTGTGTTCTCTGAGATCTGCTTTTACCGAAGTGGATCAATGATGAAACTAGCCAAATCTGAACATCAGAAGGCTTTCCAGTCTATCTCATGCATGATCTCTACAGTTCTGAGAAGCAAAACTATAAAATATTGTAAAACAATAAGGGCATATGTCTGGCGTGTGAAGGGGGTGTGTGGGGGTGTGTGTGGGGGGTGCATGCACATATGTTTATGGATAACAGTTGTAGGAATGAATGAGATTGGGGGTTGGGGATACGTATGTATATATATGAAAGCTTAATCATTTCTGGGCAATGATGAAAAGGTTTTACTACTGACCTTTGTAACTATGAAGGTTTCTACACTTGACCTGAGCTCGGAAATGACCACTGCTGAGGTTTGTGATTTGGGGTTTTCCTAGATACCACTTGCTACATCATGGTCTAATATTATTCTTAATTTCTAGACTAAAACACTTTCTCATGAGCCATTATCTTCAGCAACTGTTTCCACTGGGAGCCTTTTAAGTTATGAAAACACAGATTTGAGCCTTATAGATCCAGGTAATGTGCAAATGTTTATAAATAAGTTGAAAGATCAGCACCAGTTGAGTTGCAATACAGTGGTGGAAGGAAGCATTGGTTTCTCATGATACACGGTGGGGGATTGTTTCTCTAAATCTCAAAAGTAAAATATGGCCAGGTGTGGTGGCTCATGCCTATAATCCCAGCACCTTGAGGTGAGAGGATCACTTGAGCCCAGAAGTTTGAGACCATCCTGGGCAACATGGTAGAACTCCCATCTTGACAAAAAAAATTAAAAAGTTAGCTAGTTGTGGTGGTACATGCCTGTAATCCCAGCTACTCAGGAGGGCATTGCTTGAGCCTGGGAGGTCGAGGCTGCAACGAGCCATGATTGTGCCACTGAACTCCAGCCTGGGCAACATAGTAAAACCCTGTCTAAAAAAAAAAAGTAAAATATTCACACCCAGTAAACATTGAAGTGTATGGTATATCCCAAACGTTACTGGAAGTAACAGGGATGCTCTGTGGATACCCAACGACACTTCAAGAAGCAGTTGCCCGAATATATTTGTCCATTCAGTGGAAATGTATCTGAGCAAATTTCATGGTTGTACTGATCTCTTAGCAATATGTATTGCCATGCTTCTTCACTAAAATATGTCTGTAACCCAGTACAGTATGTCTGTAAGGAATAGTCTCTTAAAAGGGATATAGTGTCACTGTGAATTACATAATTTTCATTAAACTCAATTTTCAGAGTCATTTTCAGAGCACATGGATGATAGCGAGCAAGAATATACCACTGGTAAAGAAGAGGAAACAAATATTTTAAGTTCCATAGTTCCTTCAACACAAGATACTTATCCATGGCAGAACTCTTCAGATGGTCATAAATCTCTGTTAACTGAAGTGGACAAAACTACATGTGGTCACACACACTTTCAGGAAATGATAGACAAGTACATTAATGAAGCAAAGATGACACCTGAAAAAACAGATTTGCAGGGTAAAATGTTAAAGCAATACTTTTATGTAAATCAAGTGTTAAATTTTCGCCTTTCATCATTTTTAATTTTATGCAGTGATTGAGCTTTATGTTCTTATGGCCTGCTACAACACAGTTACACCATTAAAAAATATTGAGGGCATTTAGTGAGAAAGGGGATCTGGAATCAATTAGACAACTGAGGCACATGTATAGGAGATTAATTAGCAAATCTTCCTTTACCATTGCAAAGTTAGTTATTAGGGCTGAGGCAGTATTGCTGATAAGTAAGAGCAGGATCTCAGAAATCAGACAGATCTGGATTTGAGTCAGAGTCTAACCATTTCCTAGCTGTAAAACCATGGGCAGGTTACTTTTTCATCTTTATAAAAGAGGAATGTTAGAGATTAAATGAGATAATGCACATAAAGCACAATGTCTGACCCACACTAATACTGAATACAGTGAGCCTTTTTCCTTTAAGCTTAGACTGAAGTGGTGGTTACATATGTCCTATTGATCCTAATTAGCCTTATAAGGCTGTAGAAATGAAAATTTATATTTGTCAAAAGTTTGTTCATGCCTGTAATCCTAACACTTTGGGAGGCTGAGGCAGAAGGATTGCTTGAGCCCAGGATTTCAAGACCTTGCTTCTACTTAAAAAAAAAAAGTATAATTAAATTTTTCTAAAAATAAAACTTGAAAAGTCACTGAGAGGATCCATATTTTTGGATCTTTGAAATAATCATGATAAAACTTAAAGCATGTGCTGATCATGGGGGGAAAACTGAAGTTTTGTTACACTAGAATGACCTGAAAATAAGCATTTATGAGTATGTTCTTACTACTCCTTTTCTAATCTTTATGGTTTTTTTCCCTCAAAAATTCCAACAGTTGACCTTGACTTTCCAGAATTGGAACACATTTTTCCTAATCTGCATCATCAGCTGTTTAAACCCTTAGAACCACATCCAGATTTTGACTTATCATCATCCTCTGGTATTTCTCCAGACAACAGAGACTTTTACCAGGTATATTAAAGTAAATGTCGCATTGCAGTGAATATCTAAAAATAGTTTTAAGCCATTTCTTCTACTGGAACAAGAGTTCTTCTAAACTTTAGCCTAAAATCACATGTAAGGCCAGGCACAGTGGCTGTTAGGGAGGCCAAGGCGGGCAGATCACTTGAAGCCAAGAGTTTGAGACCAGCCTGGCCAACATGGCAAAACCTTGTCTCTACTAAAAATACAAAAAGTAGCCAGGTGTGGTGGTGCACACCTGTAGTCCCATCTCCTAGGGAGACTGCGATGGAGGGATCACTTCAGCCCAGGAGGCGGAGGTTGCAGTGAGCTGAGATCATACCACTGTACTCCAGTCTGGGTGACAGAGCCAGACCCTGTCTTTAAAAAAAGAAAACTGAATCACATGGAAAACTTTAAAAAAGGAGAAAATCCTGTTACCCAGACTACACCCTAAACCAATTAAAGCAAGGTCTCTGGGAGTGTTCAGATAGTATATATATTTTTAAGCTCCCCAGGTGATTTTAATGTGGAACAAAGATTGAAAACAGCTGCATTGGGCCAGGCATGGCTCATACCTGTAATCCCAGCACTTTGGGAGGCTGAGGCGGGTAGATTGCTTAAGGCCAGGAGTTTGAGATCAGCTTGGCCAACATGGCAAAACCCATCTTTACTAAAAAACACAAAAATTAGCAGGGTATGGTGGCATTCCTGTATTCCCAGCTACTCGGGAGGCTAAGAATCGCTTGAAACTGGAAGGCAGAGGTTGCAGTGAGTTGAGATCACACTGCACTCCAGTTTGGACAACAGAGTGAAATTCTTCCCAAAAAAGAGAAAGCACATGCATTAGAATTGTTTGTCCTATCTATCTTATCTCCAGCTAGGGAGTATGATGCCATAAAAGGCTTGACAACTTTTAATTGTGTAACATATTTAAACAGGTAAATAGAATTTTGCAAGACTAAATATCTTCCTACGCAGTCAAAGAAGCTGAGATTTAAACCTGGGTCTTTTTGCTTCCATGGCCTCATAGCCTTACATTTTAAAGTCTCTTTCATATTGATTGAAAAGAACTGGATTTGAAAAAGCAAATCATTACTGTCATAGTTAAGTGGTAATTAAGGAAGAGTAATAACAAAGGAACAGTGATTATTGATTCAGTTGGTAATAACTAATCAGTATTTCAGTCTCTTCCTTTTGTTTCCTGTCAGAGATCAGATTCTTCATTTGAAAGCCACTGTGCTACTGGATCATCCAAAAGTACAATTTATTTCACAGCGTTGAGGACCGGCATGCATTCTCTGAATCAACAACCTGACATTAACTTGGCTCATGTTGGAGCTCACAGTTTTGCTACAGAAAATATTATGGAGGGTATGTATGACTACCTTAGAAAGAGTTACATTTTTATTCGTGATTTACATCGTTTCCTTAGAAATTATGCCTAGCACCTCTTTGTCTTTGCTCCTGTCCTCACCCCTATTCTGAGTGTTAAAAAGTATTTAAATTACAGAATACCTGCATTTTTTAAAACAATACTGAAGATTATTATAAGTGTTGCCTCTGTTCCTCAATTTCCCTACTTCAAGCATTGTATGATAGTTAACACTTTAAGTATTCTTTTTTTTTTTTTCTTGAGATGGAGTTTCATTCATTGCCCAGGCTGGAGTACAATGGCAGGATCTTGGCTTACTGCAACCTCTGCCTCCTGGGTTTAAGCAATTCTCCTTCCTCAGCCTCCCAAATCGCTTGAATTACATGCATGCACTACCACACCCAGCTAATTTTGTATTTTTAGTAGAGACAGCTTTCATCATGTTCGTCAGGCTGGTCTTGAACTCCTGACTTCAGGTGATCTGTCCTCCACAGCCTCCCCAAGTGCTGGGATTACAGGTATGAGCCACCACGCCCAGCCAGTTTAACTATTCTTCTTAGGCCAAACATAGTGCCTGACGCCTGTAATCCTAACACTTTGGGAGGCTGAGGCAGGAGGATCCCTGGAGCCCAGGAGTTCAAGACCAACCTGGGCAACATAGAAAGACCCTTTCTTTGCCGGGCATGGTGGCTCATGCCTGTAATCCCAGCACTTTGGGAAACTGATGCCAATGGATGACCTGAGGTCAGGAGTCCGAGACCAGCCTGACCAATAAGGTGAAACCCCATCTCTACTAAAAATACAAAAATTAGCTGGCCATGGCACCTGTAGTCCCAGCTACTCGGGAAGCTGAGACAGGAAAATTGCCTGAACCTAGGAGGTGGAAGTTGCAGTGAGCTAAGATTGTGCCAATACACTCCAGCCTGGGTGATGGAGTCTGTCTCAAAAAAAAAAAAAAAAAGGAAAAGACCTCATCTCTAAAAATGCAGGTATTCCTCTTGAGCCTTTTGCACAATGTTGCCCAGGCTGTACTGCAGTGGCCAGATCTCGGCTCACTGCAACCTCCACAACCCAGGTTCAAGCGATACTCATGCCTCAGCCTCCCAAGTAGCTAGGACTAAAGGCGTGTGCCACCACGCCCGGCTAATTTTTTATTTTTAGTAAAGACAGGGTTTTTCTACATTGGCTAGGCTGGCCTTGAACTCCTGACTTCAGGTGATCTGCCTGCCTCGGCTTCCCAAAATGCTGGGATTACAGGCATAAACCACCTTGCCTGGCTTGTACAATTATATATACATACATAATTGAGATACACATGGATGTACAAATTATCCACACATATAGTTGAGATACGTCTTTATTAAACTCATACTCAATTCTTATGGAAGAAAAACAGTTTGTAGCCGTAGTCTTTTTAATAGAAAAAAGAAAAGATACTTGGTGTAAGCTGTAGTTTGAGAAATCACATCATCTTTTATGCCTAAAATTGTAGGTAACTTACAATTGGATGATAAACTATTAGACTGTCAGTATCCAAGTATTACAACATGTAACAGTGATTAACTGATCTTTAAATTTCTAATACAGGGGCTGAACAATCTTTTGAACAGCTTCTGCCAGAATGTTCTTCACAGGAGGGGAGCCAGCATGCTGATCTACCAAGTATTTTTAGCACTGAAGCAAGAGATTCTTCCCAAGACATAAAAAATCAGAACTATCCCTCTGAAGAACATACTGAAGTAGTACAAAACAAGAAAAAAAGTGTTCATTTCCAGCTTTCTATAGGAAATTTAAGTTCAGTCTGCAGTTCATCTGATGAAGCTAATGTATTTCATCAGTTAAATGTTCAGCATAGCACTCCATGTGGTTCTAACTGTAGTGAGTGCTCAATAAAACACCAACTAGAAAGCAGAAAGGAAAGGATGGGCTTTGAAGAACTACCAAAAAGAGGGGTTGTTACGTTACAAAGTCAAGGACTCACTGAAGATAATAAAAATGAAAGCTGTAGGGTTTTAGACATATATCCACAGGGAGAGGAAACTGATTCTCAATTCTGTGTAAGAACAGTGGAGATGGGAACTTCAGTTCAGGCACCACATTCCCTAACTACTCAAAAATATTCTGAGAATTCACCTGAAACAGACATTCCAAAAATCACCAATCAACTATCTGAAAAAGAACATTCGGAGCTTTTTGCAAGTTCTGGATCACTTTCATTGCAGAGCTCTATACCAGTCTGGGTAAGTGAAATCAGTGTTGTATAACATTAAAGTTCCTTTTGGGGGAAATTATTTTTTCTTTTAATATTAGAGGATCTCACTGTGTTACCCGGGCTGAATTAAAATTCCTGGGATCAAGGGGTCCTCCTGCCTCAACTTCCTAAGTAGCTTGGACACACCACATGCCTGGCAAGAAAAACCTGAAATACAAGCAGCACTTAAATATTCCCATCAAGCTTGTGATTACTGCAAATACCTAGCAAATTGAAGAAACCTAAAATTTTGAAAGCTGTCTTCTGAGAGTATTTTTAAAAAGATCATTTCTCCAGCACCCCTGAAAAATGGTGGCTTTGCCTATGATTCAGCACTTTTTCAGTGTTGAGCCTCATTGCAGTGCACTGAATTCATCCATTGTTGAAGTACTGTTATTAACACTATTCCACATACCAACCAACTTATAACCAGTCAACTGTTTTCTCATCATCTAGCAGTTTGCTTCCACAAATAAATGTAACACATCTGTTTGGCTGCTTTTGTTCTTGTTCAGTGTTTAGCACTCAGTGGCCCACATTTGGTAGCCACCCAGGGATATCCACTCCATTTCTGCACTGCCCAAATACTACAAGCATTTAGGTTTGTAATCATTGTGTCATACTATTTCACCCCACTACCTAAGGTTGGCTCCAGTATTTCTACAACTGAATGCTGGAGTTAGGGAAGCCTGACGAAATCTGTCGGTCTTTCCCAACTATTGTTGTCTTCCTCCATTTATGTACATTTTCACATATGAATTTTTTTTTTTTTTTTTTTTTTTTACTGTTTTAAGGCTACTTTAACATGGTTTTCCTTTTAATTGTGCTTCACAGGAAACAGAATCTGGCCATGGTATAATGGAAGAACCAGAACTTACTTTAGTAAGCACCAGTGATATCAGTATTGCTGAAATAGATTTTACAAATTTAACCTTAGAAGAAAAGGGAGAGGATGAAGCAAAAAGCTGTTTAAAGGTAAATTTAATCATTCCATTATGAGCGAACCAGTCAATTGTCTCTTACCTGATAACTTTAATTATCAGATGTTACTTATTGGAAGGGATTATGCTATGGACTTAAATTTAGTTCAGGGCTCCAGTTTAGTAGACACCTTAGGTCTACTAAACTGGAGCCCTGAACTAAATTTAAATTTAAGACCTGACACCCCCCACACCAGCTGTCATTTGTTTTAAGCCTTCATTCTGTCAATGACACTGCATTTTCTTTTAATCCTCACTCCAATTTGTACAAGACTCTGGCAGAACTAATTTTGTTATACAGCTAGTGTTATGGTGCCAAGCTGGAAATTTTATCTAAACATACTCTAAGATATTGTTAAATGGCTTTAGAATTGCTAATTTTACAAGGGTAGTTAGGGAGGCAATAAGAAAATCATTGAATTTCCTCATGCTACCTAAACAGAGGCCTAGAGGTGTGAGGGCAGGAGTGCAAGAACACCCTGGGCAACATGGCAAAACCCCATCCCTTAAAAAAAATAAAAAAACAAAAATTAGCTAGGTGTGGTTTAGCTGTGGACCCAGCTACTCAGAATATTGAAGCTGCAGTGAGCTGTGATAATGTGACTGCACTCTAGTCTGACAACAGAGCAGGCCCCCTTTTAAAAAAAAAATTTAAAAAATGTAATAAAACTTTCTTACCATTAGGTGAGTGAGTTTCTGCCTCTTGTATCAGAAACAGAAGCCTCAGATTATCCAGCTGTATCAGAACTTTCCATAGAAAACCCAAAGACAGCATCTACAGGTAAGCCTTTTACGGGCTCCACACTTCTAATATAAAGTAAACACTGCCTATTCCTGCTGTTAAGTTTCTTCTCCCAACAGAAAGTCCTCCAAGGTTTACACCTATATCCAGGAGCTTACAAGAAGCATTTATAAAGAGGAAAAAAACATTTATGGAGAGATCCCACCAGAGGCAAAAAGAAATAACAATCAAAGAGAAACCATCTATAGGTATGTTGAATGTTTTAAATCTTCACTGCCTCCCTGAAATGTTTAAAGCCTGATTACAACTTGATTTCACATTTCTTTCCTCAGGTTCATCTGTGAGTCGTTTAAAGGGTGTGAATAAAGTCAGAGCACTTCCTGAAGAAAGACAGACTACACAGGCTCTCAGGCACCAAAGGAGTCTAAGGTATTGTTGGTTTTTGTAGTAAGTCATGTTTTCTGCAATGTTTGTCTCTAACTCTAGAAATTCTTTACAGGTTATGTAATCAACTAGCTGAAGTGAAACAACAAAAGGAACAAAAAGCAAAACAAGAAGCTTATGCCCAAAACAGAGCAAGGGCAAAAGAATTCCATAAGGTGAGTGTAACTTAGGGGGAGAGACCTAATTTTAAGCCCGAAGTACACAACTAAAACTGTGAAATTTTTATTCCTTCCACAGAAAACATTAGAGAAACTTCGAGCCAAAAATACATGCTGACTTTTAGAAAGTGTAAACAGTTTTTTTTAAATTGTGTATATTTAAAGTCAATAAATTTTTATTCAAAGAATTCCATGTTGTGGTTTCTTCCACTGTCCATCAAAGTCACTTTAGATCCTCTAAAGAGCTGCAAGTTAGCCCTAAAGAAGAAAAATTTTGATTAAAACTCTTACATGGCAACATGGATTATTAAGTTTTATATCTCCTGGGGAAAACACAGCACCAAACATAAGAGTGCTATGGCATCCCATAGAGAACTTCTATCTTTGGTCACAGCGTGAAGAGCTCTGGGTTTCACAGCCTCATGAGCCCTCTTTGAAATGACCTATACAAAAATGTCTTTTCGAATGCATACGTACCTTTTTAATGAAGCTGATGCTTGCTTTAATCCAGTTGTCCTGTCAGCCCTAAATAGTAATAAAAGTGAATTTTACATTTCCAGAGATGATTGTACAGTGAATGAACATGAATGCGTCCTAGAACCAGCCTAAGCTAACTGCTACATACGAACTGCTTAATTATTAGCAACCCACAAGGGTTACAATACAGAGGGGCAAAGCACATTTGCATGATTCAAGAGATCTAGGCTGCACCGCCTAAAGAATTTTAAAATGTCATTGATATTAGGGGAAAAAAAAACAACAACACACATAGCTCACATTATACTTGTATTGCATTTCTATTACAGTTAATCAAATGTTCCCAAGAGGCTGATTGCTAGCAAGGTAGCAGATAGAAAACCTACTGGGAATTTTTTTTTATGGTCATGTCCACAGCAAATGAGAAACAGCATTCTAAAAGCCTTGGTAATGACCATTATGCCCTTGGCCAAATAGCTTATGGTTAAGATAAAAACCATTACTTGCCATTAATTTATTTTGGCTTCCGTCATCTCCTTTTAATACGGATATACTGATGAAGACTTCAAAATTCACCTATGGAAAAATGTTTATCTCAAATTCATACTTACTATTAAATACATAAATCTTTCAAAATGAAGTTGCCTAGGTTCCAAATTATCCTAAATCCCAGCACCTCAACTAATGTATTGAAAATTCCATGTTTCAAACAGCTATTTAAACTAATTATTTTTAAATTAAGGTCATTTTTAATCAATGATCCCATGCCCATTCACATCTGAATTTGCTCTGTGATCACACGTCTGGCAACTTCTCTTAGAGCTTTATAATCTTCTCAAATACAATGAATTATTTAATGTAAATGGATGTTCAGAAAGGCCATTTTCATTCAGCCCATTCAGAGCAGTTGAACATTTCGCCCATCATCATAACATCACTAGTAATGAAGTTTAAACACATAATAACATAAGCCTAGTCTTTTTTTTACTCCTAAGTGGTGATAAGTTGACCACCAGATTTGGTTGCAAGCATTACTAGATAAATTAATAACCTAAAATAACATTCGTAGAAAAGCTACTCTTCAACAAAATAACCTGCATGGCCTTTTAAGTAATGAATTAACTTACCAAGAATCTTTGGGATCTACTTTCTTCAACCAATTTACTTTAGGGTCCTAGAAGTTGAACTGTACAAAGAATAATTATATTTTGACACATGATCTAAGACAGTCATGTACCATATTACAATGTTTCAGTCAATATATAACCTAAAAACAGTGGTCCTATGAGATAAAAGCTGAAAATTCCTTATTTAAGTGTTTAACACTTTCCTCCTATGTATTTTACTCATAAGCATAGCAAAATGTTACAGGTCTCATTGTCACCACTGCAATATGCATACAGTGGTGGAAGCATGACCTGTCTCAATTTAGCCACATTAACTATTTTTGGACACCATGATCAGCAGTGCCCATTCTCATCTAGAATGAGGCTTTGTAAAAGTTCATTTCAAGCTTGGTAGTGTATTTGTAGGAAGTTCTTGTTATGCTGGCAATGCTACATATCAATAGGGGGAAACAAGTAGAATCTATATAAACAGAGAATCCTACCTTTTTATTGTAGGTGGTGGATCTGCCTGGTTCTCAATTTGACACCCTGGAAAAAGAAAAGCGCTGCTTACTGTTTTAGAGTATATCAAAATTAACACTCTGAGAAACCTATACAAATACTGTATCAATAGAAATACCAGGTTTAACAAGCACAAAGCCAAGAAAACCAACGATGCCAGATACTGAATTTCTATAGCACTGACCTTTGAACACCCTAGCAGGAATAAACTGCTGAGTGCAGATACCATGCAGTGCAATTATAACTGAACTGTACAACTTTTGTAGCCCCAACTTTGCAGTGTTGCTGCTGAGAAACACTTTCCAAACTTCTCAATTTCAGATTCCCCTAACAGGTTCAATATTTTGACCTTTATTCCTAATTGTCACTGTAATACAGAAAACTACATTAACTGCATTTTAAAGCTACAACTCTAATCTTTGCCCAGTCTCTCTATATAACTTACAGATGGAATATATACATGTAACTTAACAGATACTACAAACGTCAAGCTCACTTAGTGACAAGGTTTCATCATGATAGCAAGGATGGTCTCAAAATCCTGATCTGCCCGCCTGTCTCCCAAAGTGCTGGGGTTACAGGTGTCAGCCACTGTGCCCGGCCACATCAAGCTCATTGTTGCTCAAACTGCAAATTAGGCAAAATTCCTTTAATGTAATTCATATCCCTCTAGATTCAACATATCCACCCAGGTTTACATGACTTTAGGATGAAATACGTGTAACTGCCAGTTGAATAACGATGCAAAGAACAGTTTCATTTGGTAGTCTAGACAATGCAGTCTTTTATTTCCTTCTCTATATAAATTTATAAATAAGGAGATCTATCTGCCCATTTCTGTTATACTAAATCTTGCATTAAACCATAACATCCTCTACACCTCATTTTAGATTATGTACTGATTCAAAATAATGCTGTATGCTTCAAGTAGGAAATCCATATATATAAATTTATAGTAGATATATAGTGATAAATATTTTTGCCAGTATATAATTCTGTGTTATACCTGAAATATTGGGATGGGGTACTTAATTTCTATTTTTCATTTTCAGTCCTTGACCATTTTAAGTTAAATATTTTACTTACCTTTCAACATGAATGAGTTCAAATCATATTCATTCCTATAGAAAGTACCAATTAAAGATTTAGAAAAGATACCACATTTCTAGTTACTGAAACTAAAATCCAAATAAAAATTTAAGATCTAGGTTTATAATATAACCATATCCAGCTCTATCAGAATTAAGTTTTAGTTCATGCCTGTATCATTCAGCAGTTGAACAGTTAAATTCATCATCTGAACTGTAATCATATTTCCCAAGATGATACTGTCTCCAATTAAAACTTACCTAAGCAGTCACACTCAAGAATAGTACAGGCGTGGAAATACGCCAATACCTAAGGTAAAAAAGTAGACTATCAGGTCTTTCATACATGTAGTAACTAAAACTTGTAGGAGCTGTCTTGCCATTCCTTTCCACAGATCTAACAATAGTCCTGTGAGTAAGGTCACCACAGAGTTACTCTATGAGGCGTTTCCAACGACGTGCAGGCTACATGCAAAGCCCCATCGGGATAGACCTCAACCACTATACAAAGTTTTTTTAAAGACACAATATCTGCCATGTCTTTTAAAAAAATCATCTGATTCTTGCTGAATCATTTGAGCCCAGGTTTGAGGCTACAGTGAGATCTACAGGATCACATCTCACTGTAGTCTCAAACTCCTGGACTCAGTGATTCTGCCTTAGCCTCCAGAGTAGCTGGAGACCATAGGCACCATGTGCCCAGCTAATATGTATATATATATATATGTATAAATAACGGAAGTCTAACACTACTCCATAGGTATGAGCAGAAACTGCAATATGCCCCAGTCTCTTACAATACTGCAAACTGCAAAAACTTCCTACCACGTTTATCAGAAAAGCAATCATTTCACAATCACATTGTAAGGATTTTCACCAAGCTGCATAGGACAGAGTACAGAATGATAAATAAAAATATAATTCTTGGCTCAGAATTAGTTGTCATCCATTATAAAATACAATATAATGTGTACACATTATGACTTTGGCATTATAACTTTTAATCAAACTACATCATTCAAATTTATGAATTCTTATGACCTGTGTAATTATTTTTTTGAGACAGATTCTTGCTTTGTCACTCAGGCTACAGTGCAATGGCAGGATCTTGGCTCACTGCAACCTCCACCTCCCAAGTTCAAGTGATTCTCCTGCCTCAGCCATCTTGAGTAGCTGGAATTACAGGCCCATGCCACCACACCTGGCTAATTTTTGTATTTTTAGTAGAGACGGGGTTTCATCTTTTTGGTCAGGCTGGTCTCAAACTCCTGACCTTGTGATCCAATCACCTTGGCCTCCCAGAGTGCTAGGATTACAGGCATGAGCCACTGAGCCCAGCCAATTTCTATTATACTAAATCTTGCATTAAACTATAACATCTTCTACCTCATTTTAGATTATGCATTAATTCAGAATAATGCTGTATGCCTCAAGTAGGAAATCCAAAGTTCTGATTACTGCTACAAACTAACAAATTCAGGACCCTCTAATGCTTGCAACTAAAATGAATCTGACACATCACTATAAAATGTGTGAATCTAAGATTCCTTTCTTTTCAGAAACCAGTATCTGGGAATTAGAAGCATGCTACAGTTTTCTCTGAATAAAATGAAACTTGATTGCCCTGACAACATACTATTGATTTCCTACACATAAACGAATACAATCTGAAAAACTAAAATTGAGACGTACCTTTAACTCCAGACATCATGTTCTCAAGATAAAAGCCTTTAAAACAAAAAGCCATCTTATATATCAACATGAAATTGGAATGTAAAAGTAATACTGCTGAGGATTTCCTTCATATCCCCTCCTGTTTAACTATTCTACAGTCCTAGAATCAATCTTCTTAAATTAAGAGACAGGGTCTGTCTTTGTTACCAAGGCTGGAGTATACTCAAAGCTCAGTGCAGCCTCCAACTCCTGAGCTCAATCCTTGTGCCTAAGCCTCCCCTTCCTGAATAGCTCTCCAAGTACAGATACGTGCCCCAATACCCAGCTAATTTTTACATTTTTGTGGATATGAGGTGTTTGTTACTTTCTTGCTCAGGCTGGTCTTGTAACTCCTGGCTTTAAGCAATACTCCCACCTCAGTGTGGGGATTCCAAACTTGAGCCACTGCACCTGGCTTGGAACCAACCTTTATGGCTATCAATACTCCCATCAGTTAACTGTCTCAGGTATAGTATCCCTTCTAATATGTATCAGAACTCATACTGAACAATGAGTTCTGGGTTGCAAAAGAGGATTTATTTTTTGCACCTATCCATAAGTCTTTGTCCACAAGTTAAACAAAAACATACGTAAGTGCAGTCCTAAGATGCGCTACATAGCATAAAGTAGTTAATTCTACCATCATGGTGATCAAAATAATGAACATCAGGGTAATCATTGTGGTTCTCCCCACATATACATGTTAAATAAATGTGTATGCTTTTTCTTGAATTAATAATTTAAAATGGTAGCAGAAAGTAATATTACTTTGGGCATGGTAGCTCACAAAAAAAAGTAGCATTAATGATATTCTAAATTTGGGAAGGGAAATGAGGTTATTACAATACTAAGGATCTGACAGGTCACTTTCCTCTGAATAAAGCTGGGATAAAATTAGAGTATTTCAAATACCCTCTTCAAGATGGTTGGGTGTCAAGTTCTTTTATCTTTGTCTAAGATTTCCTTTGCAAAGTTAAAATCACTGTACTTCATTGTTTCAGTGCTTACAGGACACCTGTAAGCTCTTACACTCAGAAATCGACTGATAATTTCTCAGCTTTTTCTATGTATTTTCCCTGGTGGGTTTTTTTTTCTTCTAACTGTTACTCTTCTTCACAAGTTTGTTTCACAAACTTCTATAAGGGGTTAAAAATTTTTTTGTTATAAAGTTGGTTTCAGAATTTCTTCACCACCAGACTGGTACATATATCCACATTTATCATCTTTATTCATTTCTATAAAGTCACTTTTTTTCTATAAGCTTCACCTTTGACATTAATGATTCTGTCACATTTTCAGGCCTCTCTGTCCAGTATTTTTGGCTTTTGTAGCTCTCTTTTTAGACAAAGCAGCTTCTTCAATAGTATCTTCTTCTTCTAAGTATACACTCAGTCTTACAGGGAATTCAGAACTTACTATGAAACTATCCCCCTGTATAAAACAAACAAAACAAAAATTACGGATTAAGCAATAACTCCATTGGTTTAGTAATTACATATAGCTAAGTGCACTGGATTACTTCAGATTAATAGAGACTACAACATGTAGATATCAAAAAGCCAAATATCTCCCTTGTTTTTTCATTTGATATCCTAACTAGCAATATCACATATTAAAATGTTATTAAAAATAGCACTGAAAACCCCGTATTTTTATCAAGTTTCTAAAAAATTAGTATTTTCCTTCTTGTATTTCCTGCGGTAAACTTACTCAGCTTTTCAAAAAGGTTAATGAAGTGTAAGACAAAAACTAAATACAATTCCTCCTGTACCTACCAACTCCTGCCTTCCCAAAATGAAACAGGAAAAAAATGAGTCACTTACTGCCAATTTGATATCACATTCATCATCTTCAAGGTGTGTTGTATCCTCATCCTCTGCTCTGTAATATTAAGATTTATCATCATTGAGATGACAGAATCTTCTATGACCTAATTAGTTCTTATAGTCCACTCTGAAATACAACTAAAACTGCAATACTAGTCAAAAGAAACAAAATATAGAATTTCTAGATGTCTTGTGTGCCAAGTTTGGCTCAAATGTAACAATCCCAACAGTCCTACTCTGTACTTTTATTCATTATTGAAGTATAACTATATTAAAGGCAAAATATGAAGCTTATTAACATGAAAATTTTAATAATTTATAACCCATTACCAAAGTATTTCACAGGATTCCACTTACGTTGACTCTTCAATAGGAGAAATGGATCCCTCATCATCCAAATATTTGTATCTACGACTATCAAAATCTTCATTTTCTAAATCTTCACCAACATTCATTTGTTTCAAGGATTCTTTCAGATGGTGTTCATACTTCAGTTTTTCAATGTAGTTAAAAAATCCTCTTGCAACAGCTTGCTATATATATTAGAAACATCATATTGTATGTCATGACTTAAGGTTTTTCTTTCATGACCCACCAGGTGCCTATGTTCTAAAAGGGGAACAACCCCCTTACCAAAGACTATCTTAATTTTACTCCCTTCTTGCAGATATATAAAGTGCTGATCATTAAAATTCACATTGTAATTATAAACTATATACCTAAGGTGGTACCAAGGAAAAGTGAAGTACATATCTTGTCACGCCTGGGACTTACAAACACAGGAACAAAGATTTTTTTTTAAGAGAGTGTTGCTCTAAGTGTAGTAGCACAATCTTGGCTCACTGCAACCTCCACCTCAAGGGTTCAAGCAATTCTTCTGCCTCAGCCTGGGACTACAGGTGTGTGCCACCACACCTGGCTAATTTTTCATATTTTTAGTGGAGAAGGGATTTCACCATGTTAGTCAGGATGGTCTCCATCACCTGACCTGGTCATCTGCCTGCCCTGGCCTCCCTCCCAAAGTGTTGGGATTTACAGGTGTGAGCCACCTCACCTAGCCAGGAACAAGATTTGTAATGTTTACTATAACCACTTTAAACTTAAGAGATTAATATGTATTAATCCTCCCAAATAAAATTTCAGATTCTCAAAAGGGATCATAAATTAACTCTGCATTCATTCAACATACAACTCTCAAATATTTAAAAAATCTACTCCTAAGTATTAGGTTAGATTTATCTAGGTTTAGATAAATCTAGGCCCTAAGAATATAACCACTGAACATGAGGCATGTGTGGGTTTAGTTTAGGCTACTGCAAAAACATTTTCAAGTTATGTGAGCTTTTATTATCCCCACTGAGATCCTAGGAAACCATTTGAGTTTTAGGATTGTGTTTAAAGACCTGAGATGGGATGAGATCAAAGGATTTTATACAAAAAGCCTTGGAGCACTATCTTTTAAATTCGGCAAAAATGTAGTCACTGAAGAGTTACACGTCAAGTTTCAGTTGAAGGATGGGGTGGATTTTAGGGGGAAGTCAGTATAAGAGTATCAAAATTGCAGACAGTGCGTTGCCAGTACATCTTAAACAATTCTAAAATTGGCCAACAAATCATTTTGGGCATTTATGTGTATTCATATATATGTAAAATGATGACTCACCTCAAATGTTAAAATTTTTTTCCAAGGTGCCTTTTTTTCATTCTCTGATTCTAAAAATGGGAAGCCAGGTCCTCTGCTTCTAAACTCTTTCTTCTTGTCTATCAGTGAGCATAAAGGATTTCTCCTTCCTTCTGGTCTTCCCCTTGGTCTTCCTGTTGGCTGGTACCTCTTTTTCTTTTTTTTGTACTTCTTTTTCCTGTTCTTGAATCTTTCAAAAATAGCTTTCATAGTCAATGGTATTGGTTCAAAAGATGAGTCACTTGATGAATCACTTGCTTGAACATTTCCAGGTGTACGAACACATTTTCTAATGGGGTTTCTTTGCCCCTGTTTAGGCGAGTAAGGGACACACTGGGTTTTAAATAAGCTGCTATCAGAAGAGTTATCACTGGAAAAATGGAAAATTAATTTCATTTCCTTTCTTACTGATACCAGTAATTACTTACCAGTAATACCCAGTTCCAAATGTACATTTCTTCCAAGACCAACTCAGGAAAACATGACCAGAATTAAATTTTTTTTAAAAGGATGGACTCAGAACCAGCCAGCCATTAAACTCCTGACCACCCTTTTTAAATAGCCCATAAAGCCACAGCTCTTATTAAGAAGAATTTTGCGGACATCGTTTTGCTATCACCCAGGCTAGAGTGCAGTGGTACAATTATAGCTCACTGCAACCTCAAACTCCTGGAACCCAAGGCATGCTCCTGTCTCAGCCTCCCAAGTAGCTAGCTAGGACTACTGTCAAGCACCACCATGCTCAACTTATTAAAAAATCATGTATCTAGGCCGGGCGCGGTGGCTCAAGCCTGTAATCCCAGCACTTCGGGAGGCCGAGGTGGGTGGATCACGAGGTCAAGATATCGAGACCATCCTGGTCAACATGGTGAAACCCCGTCTCTACTAAAGATACAAAAAATTAGCTGGGCATGGTGGCACGTGCCTGTAATCCCAGATACTCAGGAGGCTGAGGCAGGAGAATTGCCTAAACCCAGGAGATGGAGGTTGCGGTGAGCCGAGATCGCACCATTGCACTCCAGCCTGGGTAACAAGAACGAAGCTCCATCTCAAAAAAAAATCATGTATCTTTCAAGATAATGTATGAGCTCAACCAAGACTGTATGATTCACTGCTAAAAACGCCTGAGTAAAAGAGAGCCTGCCAAAAATGAAAAAAAAAAAAGATAAAACGAAAATAAAAAACAAAAAAAATACAAAAAAACACAGCCTGCCATACAAAAACAGGATGATGTAGTCCAGAAGAGACCCAAAGAATAAACTTTTTCTCTAAGAATGTGTCCCATTAGAATATATTCATTTTTTAAATTAAAATTATTTGCAATAGTATTATATCAATCTATATAAACTAGATAAACATGGAAGGTCAGTGAAATCTGGTTTTCCTTCTTTCCCAATTCCCGAAAATTATCTTCACTGTCATTCATTATATATAATAATTTAGTTTCTCAAAGTAATTCAGATATAATAAATATGACTGGATCTACTCAGTTCTCCAGTAAAAACCCACTTACCTTTGATTTGCAGGTTCCATAGCATCAGATGTCACATAGTCAAGAGAATCGATTCCTGATTTATCCATCAGTTGTTCTTTGTTTTAAAGTTTTCTGAAATTGTGAAATTTAGTAAATGTGACAAAGCTTCCCTAAATATTGACACAGTATCTACTATAATGTTCAACACAGTCAGACTATGCCATTCATTTTGGACAAAATCATTTACCAGGCTTAAGCTGCTTATCCACTTCAGATCAATTTCTATATAAAAAAAAAATCCAGAAATTCTATTTCCAGATTTTCAGTTTTTACCCTCTAAATCTATTCAATGAAACAAGATTCCAAAAAAGACAAGGTGGACAAAAGCCTCTTTCAATATGAAGTTTTATCATTAGCCACATATTAACATATAATTACCAACACAGTATTAATGTACAATTAAAAGCCATTTTCCTACATCGAAGGGGAATTGCTAAGGCAAAATGTGCCCTATATAATAAACCAGGAAAACGATCTCCATTCAATAGACCATTTTAAACTCCTGATCAAATTCAATAGACCATTTTAAATTCTAAGATTCCTCATTCATTCCTAGATTCATTTAAGTAACTTAATTTCGTCATACTGTATCTTTGCCATTATTGGTGGAAACTGACAAATTCTGAATTCTCAACCTTTTTCGATAAACTATCATAATTCTGTCTCTTCATCTCCATAGTAGAGTATACAACATACAAAAAAAAAAAAAAGGCAACATACAAAAAAAAGAAAACGATTCCTTCTTGTAAGAAAAACAGGCTGGTCAGGATGGCTCATGCCTGTGTAACCCAGCACTTTGGGAAGTCGAGGCGGGCGGATCACTTGAACCCAGGAGCTCAAGACCAACAAGACCCAGTCTCTACAAAAAATACAAAAATTAGCCATGTTGATGGTACGCGCCTATGGTCCCAATAAGGAGGCTGAGGTATTGAGGTAGGTCGATTACCTGAGCCTGGGAGATGGAGGTTGTTTGTAGTGGGCCTCAGCAACACAAGGAGCCCCTGTCTCTATAAAAAAAAAAAATTCTTAAAATACTGGCCTGGTGTGGTGGCCTGTGGCTGTGCTCCCAGCCATGCCGGAGGATCGCTTTGCAGTGAGCCGAGATTGCACCAGTGCACTCCAGCCTGGACGACAGAGCAAGACCCTATCTCAAAAAAAAAAAAAAAAAAAATGGGGGAAAAAAATAGGCTTGGCAACAAAAATAAACAATAAAGGTAACTACTTATTTCACTACTGTCTTAGCCTTAGTCATTCTCTTGTTTCATTCCGTAGTTTCTTAGGACCCGACATGAGTCACTACATATAAATCCTAGGATAAACTAGCAAAATATTTCAAATATAGGAAAACGATAAGGTCACCAAGAGCTCAGATTTCTTAAATGCCCAACGGACCCCTGTGGTAATTTCCTGTTAGAACATCTTGTAGTTTTAGTTTCTTAAGCACAAGATTCTACGAAGTCATTAAGTATCGAATGCTCAAAAACCGAATTCAATAATTTGGTCCCATGCATTAATGGTATACCTGCTTTTTTTTTTTTTTAAATAGGGATTATCAAAAGAAAGCTAGCTCAATAATCACTTTCTCTAAGTTTTTCGGAACACATCCTACTTAGGTGTCGATGCCTCTGCCGGGATTTAGCGATTCCTAAGAGGTCTCGTGGTCAGAGAGCGGCGCTTTACCCGGAGCTATCACCGTTATCACCAGCGCGTCTCTCCCCGCAGCGCCTTACCTCAAGGAAACCGGCACTAGTAATGGCTGTCTCCCATATATGAAGGTTAAATCATTTAAACCACGTAAGGAAGTTAAACTCGTTCACAACACATTTTAACACCTCCATCTCAAGATATAATGAAGGCCGCCCACACTACAGTTGCGTTTGTGTGGGCCTCCAGCCGCTTGGCGCTGAGGGGCCTGAGCTGCGAACCCTTCACCCTCTCCGCCCTACCTCCGAGACTCGATCCTCCGGACCAACGCTGGGGCCCCGAAAAAACCCATATCTGTAACGCCTCACCCGGCTGCCAGGGCCGGACGGCCTTGCCCACGTCTACCTACCCAAAACCGCCTCACGCCGGCCCTAACTGCGCACTTGGTGACTGTAACCCAGGCTTCTGGCCAAAAACCCGCGACTGGCCTGCTGCGTGAGTCCTGAAGACCTGCACTCACCAATATCCCGACCTCAGTTCTCCAACTCCCGAGAACCACCTTGCGTCTTCCAACCGCGCAGAAAAAAAGGGTGAGCAATCCCCGCGGCCCAGGTAATAGCGAGGCCGAAATCTCGCGATACAACTTAGCACCCGGGAAGAAGGCGAGCGACGGAAGGAGGACAGGAAGCAGGATAGCCATTTTTCTCGCCGCGCGGGGAGGAGCGGCTAACGTGGGCGGAGCTTCAGCTCGCGTTATCTGAGGAGGCGGGGTTGGCCGAAGCGAAGATCAGGACTCTGCTCTGTTGTGGGTTTCCGTGACCGATTCGGTGAGTGGAAGAGCCAAGAACATTTCGGCAAATAACAAAAAGAAAACATGAGGACAATTAGGAGTGGGTAAGAACTGCGAGAAGCCCGGTTTGTTTCCGGTGGCTCGCATTTGCTGAGCTGTCGCCTGGCTTTCTAAACCTGGTCCCGGGTGTGTGGCGAGGGTGACGGGTGGGATATGTGCGTGTTTGGGTCTGCTTTTGCCTTCAGACACCTTTGTGTGTTAAAATACTGGGAAGGCTCATCCTTTGACCATGACTCCAGGTGTGTAACTTTTGGGCTGGACGCCAGTGTTACTCCATAGCACGCCCACTTTTGCACCTGTTTCGTGACCTCCCCTTTCTGCCTCCCGGAAGTTGGCTAACAAGTCACAAACGAGACCAGTAGAGGATTTCTTTTTCCTGAGGTTCCTTCTGCTCCCGCTCACCCCTAGTTCCTAAACCGGTTCCTGAGTAGTTTCGTGGGTTTTTTTTCCCTCCCAAAGTAATTTTAATGAACTGGTTTGATTTTTCTGCTTTCAAATCTTTTTTTCCTATGATAAACCAGTAAAGCCATTAGAGCTGTCTAGTCTTAATTTACAGTGCACGTCATTTTAGGATTGGACGGGCCTTAAAAGTAATCTGGTCTCTTTACCCTACTTTGTGCCATAACTTGGACAATTCCAGGTATAAAAAGTCCAATCCCTTAGGGAGTCCTCTGCATTTGATCCACAGGGTCTGTGCCGTGACTAAGCTCCAGGACTGGTATGACATGTCACTCACTGCTGTACTCAACCAAGCCTAGCTGTAACATTTAACTCACAATGCAGAATCACTGAAATGTTTCACATTTTGTCTTTCTTTCTTTCCTTTTCTCCTTCCCTCCCTTCCTCCCTCCCTCCCACGCGCGCTCTCTCTCTCTTTCTTTCTTTCCCTTTTTTTTGAGACAGAGTCTAGCTCTGTGGCCTAGGCTTGAGGGCAGTGGCGGGCTCTCAGTTCACTGCAACCCGCCTCCCCAGGTCAAGAGGTCCATCCACCTCAGCCTCCCAAGTAGCTGTGACTGCAGGCATCCACCACCACACACGGCTAATTTTTGTACTTTTAGTAGAGACCAGGTTTCACCGTGTTGGCCAGGCTGGTCTTGAACTCCTGACCTCAAGTGATCCACCCGCCTCAACCTCCCAAAGAGCTGGGAATACAGGCATGAGCCACCGTGCCCGACCACATTTTGTATTTGTTTGTTTTACAAAGATAGAGTCTTGCCGCCTGTAATCCCAGCACTTTGGGAGGCCGAGGCGGGTGGATCACGAGGTCAAGATATCGAGACCATCCTGGTCAACATGGTGAAACCCGTCTCTACTAAAAATACAAAAATTAGCTGGGCATGGTGGCGCGTGCCTGTAATCCCAGCTACTCAGGAGGCTGAGGCAGGAGAATTGCCTGAACCCCGTAGGCGGAGGTTGTGGTGAGCCGAGATCGCACCATTGCACTCCAGCCTGGGTAACAAGAGCGAAACTCCGTCACAAAAAAAAAAAAAAAAGAGTTTTACTCTGTCATCCAGGCTGGAGTGCAGATGAAGCAGGATATTTCCCAGACCTCTCTTCGGGACTTGCGGCAGGGGTGCCTGGCTTACTCAGCCCGAAGCTCTCAACCCCTCGCGGGAGGGGGCGCGCAAGTGAATGGGGCTGGAAGCCAGGAACTCCTCTCACTCAGGCCAGCTGCACTGCACCCCTCTTGCGGGGATCCTGGGGGTAAGCAGATGCTACAGCCAGAGCAAGCGCTTTTGGGCACCAGCAGTAACGAACTGCATGCAGGTCCCTCAGCAGCGTCTGTGGGATGCCCATGACCCCTGAAGATCCGCAACCTGTCTCACAACCTGTCATGCTTGTGAAGTTTTGAGAGAATGTCTGCATAGTGTCTGCTGGTGTCTGGTATATAGTGTGCACTCAAATGCTAATCAGTTTAGTTGGGATAGTTGGTCTACCCCTCCAGGTGTTACCTCTGCAGCTCCATGTCCCTTCTAGACCCTATTTTTGGGCCATGGACTCCCACCAATTAGGCAGGAAAGTGTTGTTTGCCTCCATCTGGCTCCAGGCTGTGCTCCTGGAGTTTATGTGAGAACCTAACTCCTTTCCCAGCTCCAACTCTAATGTTCTCCACACCTTCAACCCTTCAACACACATAAACACACACATACACATGCTACCACACTGCCTGCTGTGCTATCAGCCTGCCTGAAGTTCACATCATTTTAGGATTGGACCAGCCTTCATAATTTAAATTTTGGATGGGTCTTCATAATTTAAATTTTATTATGAAAAAGTGATAATCTAAGGAACTCATTTAATTTTTGGCCTAAATGTCAAATATAGAGTAGGAAGCACAAATATCTGTTATAGAAATACTTAAGTCCTGTATACATTTAGACACTTATCCACAAACCCCTAATAAGTACATTTCTTTTTTCTTTTTTTAATCAAGTTATCTTGGTCAGAAAGTATCTCTAGTAAGTACATTTCTAAACCAGTTACTCAAGCTACATCCTCCCAGGATTGGACTTTGTTTCTATTTTGATAGGGACATAAACAAGTGACCTACTTTTTTACTAAAGTAAAGAGATAGTAAAGGGAATAAAATTAAGATTACATTTGAATTTTAACCTGTGTTTTTGTCCCTACTGCCAGCAAAAGTGTTTTATTATCATTATAAATGAATATACTATTCATTGTGCAGATATTAACATATTCATAAATAAGTTATTACCCAATGGTTATCTGATAAATAATGTGAGAAAATGTTAACATTTGGGAAATATGGGTGAAGAATATACAGGAATTATTCGTATGTAGTGTTTGTCAATCTGAAATTATTTAAAAGAATAAAACTGTCTCATTTCTGATCAATTATAAATTATTCAACCCAAAACTATGTTTAAGATATTTAAGTATGATTATATAAAATTTGAGATCCTTTATAAACAGTTATATATATTTTATTTGGGAGATCAGATTACATCTATTAAATGACGAACGGTAACAGCTGGTATTTGATAAAGTACTAAGGCAAATATAACATCATAAATGTATGCAATAGAATGGTTATAGAGGATATGTTGTTGGAAAGTACCAGAACTAGAATCCCAGTTTCTAAGCAACCTATAAATTGCTGGAAAATTAGAAAAAAATTTTTGAAAGAATATTTCAAATGGCTGAGAATCACCTTTCACTTGCTAAATAAGCATGTTAAGGGCAGAGTCCATTGAGATTACTGAAGTGTTCTATTAACAATTTTAACGAGAACTCCAGCAGTACTCTTAGAAGCACCCTTAAGAGTCTTGTCTGTGTTCCCTGTTGTGAGTGGCCTGGAGTGGGATACCTGCCTACCTCATATTACTTATATTTTTCCCTGACTTCATTTTATCTCCTCCTGCTTCCATACTTCATCACTGAACACTTGAGGTAAGATACTAATCTCTGTATATGTGTACCTATTTGTTATAAAGTAAACTTAGCATATACTTTTATTTATTCTTTAGTTGCAATGATAGAAAAGCATACTTTTAAATATCAAATCATAGTTGGTTAGATTATCAGATTGAACCAAGAAAATATGTTTATTTGTAAATGAAAATAAAAATTTGAATTTCAAAGGCTAATCATTCCATAAAAGTTTCCATTTCTATTCATAATTTAAATTTTATTTTGAAAAAGTGATAGTCCGAGGAACTCATTTAATTTTTGGCCTAAATGTCAAATATAGAACACAAATACCTATTATAGAAATACTTGAGAGTCCTATATTTACTGTTATCTGCAACTGTTTAAACACTTATCCACAAACCCCTAATAAGTATCTTTTGCTTCAAGACCTATATTCCTTTGACCAACCATTAGAAAATTGGATGTTCACTCCAGATATATGCTTTAAAAAAAAAGTGAATCGACTGGGAGTGGTGGCTCACACTTGTAATCACAGCATTTTGGGAGGTGGAGGTGGGAGGATCGCTTGAGGCCAGGAATTCAAGACCAGCCTGGGCAACATAGCAAGACCCTGTTGCTATTAAAAAAATTCGTTTTAGGCTGGGCGCAGTGCCTCACACCTGTAATTCTAGCACTTTGAGAGGCTGAGGTGGGCAGATCACAAGGTCAGGAGATCAAGACCATCCTGGCTAACATGGTGAAGCCCTGTCTCTACTAAAAAATATAAAAAATTATCAGGGCATAGTGGCATGGGCCTGTAGTCCCAGCTACTCAGGAGGCTGAGGCAGGAGAATTGCTTGAACCCGGGAGGCAGAGGTTGCAGTGAGCCAGGATCTCACCATTGCACTCCAGCCTGGACAACAAAACAAGACTCCATCTCAAGAAAAAAGAAAAATTATTGAGACTTAGAAGTTCTCTAATAATAATAAAAAAAGAAGAAAGAAAAATTAGTTTTAAATTTTAAATTAAAATGAAGTATAAGTATTAAAAAGGTCACTTGTCTGTTTCACACTTCAAATATTAAATGCTAGAAGCTACTTTTGCCTTTTTGTGAAGATAGAACCTAAGTGCCATTTTGTTCTGCTTATATGTTTGAATGCTTAATGTTCATTTCCAGAACAGAAGCTGTTCATACTTGGTGCACTGTGGACTCTTGTGATAATTAACCAAGAGTAGCTCTATTTGTCCAACCAAATACCTAAAGAAGAAAGAAAAATGGCTTGTGTTGAGTTTTCTTTTCATGTGCCAAGTCTAGAAGAGCTTGCTGGAGGTAAAAACAATATTAACTGGATTTTTAAAAATTATCTCAAGAGAAAATTCTTTTAAAAAGATTCCAACATCAGGCTGGGTGTGGTGGCTCATGTCTATAATCCCAGCACTTTGGGAGGCCGAGGTGGGTGGATTACCTGAGGTCACAATTTCAAGACCAGCATGACCAACATAGTGAAACCCCGTCTCTATTTAAAAAAAAAAAAAAAGATTCTAAGATCTATCTATATCTTACTCCTTACCTATATCTATCAAAATAATACTTTTGGTACAGAATTCATTTTCCATTTCAGCATCTTTTCTGCCCCATTTTTATTGAGAAAGTCCAAAATTCTGTTCCTCCAAAAAAACTAAATTTAAAATTTATGAATTCTTTTTTCTTTCACTTATAGATTATTGATACCAACTTTACAAGATGAAAATGACTAGTAATCCAAGACTTAAGTACATATGATGCCCATAATCGCACAATTTTGCTTTAACTTTTTTCACTTACATTATTCTTTAAATATATAATCTACTCTTGTATGTTAATCATGTTCCCAATGTACTTCCCCTCCCCCACTGATAATGGCAGACTGCCAGTGAACTTGCTTTGATTGCTTATATTTCACCTTGTTCAAACAAGTATTTAAGGCAGTTTCCCAAGATAAATTAGGAGGGAAGATAGGTTAAAAAAAAAAAAAAAAAGGAAAATAGAAACAGTACACAAAATGAAGCCAGGAATATTACTAATCCAAAGCTGTAAAGTCTGTCAGAATACCAACCTTTATTTGACAACCTATAGGTTCTGTTCAAATGGAAGCTATGGAACCTTCCCTTGTTTATCAAAATGTCGTGTTCTGGTAGTTCATTTGTCATTCTATTACGATTGAAATCAAGAAGTAGACTCATTTTTGCTTTCTTGTGACTTTTCTTCTTATAACCTTTTTCTTATCCTGATTGAATGGTAGCTAGTAAACAATCTGTATTGTTTGGCCTATATTTCTTCATTAGTCTGTCTTTCCTGAGATGACAGGACAGCTAGGAATTTTTTCTTTTTTGTAGACACAGGATCTTGCTATACTGCCCAGGATGCTCTTGAACTCCTGGCCTCACTTGATCTTCCTGCCTTGGCCACCATAGTGTTGAGAGTACAGGCATGAGCCACCATGCTTGGCCAGATTTTTTCTTTGATTGCTTTTCTAGAACCTGTTTTCACTTTTGTGTTTGTTTCTATTTTCCTTCTATATGTACAAGATATGTTTAGTAAAAATAGAAATTTTGTGGCTGGGCGCAGTGACTCATGCCTGTAATCTCAGCACTTTGGGAGGCTGAGTTGGACAGATCACTTGAGGTCAGGAGTTCAAGACCAGCCTGGCCAACATGGTGAAACCCCATCTCTACTAAAAATACAAAAATTAGCTGGGCATGGTGGTGCGTGCCTGTAATTCCAGCTACTCAGGAGTCTGAGGCACAAGAATTGCTTGAACCTGGGAGGCAGAGGTTACAGTGAGCCAAGATCGCGCCACTGCAGTTCAGCCTAGGCAACGGTGCAAGATTCAGTCTCAAAAAAAAAAAAAAGAAAAAAGAAATTTTGTCAGAACTTTTAATCCTTAAAAGTACACTGGCCAAAGCAGTGGCTCACACCTGTAATGCCAGCACTTTGGGAGGTCAAGGTGGGCAGATCTCTTAAGCCCAGGAGTTTGATAACGGCCTGGGAAACAAACCAAAATCCCATTTTTACAAAAAAACACAGAAATTTGCCAAGCCTGGTGGCACCCACCTGTCGTCCCAGCTACCAGGGAAGTTGATGTGGGAGGATTTCTTGAGTCTGGATATTAAGGCTGAGTGAGCCAAGATCATGCTGGGTATCAGTGCACTCCAGTCTGGGTGACAGGATGAGGCTATGAGTGGAACTCTGTCTCAAAAAAAAAAAAAAAAAAAAAAAAAAAATGCATTGAGGCTGGGTGTGATGGCTCATTGTAATCCCCCTGCACTTTGGGAGACCCAAGACAGGAAGATCACTGAGCCCAGGAGTTCGAGAATGGCCGGGCAATATAGCAAGACCTGGTCTCTACAAATAATAGAGAGAGAGGGGGAAATATATTGGTCTTACGTTAATAACTTTGAGACACCTATGCTTTTTTACATTGTTATTGAGATATAACTATCTACAGTAAAATACCCTAATTTTGAGTGTACAGCTTGATGAATGTTATCAGTGTTTACACCTATGTAACTACTATCTAGAGCAAAATGTAAATTATTTCCAACATCCCAGAAGACTCCTTTGCCCACCTTCCCAATCAGCCTTGATCCATTGCCTATTTTTGAGATGCCTAAGGTAAAGTAATACTGTATATTGTCTTTTGTGCCTGGCTGCTTTGCTCAACATTTTGTCTGTTACCTTCATTGAAGTTGTTACGTGTCATTGCTTACTTTTTAAAAAGTTTAAGTGTTTTTATTTCAGTTGGTTTTTGGAATCTTTTTTTCAAAAATGAATGTAATCCTCACCTTCACACAAGGTGCAGTCTGTTTATCTTCAACAATTGGAAATCACCGTAGATGAAGTATTCATGTATCTTAATCTACATTATACCTTGTGATTATGTCTGACGTCTAATTATATTCATTAATAAGACCGTTTCCCCCTTCTTTTTTATTATACAAGTTGAGGTGGGAAGTGTGTTGAGGGCACTTTAGGTAGGTGGTAGCCAAGTTTTTACATGAGGTTAAATAATCTTATTCCTTGTCTTTATTAGTTATGCAGATGGGGTTAAAAGATAACTTTGCTGATGTCCAGGTCTCTGTAGTTGAGTGCCCTGATTTGACTAAGGAACCCTTTACCTTTCCTGTAAAAGGTAAGCAATTTTTGCATTTAGCTTTTGTTTTTTAGTTGTAATCCTTTTTTGAAACTATTTTTAAGGACCTCTTAAATTATGTACTAATAAAGGATATTGTCACAATATTTAGGCTAAATTGTGCTAAATTTCTGTGTTCACTCTTCTGATATTGATTAAATTTCATTTCATACTCTTATGGAAAAAGATTGTGTTTTATGCACTTATATAATCTTCACAGAATATAGAATACATATCCAACAGGTTAAAATTCTTTATATCACATGAGAGTTTTGCTTTTAATTGCTCATACTATTATGGAAACTGATTTTAATTTTTATGATTTTATTTATTTAACACCAGAAGGGATCCTAAAAGCCTTGTATTTGAATAATCTATTAAAACTAACCCTTCAACAAATTTGCCAAGTGAGCATCCACTGTTTGAAGTGAGAAGGAAGGGAAATTAGTATTAGAATAAAATAATGTGTCCGTGCAATAGATAATTATTTGATGTTTTAGTTTTTACAATAACACTGCAAGATGAGTAGTAACCCTGGTTTATAGATGAGAAAACTGAAGCTTGGAGAGGGTAGGTAAGCTCAGTGCACATCATAATCAGGATTCAAATGCAAGTCTGTCTGTTTCCAAAGTCTAACCTTCTCCCATTATACCCTACTATGATGAGGAATTTGAGGATAAACACTCAAAGTGTTCTTTTTATTATGTAATTGATGTATTTGCTAAAAAGGAGTTTGCATAGAAATTCTGGTCTCTAGTTCTGTCTTAACATAGCTGACTTTGAGATACCTGAGGAGATTTGAATTGAATGTTCTTTGGAGGTCTTTCCAGCTTAAACAATCTTTGATTTTAAGTAGAGCTGTAAATTCTAGAAGGCTTGTGTACCATATGGCAATTTAACTTCTTGAAAGCATTTAGCATAATACTTTTTTTTTTTTTTAATTTTTTATTGGATTATAGGTTTTGGGGTACATGAGCAGAGCATGCAAGACAGTTGCGTAGGTACACACATGGCAGTGTGCTTTGCTTTTCCTCTCCCCTTCACCCACATTTGGCATTTCTCCCCAGGCTATCCCTCCCCACCTCCCCCTCCCACTGGCCCTCCCCTTTTCCCCCCAATAGACCCCAGTGTTTAGTACTCCCCTTTCTGTGTCCATGTGTTCTCATTTTTCATCACCCACCTATGAGTGAGAATATGCGGTGTTTCGTTTTCTGTTCTTGTGTCAGTTTGCTGAGGATGATGTTCTCCAGATTCATCCATGTCCCTACAAACGACACGAACTCATCATTTCTGATTGCTGCATAATATTCCATGGTGTATATGTGCCACATTTTTCCAATCCAGTCTATTATCAATGGGCATTTGGGTTGATTCCAGGTCTTTGCTATTGTAAACAGTGCTGCAATGAACATTCGTGTACATGTGTCCTTATAGTAGAACGATTTATAGTCTTTTGGATATATACCCAGTAATGGGATTGCTGGGTCAAATGGAATTTCTATTTCTAAGGCCTTGAGGAATCGCCACACTGTCTTCCACAATGGTTGAACTAATTTACACTCCCACCAACAGTGTAAAAGTGTTCCTTTTTCTCCACATCCTCTCCAGCATCTGTTGTCTCCAGATTTTTTAATGATCGCCATTCTAACTGGCGTGAGATGGTATCTCAATGTGGTTTTGATTTGCATCTCTCTGATGACCAGTGACGATGAGCATTTTTTCATATGATTGTTGGCCTCATATATGTCTTCTTTCGTAAAGTATCTGTTCATATCCTTTGCCCACTTTTGAATGGGCTTGTTTGTTTTTTTCCTGTAAATCTGCTTGAGTTGTTTGTAAATTCTGGATATCAGCCCTTTGTCAGATGGGTAGACTGCGAAAATTTTTTCCCATTCTGTTGGTTGCCGATCCACTCTAGTGACTGTTTCTTTTGCCGTGCAGAAGCTGTGGAGTTTGATTAGGTCCCATTTGTCTATTTTGGCTTTTGTTGCCAATGCTCTTGGTGTTTTTTTCATGAAGTCCTTGCCTACTCCTATGTCCTGGATAGTTTTGCCTAGATTTCCTTCTAGGGTTTTTATGGTGCCAGGTCTTATGTTTAAGTCTTTAATCCATCTGGAGTTAATTTTAGTGTAAGGTGTCAGGAAGGGGTCCAGTTTCTGCTTTCTGCACATGGCTAGCCAGTTTTCCCAACACCATTTGTTAAACATGGAATCCTTGCCCCATTGCTTGTTTTTGCCAGGTTTATCAAAGATTGTATAGTTGTATGTATGTTGTGTTGCCTCCGGTGCCTCTGTTTTGTTCCATTGGTCTATATCTCTGTTTTGGTACCAGTACCATGCTGTTTTGATTACTGTAGCCTTGTAGTATAGTTTGAAATCCGGTAGTGTGATGCCCCCCGCTGTGTTCTTTTTGCTTAGAATTGACTTGGCTATGCGGGCTCTCTTTTGGTTCCATATGAAGTTCATGGTGGTTTTTTCCAGTTCTGTGAAGAAAGTCAATGGTAGCGTGATGGGGATAGCGTTGATTCTGTAAATTACTTTGGGCAGTATAGCCATTTTCACAATATTAATTCTTCCTAACCATGAACATGGAATGTTTCTCCATCTGTTTGTGTCCTCTCTGATTTCGTTGAGCAGTGGTTTGTAGTTCTCCTTGAAGAGGTCCCTTACATTCCTTGTGAGTTGTATTCCAAGGTATTTTATTCTTTTTGTAGCAATTGCGAATGGCAGTTCGCTCTTGATTTGGCTTTCTTTAAGTCTGTTATTGGTGTAGATGAATGCTTGTGATTTTTGCACATTGATTTTATATCCTGAGACTTTGCTGAAGTTGTTTATCAGTTTCAGGAGTTTTTGGGCTGAGGCAATGGGGTCTTCTAGGTATACTATCATGTCGTCTGCAAATAGAGACAATTTGGCTTCCACCTTTCCTATTTGAATACCCTTTATTTCTTTTTCTTGCCTGATTGCTCTGGCTAGAACTTCCAGTACTATATTGAATAGGAGTGGTGAGAGAGGGCATCCTTGTCTAGTGCCAGATTTCAAAGGGAATGCTTCCAGTTTTTGCCCATTCAGTATGATATTGGCTGTTGGTTTGTCATAAATAGCTTTTATTACTTTGAGATACGTTCCATCGATACCGAGTTTATTGAGGGTTTTTAGCATAAAGGGCTGTTGAATTTTGTCAAATGCCTTCTCTGCGTCAATTGAGATAATCATGTGGTTTTTGTTTTTGGTTCTGTTTATGTGGTGAATTACGTTTATAGACTTGCGTATGTTGAACCAGCCTTGCATCCCCGGGATGAATCCTACTTGATCATGATGAATAAGTTTTTTGATTTGCTGTTGCAATCGGCTTGCCAATATTTTATTGAAGATTTTTGCATCTATGTTCATCATGGATATTGGCCTGAAGTTTTCTTTTCTCGTTGGGTCTCTGCCGGGTTTTGGTATCAGGATGATGTTGGTCTCATAAAATGATTTGGGAAGGATTCCCTCTTTTTGGATTGTTTGAAATAGTTTTAGAAGGAATGGTACCAGCTCCTCCTTGTGTGTCTGGTAGAATTCGGCGGTGAACCCGTCTGGACCTGGGCTTTTTTTGTGAGGTAGGCTCTTAATTGCTGCCTCGACTTCAGACCTTGTTATTGGTCTATTCATAGTTTCAGCTTCCTCCTGGTTTAGGCTTGGGAGGACACAGGAGTCCAGGAATTTATCCATTTCTTCCAGGTTTACTAGTTTATGCGCATATAGTTGTTTGTAATATTCTCTGATGATGGTTTGAATTTCTGTGGAATCTGTGGTGATTTCCCCTTTATCATTTTTTATTGCATCTATTTGGTTGTTCTCTCTTTTCTTTTTAATCAATCTGGCTAGTGGTCTGTCTATTTTGTTGATCTTTTCAAAAAACCAGCTCTTGGGTTTATTGATTTTTTGAAGGGTTTTTCGTGTCTCAATCTCCTTCAGCTCAGCTCTGATCTTAGTAATTTCTTGTCTTCTGCTGGGTTTTGAGTTTTTTTGATCTTTCTCCTCTAGCTCTTTCAATTTTGACGATAGGGTGTCAATTTTGGATCTCTCCATTCTCCTCATATGGGCACTTATTGCTATATACTTTCCTCTAGAGACTGCTTTAAATGTGTCCCAGAGGTTCTGGCACGTTGTGTCTTCGTTCTCATTGGTTTTGAAGAACTTCTTTATTTCTGCCTTCATTTCGTTGTTTACCCAGTCAACATTCAAGAGCCAGTTGTTCAGTTTCCATGAAGCTGTGCGGTTCTGGGTCGGTTTCTGAATTCTGAGTTCTAACTTGATTGCACTATGGTCTGAGAGGCTGTTTGTTATGATTTCAGTTGTTTTGCATTTGTTGAGCAGTGCTTTACTTCCAATTATGTGGTCAATTTTAGAGTAGGTGTGATGTGGTGCTGAGAAGAATGTGTATTCTGTGGATTTGGGGTGGAGAGTTCTGTAAATGTCTACCAGGTTTGCTTGCTCCAGGTCTGAGTTCAAGCCCTGGATATCCTTGTTGATTTTCTGTCTGGTTGATCTGTCTAGTATTGACAGTGGAGTGTTAAAGTCTCCCACTATTATTGTGTGGGAGTCTAAGTCCTTTTGTAAGTCATTAAGAACTTGCCTTATGTATCTGGGTGCTCCTGTGTTGGGTCCATATATGTTTAGGATCGTTAGCTCTTCTTGTTGTATCGATCCTTTTACCGTTATGTAATGGCCTTCTTTGTCTCTTTTGATCTTTGTTGCTTTAAAGTCTATTTTATCAGAGATGAGAATTGCAACTCCTGCTTTTTTTTGCTTTCCATTAGCTTGGTAAATCTTCCTCCATCCCTTTATTTTGAGCCTTTGTGTATCCTTGCATGTGAGATGGGTTTCCTGGATACAGCACACTGATGGGTTTTGGATTTTTATCCAATTTGCCAGTCTGTGTCTTTTGATTGGTGCATTTAGTCCATTTACATTTAGGGTTAATATTGTTACGTGTGAATTTGATACTGCCATTTTGATGCTAAGTGGCTGTTTTGCCTGTTAGTTGTTGTAGATTCTTCATTATGTTGAAGCTCTTTACCATTCAGTGTGATTTTGGAATGGCTGGTACAGATTGATCCTTTCTATGTGTAGTGCCTCTTTTAGGAGCTCTTGTAAAGCAGGCCTGGTGGTGACAAAATCTCTGAGTACTTGCTTGTTCGCAAAGGATTTTATTCTTCCTTCACTTCTGAAGCTCAGTTTGGCTGGATATGAAATTCTGGGTTGAAAGTTCTTTTCTTTAAGAATGTTGAATATTGGCCCCCACTCTTTTCTGGCTTGTAGTGTTTCTGCCGAGAGATCTGCTGTGAGTCTGATGGGCTTCCCTTTGTGGGTGACCCGACCTTTCTCTCTGGCTGCCCTTAGTATTCTCTCCTTTATTTCAACCCTGTTGAATCTGACGATTATGTGCCTTGGGGTTGCTCTTCTTGCGGAATATCTTTGTGGTGTTCTCTGTCTTTCCTGCAATTGAGTGTTGGCCTGTCTTGCTAGGTGGGGGAAATTTTCCTGGATGATGTCCTGAAGAGTATTTTCCAGCTTGGATTCATTCTCTTCGTCCACTTCTGGTACACCTATCAAACGTAGGTTAGGTCTTTTCACATAGTCCCACATTTCTTGGAGACTTTGTTCATTCCTTTTTGCGCTTTTTTCTCTGATCTTGGTTTCTCGTTTTATTTCATTGAGTTGGTCTTCGACTTCAGATATTCTTTCTTCTGCTTGGTCAATTCGGCTATTGAAACTTGTGCATTGCTTCGCGAAGTTCTCGTATTGTGTTTTTCAGCTCCTTTAATTCATTCATATTCCTCTCTAAGGTATCCATTCTTGTTATCATTTCCTCGAATCTTTTTTCAAATCTTTTTTCAAGGTTCTTAGTTTCTTTGCATTGATTTAATACATGATCTTTTAGCTCACAAAAGTTTCTCATTATCCATCTTCTGAAGTCTAATTCCGTCATTTCGTCACAGTCATTCTCCGTCCAGCTTTGCTCCCTTGCTGGTGAGGAGTTTTGGTCCTTTCTAGGAGGCGAGGTGTTCTGGTTTCGGGTGTTTTCCTCCTTTTTGCGCTGGTTTCTTCCCATCTTTGTGGATTTGTCCGCTGGTCGTCTGCTTAGTTGCTGACTTTTCGTTTGGGTCTCTGAGTAGACACCCAGAATGTTGATGATGAAGTATTTCTGTTGCTTGGTTTTCCTTCTACCAGTCTAGCCCCTTTGCTGTACGACTACTGAGGTCCGCTCCAGACCCTGCTTGTCTGGGGTGCACCTCTAGTAGCTGTGGCACAGTGAGGGATGCTACCAGTTTCTTTTTCTGCTCTCTTTGTCCCAGGATGATGCCTGCCTAATGTCAGTCTTTTCGATATAGAGGGGTCAGGGAGCTGCTTGAGGAGACAGTTTGTACTTTATAGGGGTTTAATTGCTGAGCTGTGCAGTCTGTTGTTCATTCAGGGCTGTTAGGCTGCTATGTTTTATTCTGCTGCAACAGAGCTCATTAAAAAACCCCTTTTTTTTTTTTTTTTTTCTCAAATGCTCTGTGTTGAGGGGTTTGGGCTTTATTTTTGGATGTCCGATCAGGTGTCCTGCCCAGCTAGAAGGCAGACTAGCCACTGTTTGGCTGTCGAGGCTCCGCCCTGCTGTTGTGTGATTCGCGCTGTTCCTGCCGGCTCTGCTGTGGTCTCCGCCACGCCCTGCGGCAGAGTCTCTTCATTGTAGCGTGTTGCCTCAGCAACGGCAGGCTGCGTCAGCAGTGGGCGTGTATCTCAGTAGTGACGGTTTGCCTCGGCAACGGCTGGCTGCGTCAGCAATGGGCGTGTATCTCAGTTGGGGCGGGTTGCCTCGGCAACGGCTGGCTGCCTCAGCAGTGGGCGTGTATCTCAGTTGGGGCGGGTTGCCTCGGTAGTGGTGGACGCCCCTCCCCCACAGAGCGTCTCGGACAGTCTGCTCGGGATAGTTTGAAATCCCGGTTTTGTTCCTCCCACTGGGTATCCCAATCCCCGCAATCCCCTGGGCTGGCCTACTGTCCAAGTCTCGTTCAGTCTCAAGTCCAGCCCTCTCAAGTCTCAGGTTGCCGGTTCAACAGGGCACCCGGACAAGCGCGCCCTGTGGGGATTGCTGGGTAGGGCCGGCCGCTGCCGCCCCGGCTGCCGGCTTTGCCAGGCAGACCTACTGCCTGGCGTCCCATGTCTTTTCTATACTTGGGAGTTTCCCCGTTCTGTGGGCAACAAAGATCAGTCTGGAAATGCCACTCTGACTCACCGTTTGCAGATTCAACGAGAAGAGCTCCAGTCCTGGGTTGTTCTCACAGCGCCATCTTGAGTCCTCCAGCTAGCATAATACTTTTTATAGTTTTTTTTTAAAATATGAGACTAATATATTTCCCCTGCATTAAGTAATTAATTAAAATTCAATCAAGGTCTGGAAACAGAAGAATACAAGAAAGAAGAAAAAAAATCATTAATCTTTTTTCTTTTTTTTTTGAGATGGATTCTTGCTCTGTCGCCCAGGCTAGATTGTGGAGTACAGCGGCGTGATCTTGGCTCACTGCAACCTCTGCCTCCTGGGTTCAAGCAATTCTCATACATCAGCCTCCCAAGTAGCTGGGATTACAGGCGTGCACCATGACACCTGGCTAATTTTTGTATTTTTAGTAGAGACGGGGTTTCATCATGTTGGTCAGGCTGGTCTTGAACTCCCGACCTCAAGTGATCCACCCGCCTCAGCCTCCCAAAGTGCTGGGTTGACAGGCATTAGCCACCATGCCCAGCTTGTTTTGTTTTTTAAGACCGTCTCAATCTGTTGCCCATGCTGGAGTGCAGTGGTACGATCTTGCCCCCGCCCACCACCTCCACCTCCCAGGTTTAAGCAATTCTCCTGCCTCAGCCTCCGAAGTAGCTGGAACTACAAGTGCACACCACCACACCCAGCTAATTTTTGTGTTCTTGGGAGAGCCTGGGTTTCACCATGTTGACCAGGCTCGTCTCAAACTCCTGACCTCAAGTGATACTCCCTCCTCAGCCTCCGAAAGTGCTGGGAGTACAGGTATGAGCCACTGTGCCTGGCCTAAGAATTTACATTCTATCAGAGCAAAATATTTTAAATTAAAAAACAAAAAACAATTTTAACCAAAAAAAAAAATACATTTTTTAAAGAAATAAGGCATTAAAGACATTGTTCAAATCTCACCCAATGCAGACTTTTAGCCCCAGTTCTAACCCTTGCCCTTGCCTTGTATTGCCTTTATTCCACCAACTATATAAGCCATGCTTGGTTATGATGATATTAGAGACACAGGTAGTTAAAACAGGACAGGGGTTCTAGCTACTTATATTTTCCAGTCCCTGAATATGAGACTGGAAATGAAACTCTATGAGAATGGAGAAGTTATGTACTGTTAATAAATTCATGTCTTCTCACATTTTATTATTAAATTAGATGTTTGCCTATTTTTAAGATGGCTTGTGCTTTTTCTTTTTTAAGGCATCTGTGGGAAAACTAGAATTGCAGAAGTAGGAGGTGTGCCTTACTTATTGCCTCTTGTAAACCAAAAAAAAGTAAGTACTTTTACTCTGCATGTTCACTTGAAGATTGTGAAGTTGCATTGATTACCCTGTTTATTATTAGAAGACCTGTTGCTCAATTGGCAAGGAAGTTGCCAATTGGACCAGTAATAAAAGATAAACCAGGGACTTTGTCAAGTTATGATTAAAATAATATTTTTTCCTCTTCTATAGGTTTATGATCTGAATAAAATTGCAAAAGAAATCAAGCTACCTGGAGCTTTTATTCTTGGAGCAGGAGCAGGTCCATTTCAAACTCTGGGGTTCAATTCTGAGGTCAGCATATGTAAGATAATTGTTTTACTTTTTGCTTTGATATTTGATTTGTCTTTTTGCTTTTAGTGCCAAAAATCCTACTTTCTGACTGAATTATAAATCTCTCTGCAGATTTAATACTACTTGATATAGATTTGTGGTATAGCACACACTCCAACTGGTCTAACTGTAATGAGTATTAACTTATAGTTTTAGATTTTCTTAGGTTATAGGTTCAGCCTTAAATAAATGCAGGGTCCTAGGGTATTCTGCTGAAGGTTTGGATTATAAATACTTAGATTATTACAGGATTGCTAGCTTCTCTATAAATCTTTGCTTTGGGTATGCAGGCAGCTTTGGATCAGAAGATGAATGGAATAATAGTGATCTGGTCAACTCCCTCTTCCAGACCAAATAGTAGGAAACTATCAGAATAGTATTATGGTTATTTATAAAAGTTAATAGCGATTACTAGTATATATTATTAGCATATGAAAATATTACTCTTTCTAGCTGGGCACGGTGGTTCATGCCTGTAATCTCAGCACTTTGGGATGCTGAAGTGGGTGAATCTCCTGAGGTCAGGAGTTCGAAACCAACCTGACCAACATGGAGAAACCCTGTCTCTTAAAAAAAAAAAAAAACAAACAAAAGCAGAAAAAGAAAAGAAAATACTTTGAATCTCATTAATAGAAGACTTCAGTCTGTTCATTGTCTTATAACTTCTTCAGATATGGCTATTGGTAGTCATACAAGTTCTTTGCAGAAACAATACAATTTGCCTAGTGTTCAAGTTAGGAAAAAAAGTTTAAAAGTTAAAAAGAAAAAATAAATTAATTAATTAAATTTAATTTTAAAAAAAAGTTTAAAAGTTAAAATAAGATATTTAATGCAAGTTATAGATACACTGTAGGAAATACTATAAATTTCTTTTTTTTTTTTTGAGACAGAGTCTTACTCTGTCTCCAGGCTAGAGTGCAGTTGCATGATCTCAGCTCACTGCAGCCTCCACCTACTGGGTTCAAGCAATTCTCCTGCCTCAGCCTCCCGAATAGGTAGGACTACAGGTGTACATCACCATGCCCAGCTAATTTTTGTGTTTTTTTTTTTTTTTTGAGACGGAGTTTCACTCTTGTTACCCAGGCTGGAGTGCAATGGCACGATCTTGGCTCACCACAACCTCCGCCTCCTGGGTTCAGGCAATTCTCCTGCCTCAGCCTCCCGAGTAGCTGGGATTACAGGCACACGCCACCATGCCCAGCTAATTTTTTTGTGTTTTTAGTAGAGACGGGGTTTCACCATGTTGACCAGGATGGTCTCGATCTCTTGACCTCATGATCCACCCGCCTCGGCCTCCCAAAGTGCTGGGATTATAGGCATGGGCCACCGCGCCCGGCCAATTTTTGTGTTTTTTGTAGCGATGGGGTTTCAACATGTTGGCCTCTTGATCTGCCCACCTTGGCCTCCCAAAGTGCTGGGATGACAGGTATGAGTCACTGCACCCTGCCTATAAATATCTTATAAAATATTTTTCAAGTTTTTTATGTCTAAAATTAAATATTATGTATTTTATGTTCTCTTATTAGGACTTGAACTAAGATGTCTTAAAAGGATTAAATGTTTTGTGACATTATTCAATATATTCTTATTGCAGAGATATAAAGATTGACTAATTACCTTACTTTCTTTTCAGTTTATGCCAGTTATTCAGACAGAAAGTGAATACAAGCCTCCTGTGAATGGAAGTTACTTTGCCCATGTGAACTCTGCAGATGGAGGGTGCCTACTGGAGAAATACAGTGAGAAACGTCATGATTTTGAGTGTGCATTACTGGCTAATCTTTTTGCCAGTGAGGGGCAACCTGGCAAGGTGATTTTGTCCATAAAAATACAATACTCCCTAAATGTTCTCAGATAGCTAAAAATTTGAACTGTTACTACCCTAAATATGGTTTTGCTAAGAAAATTAGAGCTTCACTTTGGGAGGCCAAGGTAGATGGGTAACTTGAGGTCAGGAGTTCAAGACCAGCCTGGCCAACATGGTGAAACCCCATCTGTACCAAAAAATACAAAAATTAATAGGGTGTGGTGGTGTGTGCCTGTATTCCCAGGTACTCAAGAGGCTGAGGTGAGAGAATCACTCAGACCCAGAAGGCGGAGGTTGTGGTGAGCCGAGATCGCGCCACTGCACTCCAGTCTGGGCCTCTGAGTGAGACTCTATCTCAAAAAAAAAAAAAAGAAAAGAAAAAATTAGAGCTTCCTAAGTCAAAGCTCTTTAACCCAGTAATGAAAGATTGAGAGAGTACTACACGCAGAGAAAAAGTTATCTTTAAAACTAATGTTAAGGATAATACAGCTGGAGGCTGGACACAGTGGCTCACGCCTGTAATCCCAGCACTTTGGGAGGTCGAGACGGATGGATCCCCTGAGGTTAAGAGTTTGAGACCAGTCTGGCCAATATGGCAAAAACCCATCTCTTCTAAAAATACATAAATTGGTGGGCATGGTGGCACACTCCTATAGTCCCAGCTACTTGGGAGGCTGAGGCAGAAGAATCGCTTGAACCTGGGAGATGGAGGTTGCAGTGAGCCAAGATCACACCATTGCATTCCAGTCTGGACAACAGAGCAAGATTCTATCTCAAAAAAAAAAAGAAAAGAATGATACAGCTGGTACAGTGGCTCATGCCTATAATTCCAGGGCTTTGAGAGGCCAAAGCTGGAGGATCACTTAAGGCTAGCAGCTTCAGACCACCCTGGGCAGCATAGCAAGACCCTGTCTCTAAACAATTTTTTTTTTTAATTAGCCAGGTGTGGTGATACATGCCTGTAGTCCTAGCTACTCAAAAGGCTGAGGCAAAAGGATCCCTTGTGCCCAGGTGTTTGAGGCTGCAATGAGCTATGATCATGCCACTGCACTCCTACCTGGGTGACAGCAAGACCTGTCTCAAAAAAAAAAAAGAATAATACTTAGTAAGCAAGACCTTTTTCTGAGAACCAAAAAATAATAGAATATTAATTTGGGGAGTGAGTTAGTCATCTACATGAACCACACAGCTAAAATAAATAATTCGTACTTATAGATAGTAAATAGGTTATTTGCTCCTTTCTGCAAATCACACATGCTCTAGATAGAAATGGTGGTACCAAAAACTTACAGCAAGAAGAAAGTAAGGAAAATTAATGCCTTACTTCATATTTACTTCCTGTTAGTACACAAAAGATGATTTCAGTGTTCGCTTTTGTGAAGGCTCTCCTATTTTGTAAGTGGAGGTTGCCTCTTCAGCTACTTTGAGATATGAGATTGGGAAGCGAAAATACTTAACTTCCTAGTTGGGGAGATAACACAGTACAGAATTTTAAGGGAAGTGAGAAAATGTAATCGTTTTCTCCTCACCCCCACTTACCAAAGGTTAATTCCTTTAAAGCAGGTAATTCTCCACCTTTTACTGCCTTGACATGTAGGTTAAGAGTCTCTAGAGTTCAGTGTAGGACTTGTCTATAATTCTCAGTTTCTCAGTTGAAGAAAGCATGCTTAAGACTTATCAGTAAATTACATATAACTGATACATATGCATGTGTGTGTTTGCATGTGTGTATATGTTTATATACATATATTTATGATTGATCAAGACTCACAGGGTTGCGACATCTAAACTCAGATCTGGGGGCTCTAAGCAAAGAACAGAATATTTGCTTGATAGCATTAAATTATATAATGTTTTACTTAGGTAGTTATTTTGCAGCATAATCAATGGTATGCATCTTTATTTCCTCTGTAGGTAATTGAGGTGAAAGCCAAAAGAAGAACTGGACCACTTAACTTTGTGACTTGTATGAGACAGACCCTGGAAAAACATTATGGAAATAAGCCTATAGGAATGGGAGGTACTTTCATAATTCAGAAGGGAAAAGTGAAGTCTCACATTATGGTAAGAGCCACGTGTGAATACATGCATGAAGGAGTTTGAGTATGTACACATGCTCAAGATCTTAGGATTGTTTTTTTCAAACGGAGCCTCAATAAATGAATGAACGTATGAATGTTGCCCAGGCTGGAGTGCAGTGGCACGATCTTGGCTCACTGCAGCCTCTGCCTCCCAGATTCAAGGAATTCTCCTGCCTCAGCCTTCCAAGTGGCTGAGTTTATAGGCATACACCACCACACCAGGCTCATTTTGTAGTTTTAGTAGAGACATGGTTTCACCATGTTGGCCAGTCTCCAACTGCTGACCTCAGGTGATCCACCCGCCTCGACCTCCCAAGGTGCTGGGATTACAGATGTTAAGACACGGTGCCCAGTCAGATCTTAGGATTGTAAAGTATATGTTAGGAATTCTACATTAAAAGACACTGTAAACAAATCCTTTTTACTATGATTGTATTCCTTTAAAATTTAAATGATAATATTGTAAATCAGATTGTGAGATAGTGTGTTTTTCTTTTTTTTTTTTTTTTGAGATGGAGTTTTGCTATTGTTGCCCAAGCTGGAGTGCAATGGCGTGATCTCGGCTCACTGCAACCTCCACCTCCTGGGTTCAAGTGATTTTCCTGCTCAGCCCCCAAAGTAGCTGGGATTACAGTCATTCACCACCGTGCCCAGCTAATCTAGTATTTTTTAGTAGAGATGGGGTTTCACCATGTTGATCAGGCTGATCTCAAAATCCTGACCTCAGGTGATCCACCCGCCTCAGCCTCCCAAAGTGCTGGGATTACAGGTGTGAGCCACCACACCTGCCAAAATAATGTCTTTGTCCATGTTAATATATTAAAACTTTATTTTGAATACATTTGTTTTTAAGATAAAGATAAATTCCAGGCCCACACAGCAACTCATACCTGTAATTCCAGTACTTTGAGAGGCCCAGGTGGGAGGACCACTGGAGGCTAGGAATTCAAAACAGCCTGGTCAACATAGTGATGTTGGCAGCAGCAGGCAGACTGAAGCGGCTGCAGCAGGGAGACACGACTGCGGCTGCACACTCCACGGAGCCAGTGGAAGCTGGGGACAAGTGGGAGTCCCATCCCTTCTGATTTGGCATGGGTGCTCCCTTGGTGCTGCTGCAGCTGTCCAAGCCATGGCTGTGGTCCCTGGCATCCCTGTGCTGTCAGGCTCCAGAGCAGGCAGGAGCCCTACCTTCCCAAGCGCAGCTGTAGCTGCTCAAACCCGCAGCTATAGACCTGGGTCTCCTGCTCCACGGAGCAGGCAGAAGCCCTACGTTCTCCACGAAGCTGTAGCTGCACAAACTGTGGCTACAGACCCAGGCATTCCTGTACTCTTGAGGGTCTGGGAAGACTCCCACTGCTCTTGCAGGCTTGGAAATGCCTGCTCCCACTGCCTGGCTTCTCCCTGCTGTCAGCGCCTGCTCCAATCCAGGAGCAAAGTCAGGCAGAGCCCTGATGTTGTCACAGCCCAGCCAAGTGTGCACACGCTCACGGAAGTGCTGATACACCAGCCCCCTGCCGCCCCAGCCCCCTCTGGATTTTGGGTGCTGACACAGCATAGAATGGAAACAGCCAGGGCTGAGGGCAGCTCGGCACTGACCTTCAGGCACCCTTTGGCACCTACAGCCTGGATTCTGTGAGTGGCAGCAGGAGGCAGACAGATTCCTGGACAGAAGGGGGCGGGTTTCCGGTAAGGCCCCACCTTCAGGGCAGGGAGGGCCTGAAGGCTGGGGCCCAGCGGCCAATCCCACAGACCAGACTGGAAACTTGTGGTGTCTTTTCCAGGCCCACCGTGATCATCCCACTGCACTCCAGCCTGAGTAATCAGAGCCAGACCCTATCTCACAAATAAATAAATAAATAAATAAGTGAATAAAATATATTTTAAAAAATTTTTAATTCTTAGTAACATTCAGTATGTTTACCTATGTAATTATCTTTTGTTGTAGCCTGCAGAATTTTCTTCCTGCCCCTTGAACTCTGATGAAGACGTCAATAAATGGTTGCATTTTTATGAGATGAAGGCTCCTTTGGTTTGTCTACCAGTTTTTGTCTCCAGAGACCCAGTAAGTCTGTGTCTGTTTTTTATATTATACTGCAATGATAATGCTTGATTTTTAGGCTAATCTTTTAAGAACGACGCACTTTTTGTGTTGTTTTCTCATCTTTTGAGACAGACTCTTACTGCCCAGGCTGGAGTACAACGGTGCTATCTCAGCTCACTGCAACCTCCACCTCTCAGGTTCAAACGATTCTTCTGCCTCAGCCTTATGAGTAACTGAGATTACAGGCATGTGCCACTGCGCCTGGCTAATTTTTGTATTTTTAGTAGAAACTGGTTTTCACCATGTTGATCAGGCTAGTCTCAAACTCCTGACCTCAGATGACCTGCCCACCTCCTCCCAAAGTGCTGGGATTACAAGCTGAGCCACCTTGCCCAGCCATGTGTTGTTATTTAAGAATTAGGGGGCCGGGTGTGGTGGCTCACGCCTGTAATCCAGGCAGTTTGGAGGCCACGGCAGGCGGATCCCCTGAGGTCAGGAGTTCAAGATAAGCCTGACCAACATGGTGAAACCCGATCTTAAAAAAAAAAAAAAAAAAAAGAATTAGGATAGCCTCTAGAATTATTTTGGAAGATAAGGGAGCTCTTCACCAGCCTTAGTTAGGCAGAACAGATTTTACCTTTGAGGAAATGAAGGCACAAGCATTTTATTTTATTTTTATTTATTTATTTATTATTATTTTTTTTTGAGACGGAGTTTCACTCTTGTTACCTGGGCTGGAGTGCAATGGCGTGATCTCGGATCACCGCAACCTCCGCCTCCTGGGTTCAGGCAATTCTCCTGCCTCAGCCTCCTGAGTAGCTGGGATTACAGGCACGCACCACCATGCCCAGCTCATTTTTTTGTATTTTTAGTAGAGACAGGGTTTCACCATGTAGACCAGGATGGTCTCGATCTCTTGACCTCGTGATCCACCCGCCTTGGCCTCCCAAAGTGCTGGGATTACAGGCTTGAGCTGCCGTGCCTGGCCTGGCACAAGCATTTTAAATAACATCCAAAATTATTTTATTAAATAGCAGGTGTAGCTGGTCATGGTGGCATACCACAGTATTCCCAGCTACTGAGGAGGCTGACTTTAACCCAGAAGTTTCAGACCAGCCTGAGTAACAGTGTAACCACCATCTCAAAACAAACAAACAATAGTAGAGTCACAACTAGGATTCAGGTCTCCTATCATCTTGTTTGGTGTTCATTATGTTACAATACTATATACTAGGGAAAGAAAATTATAGACCAGTTCCAAGCAAATGTCTACTATATTATTGGTGGTTTTTTTGTTTTGTTTTGTTTTGTTTTTGTGACAGAGCCTTGCTCTGTTGCCCAGACTGGAGTGTAGTGGTGCCATTTCATCTCACTGCAACCTCTGCCTCCTGGGTTGGAGCAATTCTTCTGCCTCAGCCTCCTGATTAGCTGGGATTACAGGTGCTCACCATCACATCTGGCTAATTTTTGTATTTTTGATAGAGACAGGGTTTTGCCATGTTGGCCAGGCTGGTCTGGAGCTCCAAACCTCAAGTGATCTGTCCACTTCAGCCTCCCAAAGTGGTGGGATACAGGTGTGAGCTACTGTACCCAGCCTGATCATATCTTTTGATTGAGTGATTACATTCAGTTGAGAAGTATATAAACAATGGAATACCATGTAGGTATAAAAGAATGAGGAAGCTCTTTTATGATTTGATATACAAATTTCTCAAAATTAAATTGTTAAGTGAAAAAAGTTATATGCAGAAAAGTGTGTACAAAATAATATATTTGAGTAAAAATAAATATTTCTGGAAGGGTATACAAGAAACTGCTTACATTGGTTATCTGCTAGGAAAGGTAGTGAGTGGTGAGGGCAAGAGAGAAGAAGATACATTTTACTGAATGTATCTTTTTGCACTCTTTGAATTTAGAACATGTGAATGTATTACCTATATAAAAATAAAAACTGCCACAGGAAAAGTTCTCCTTCCCCCTTAAACTCTAATCAGAATAATTTGAGTACTAACATGTTGTTTGTCTGTTGTCCTAGGGGTTTGATTTGCGACTGGAGCATACTCATTTTTTTAGTCATCATGGAGAAGGTGGACACTACCATTATGACACTACTCCAGATATAGTGGAATATCTTGGATACTTCTTACCTGCAGAGTTTCTCTATCGCATTGATCAACCAAAGGAGACTCATTCAGTTGGGCGAGATTAAATCAGCTGATACTTATTTAGAAAAAGAAATAATTACAGTTAATTAATTGTTGACTCATTAATTGATACATCTATAAAACCAACAGAAATGATCCCGCAGGCCAGGCACAATGGCTCATGCCTATAATCGCAGCCCTTTGGGAGGCTGAGGCAGGAGGCTCACTAGAGCCTAGGAGTTTGAGACCAGCTTAGACCAGCTTGGGCATCACAGCCAGACCCTGGCTCTATTTTTTTAAAAAGTCAAAAATAGAAATGATCTCACTACTTAAATCCCTTTTTTTTTAACTTCATATGAAAGGATATATTGACATTATATTCTATATTATTTCATAGATCTGTCTGAAAGAAATTGGGAACAAAAATATCTAATTGAGATATTCTTTAATTTTTCACATACCAGCTTCATTGTTTTTTTATTCTATACTTTTAGCAAAATCAGTCATGTTTATACCTTGAATATAAACATCAGGAATCATGCAATTATTTCTACTATGTATTAGTAGTAACTTATATTTGTATAACATTATTAAATTTTGCAAATTAGTATCACACACCTGCTAAGTAGATGTTTCTGAGCATGAGAAAAATCAGTGTTATTACCTGCATGACATTAAAAAAATTTGAAAAAGAGAAAAAGAAAAATCTGTGTTTAGAAATGTTGATTGTTATTGAATCTTTGTATTGAATTTTAAACATTCATTCTAGTAATCAGAGTATACTCTTTTCATGGAACACGGTGGCAGGTGGGGAGCCCTTTACCCTTCTGCTGAAGTTAAACCATAGAAGTTTGCAATTTGCCTTTCACCAACATTAACAGGCTGGGCATGGTGGCCGAAGCCTGTGATCCCAGCATATTGGGAGGCCGAGTGGGAGGATTTCCTGAGCCTAGGAGTTCAAGACCAGCCTAGGCACCATGGTGAGACTCTATCTCTATTATTTAAATCTTTTCTTAAATAAAAAATAAAAGCACAAGTATTAGCAACTAGTTGGTTAGCCGTAATTCCTCCCTTGTTTGGATTGCCCCTTAGAAGCAATTTGTATTTCGCTGGTATTTGCAAGAGAAGGGGGAAAAACGGCATCAAAATGCAACACTGGAGTGAGCTTACTTTAATTTGTAATTGAGGCTGTTGCTGAACATGACCACTGTACTTGCTGAAATATAAAATTATACTCACTGATTGTAATGGCTGAAATTTTCCTGGATGTTCTTTGAATAATCATGAGCCAAAGATCAACTCTCTAATGGTGCTAATGCCAATCTTGCTAATGTGCAAATTTAGGAAGCCTTTAGTACTAAGTAAATAATTTTCAAATAATATCTTTAATTGTCTACTTTGGATGTTAGCTATGTCTTATGAGTATAAATTCCTATTATTTTAAGTGTGATTTTGATGCAAAAAATGAATTTAAAAATTTATGAAATATATTTTTAATATCTTACCTTCAGAGAAAAACAATATTAATAGTCTTTTATTTAACAAATATTTATTGAACACCTACCCTGTTCTCTGGAGTGTACACTTTATGCGGGTAATGACCTTGTTCATGACTGTAGCACTAGTGGCTTTAACAGTGCTAGCTCCATCAAGTCATTTATTTAAAATAAAATAAAATAACATAAAAAAACAGTGCTAGCAAAGTATTGCTTGGATGATTATGCCAAATACTTTACTAAAGCTGGGGATCTGTCTAGTGGGGAAACAATAAATATATAATATGTTAGATGGTATTAAGTGCTATGAAAAGAAATAAAGCAGTAGATGGATTGTAAAGGAGGATGCTATTTTTTTGTGGCCATCCCACAATGAGACAGGATACATTCCACATCCAAAATTTGGTTCAGATATCCAGACTGACAGCCAGGTTCAGCAGCTCACACCTGTAATCCCAGTACTTAGGGAAGCCAAAGTAGGAGGATCACTTGAGTCCAGGAGTTCAAAGCCAGCCTGGGCAACATAGAGAGGCCCCATCTCTGCAAAAAAAAAAAAAAAATTAATTATCTGGGCACGGCTGTGCACACCTGTTGTCCCAGCTGCCCAGAAGGCTGAGGCATAAGGATCATTTGAGCCCAGAAGTTGAGGCTGCAGTGAACTATGATTGCACTGTTGCACTGTACCCTGGACAACACAGTGAGACCCTGTCTCAAGAAAAAAAAAATGACTGATGAAGCCACACACACACCAACAGAATATAAAAGGGTTGTGACTCACATAATGAAGCTTTCTGGGGAAAGCAGGGAAGCTCCTAAGCAAATCCAAAAATGACTTGACAACAGGGAAGGAGACTGACTTGGGGTTTTTATGGTGGTTAGGAATTAGGGCAAGAGTGATGTTTCTTGCATGTGGTTTGAATTTCCCACTGATATCAAAGAAGGGAACATCCAGGCTTTACTTTTTTTTTTTTTTAAGAGATGGGGGTTCTCACTATGTTGTCCAGGCTGGGCTCAAGTGATCCTCCTGCCTTGGCTTCCCAAAGTGCTTGGATTACAGGCCTGGGCCACCACATCTCGCCAGTACCCAGGCTTTTTTAGCTTGCCAGAGGTGTGGGGCAGAAGGGGAAGTGGGGTGGGGTAAGGCTTAAAAGCCATCAGCAGTCAAACATATATTAAGTTAGATTCTTAATTTCAGATTTCAGATCTGATTTCAGATCAGATTCCAGGTGTGGAGATTATCTGAAGTAGTCCTGGGCCTCTTCTCACTATAAACACTTCCTTTACTCTTCTATTAGTGTTCTCCAAAATGGGGTACATGGACAGCAGGTGTACATGACCTTCCAAGGGGTGTGTGGATATTAGGAGATCCACTTATATATTTTATTTCATCCTTTTAAGTTTCTAGCTTTGTGTACGTTTCTTGTATTAGGGATTTCAATTCAAAATTATATTGCTAATAGACACAATTCAAGAAGCTTGGAGACTAGGTACATTTACAGCATCTAATAGAGATCGGGGCGGCGGGGTAAATCAAAATCCTTTTAAATTTTTTCTTAGTTTTATTTTTTTATAGAGACAGGATTTCACCATGTTGGCTACGCTGGTCTCCAACTCCTGGCCTCAAATGATCTGCCCGTCTCAGCCTCCCAAAGTGCTAGGATTACAGACAAGAGGCACTGTAGTGCTCTTCTTACTCTTACTCTTAAAGACCCTTACCCAAAGTGCTCTTCTTACTCTTACATTCACTCAGTACAACACAGAATGCGTCTGTGACCAAATGCATGGGGTTTTTCCCACATACCACGCAATTCTCCAGCGGACGTCAGCAGGGGGTCCTATAATTTAATTCATTTCCAACACTATTTACTTGGAGATAGCATCAGATCCCTCAGTTTAATGGTTCAGTCCTCAAAGACTGCCTCCTGATTTCTGATGCCAATCACAAGCTTCAGGTTGTCACCTATATTTCTGACTAACCCACTGTAAATTGAGGTCTCTATGCCCACCTCTTCAGGTTTGATTAATTTGCTTAGAGCAAATCACTGAACTCAAGGAAACATTATACTTATATTTTTCAATTTATTAATAAAATATATAATAAAGTATACAGATGAACAGCCAGATGGAAGAAATGCATAAGGAAAGGCCAGCAGAAGTCTAGAGCTTCCACACTATCTCTGGGTGCCCCACCTTCTAGGCACCTCCACATGTTCAGCAATTTGGAAGCTATCCAACCCTTTTCTTTTGGATTTTGTTTTGTTTTTGTTTTTGAGACAGGGTCTCACTCTGTCACCCAGGCTGGAGTGAGCAGTGGCATGATCTCTGCTCACTGAAACCTTTGCCTCCCAGGCTCATGCAATCCTCCTATCTCAGCCTCCTGAGTAATTGGGACTAACAGGTGCATGCCACGGCATCCAGCCAATTTTTGTATTTTTTGTAGAGATGGGGTCTCACCATGTTACCCGGGCTTGTCTTGAACTCCTGGGCTCAAGTGATCTACCTGCCTCTTCCTTTCTTTGGGGATTTTATGGAGGCTTCCTTATGTGGCAGAATTCATTAAATCATTGACTATTGGTGATTAGCTCACCCTTCAGCCTCTCTTTCGAGGTTGGGGTTGGGATTGAAGGTCATAACTCTTTAATCACAAACTTGGCTCCTAGGCAAGAAGCCCCCATCCTGAAGCTATCCGGGAGCTTCTAGCATGCAGAAACCCATTTATCATTGTCATTTCATTAGCATACAAAAAAGCCACTAATCACTTTGGGGGTTCCCAGGGTTTTAGGAGCTGTGTGTCAGACTACTGGGATGAAGACTATTTATACATACTACATAATCTTATACATCACAGTGTCATACCATCTTTCCAAACCTAAAATAAGAACACAGATAAACCTAAAGAACTTTGATCCAGCCAGGTGCAATGGCTCATGCCTGTAATCCCAGCACTTTGGAAGGCTGAGGTGGGAGGATCACTTGAGCCCAGTCTGGGCAACATAGTGAGACCTTATCTCTACAAAAACTAAAAAAATTTTGCTGGGCATGGTGGCACATACCTGTAGTCCCAGCTACTTGGGAGGCTGAAGTGGGAGGATCACTTGAGACCTGGAGGCTGCGCCTACAGCAAACCGAGATGGCACCACCTCACTCCAACCTCGGCAACAGAATCAGATAGATCATGTTTCTTTAAAGAAAAAGAAAATGTTATCCAAAAGACCACCAGGATGGCTAAGCAATAGAAAGGAGAGCTTTATTGGTGATTTCAGCTTGCAAAGCTGGAAGAAACAGTCTCCAGCTTATGCCACAGGTACTCTCTCTTCCCAGAGGGAAGGGAGCAGGTTGGTTTTTATGCCTCACATGGCCTGTATCACACAATAGAGTAAAACATTAAGCATGTTTGGGAGAAAAGTTATGTATATATGAGGGGAGTTGAACACATGTGCAATGGATAAACATATATGTAACACATCCCATGTTCACTTTGGGGTAAGGTTCTAACATTAAAATAAGGTGGAACTTGGCTCTTCATGTCAAAAGGTGAACTGCTGGACACAAAGTTTGCATGTAGTCTCTATAAACTGGCTGAAACTGGCTTGAAGACTTCAGTTGCTTATCAGGAAAGAATGTTTGTAAAACTGGTTCTTTGTCCAATCAGAGCTATAGTGGTTTGGATTGTAAATCAGGGTTAGTAAGGTTCTGGCAATTTTCCCAATATTTTTAGCGAATTTAGCAAGAGTGGTTTTTCTTGTAGCCTTAGGAGTTTGCAAAGTTGGCATGCCAGCCAAGCCCTGAACCTTCCACCCATAGGTAACTTTCATTTCCTTAACTTTAGGGTTCTTCTTAGTTGATAAAGGAGCATCTATTTTGGTCTTTCATATCATAGAACACAATCTGACAGGGCAATTTGTGTGACTAAATTAGTGAAATATTAAAATCTGAATTTTCCATAGAAAATCTGGTATATTCAGCCAGGTGCAGTGGCTCACGCCTGTAATCCCAGCACTTTGGGAGGCTGAGGCGGGCAGATCATGAGGTACAGAGTTCAAAACCAACCTGGCTGATATGGTGAAACCCTGTTTCTACTAAAAGTACAAAAATTAGCCAGGTGTGGTGGTGCATGCCTGTGTAGTCCCAGCTACTCAGGAGGCTGAGGCAGAAGAATCGATTGAACCCAGAATGTGGAGGTTGCAATGAGCTGAGATCATGCCACCATACTCCAGCCTGGGCAACAGAGCAAGACTCTATCTCAAAAAAAAGAAAGAAAAAAAAAATCTGGTATATTCATTGGCCAAATCTATGATTGCTGTTCCTAGAACTCCTACCTTTAGCCTCATTTCTCTGATATGCTCTGTTTTTCTGACTCTAACTGACCACAACGAGGATTAACTTCTTCAAATTTATACTAACACTTGATATTATTTGCATTGGCAACCTGATATTTGTCACTACAGTAGATACCTGATATGGTTTGGCTCTGTGTCCCCACTTAAATCTCATGTTGAATTGTAATCCCCAGGGTTGGAGGTGGGGCCTGGTGGAAGGTGATTGGTTCACAGGGGTGAGGGGGGGTGGTGGTTTCTAATGGTTTAGCACCATCCCCCTAGTGCCATCTTGTGATAGAATTCTCCCAAGATTTGCTTGTTTGAAAGTGTGTAGCATCTCCCCCTTCACTCTTTTTTTATCTCATGCTGGCCATGTGAAGATGTGCCTGCCTCCCCTTTAAAAAAATTTTTTTTTCCTTTCTGTTTTTGGACAGGGTATGGCTCTGTCTCAAAACAATGGCGTGATCTCAGCTCACTGCAACCTCTGCCTCCCAGGCTCAAACCATCCTCCCACCTTAGCCTCCAGAGTAGCTGGGACTACAGGCGCATGCCACCACACCCAGCTAATTTTTATTTGATTTTAATTTTTTAAAATTTTATTTTAGAGGCAGGGGTTCATCATATTGCCCAGCCTGGTCTCGAACTCCTGGGCTCAAGCAATCCTTCTGCCTCAGCCTACCAAAATTCTCGTACAGGCATGAGCCACTGTTCCCAGCCTGCCCGCTTCCCCTTTGCCTTTGCCCCATTACTGTAAGTTTTGTGAGGCCTCCCTGGAAGCAGAAGCCTATACAAACCACAGAAACACGAGCCCATTAAACCTCTCTTTTTTATAAATTACTCGGTCTCGAGTATGTCTTTACAGCAATGCAAGAACAGACTAATGAAACACCTAAATGCAGATTTCCACTTGCTTTTGGTTTTAAAGCTCAGCTTCCTTTTAGTTTATCTGAAGCCTCTGTGTGGCCTAATCTTTCAGTAGCAATTCACTATTCTGTACTGGTACTAGTATATACTTATACGTACTCTACTGATATATATGGTACATAATTTCCTGGTACATACTGTGCCAGGTACTAGGAATACAAAGATGAATAAGACATGGTCCCATGACCTGAAAGAGCTCGGTCTAGTGGGGACACTGACATGCACAGGGGAGAAGACCAAGCATCCCTTCACTTTTTCTGAAGGCTTATTGAAAATAAACTGACAAAAAGCAGACTAATAGGAGAAAACAGCATGCAAACTTTATTTAATATGCATAAACATGAGGGAATTTCAGGAAAATGATTACTCAATCCAATGAGGTCCAGATGTTTATATACCCTTCTTCATAGAGGAAGGGGAAATGGTGGGTGGAGGGGTATAGGAGTAAAAGATTTTTAGGGGAAATGAATGAGCTCCAAGAACAATGGCCTGGAACAAAGTTATTTTGATCTCTGCAGGAGGTGCCAGGAAGATGAGGGGAAGAACTTTACTCTGAGCAAAGGTTATCTTATTATATAGATAATGTCTCCCAGGTAATCCTCTTGGAACTGCACTCAGAAGAATAAATGAAAAGCCAGGCCGGGCATGATGGCTCATGTCTATAATCCCAGTACTTTGGGAGGCCAGGGCAGGCAGATCACCAGAGGTCAGGAGTTCGAGACCAGCCTGGCCAACATGGAGAGGCAGGAGAATCACTTGAACCCAGGAAGTGGAACCGAGATCCCGCCACTATATTCCAGCCTAGGTAAAAGAGTGAGACTCTGTCTCAAAGAAAAAAAAAAGACTGTCTGGACATGGTGACAGGTCCCAGTCTGTTTTTGGTGATTAACCTTTTCTGGTTATTTGGTGAGATTCCTAGGGAGGGGAATCACTGCATTTTTGGGGGGCGGAAGAAGCTTCCCTACTCACAAAAGGAAATTCCAGAGTCCTTCCCGATGTTACAGCGAAGGAAGAAGATCAGAGAGATCCCTTGGTTCTGAGGCTTATTTCTGAGACTTTTTTTTTTCTATATTTTTTGTTCATATTTTTTTGTTTTTGTTTTTTTAATTTTTAATTTTTTAATTTTTTTCTGACACTTTTTTTAATTGCATTTTAGGTTTTGGGGTACATTCAAAGAACATGCAACATTGTTGAATAGGTACACACATGGCAGTGTGATTTGCTGCCTTCCTCCCCATCACCTATATCTGGCATTTCTCCCAATGTTATCCCTCCCCAACTCCCCACCCCCCACTGTCCCTCCCCTATTTCCTCCCGACAGACCTCAGTGTGTGATGCTCCCCTCCCTGTGTCCATGTGTTCTCATTGTTCAACACTCACCTATGAGTGAGAACATGCGGTGTTTGATTTTCTGTTCTTGTGTCAGTTTGTTGAGAGTGATGGTTTCCAGGTTCATCCACGTCCATACAAAGGACATGAACTCATCATTTTTTATGGCTGCATAGTATTCCATGGTGTATATGTGCCACATTTTCCCTGTCCAGTCTATCATCGATGGGCATTTGGGTTGGTTCCAAGTCTTTGCTATTGTAAACAGTGCTGTAATACATTTGTGTGCATGTGTCCTTATAGTAGAACAATTTATAGTCCTTTGGATATATACCCAGTAATGAGATTGCTGGGTCAAATGAAATTTCTATGTCTAGGTCCTTGAGGAATTGCCACACTGTCTTCCACAATGGTTGAACTAATTTATACTCCTACCAACAGTGTAAAAGTGTTCCTATTTCTCTACATCCTCTCCAGCATCTGTTGTCTCCAGATATTTTAATGATTGCCATTCTAACTGGCATGAGATAGTATCACAATGTAGTTTTGCTTTGCATTTCTCTCTCTCTTTTTTTTTTTTTTTTTATAAAGACAGGGTTTTACCATGTTGGTCAGGCTGGTCTTGAACTCCCAACCTCAGGTGATCTGCCTGCCTTGGCCTCCAAAGTGCTTGGATTACAGGCATAAGCCACCATGCCCGACCTTGATTTACATTTCTCTAATGACCAGTGATGATGAGCATTTTTTCATATGTTTGTTAGCCTCATATATGTCTTCCTTTGTAAAGTGTCTGTTCACATCCTTTGCCCACTTTTGAATGAGCTTGTTTGTTTTTTTCTTGTAAATCTGTTTTAGTTCTTTGTAGATTCTGGATAGTAGCCCTTTGTCAGATGAGTAAGCTGCAAAAATTTTTTCCCATTCTGTTGGTTGCTGATTCACTCTAATGACTGTTTCTTTTGCTCTGCAGAAACTGTGGAGTTTGATTAGGTCCCATTTGTCTATTTTGGCTTTTGTTGCCAATGCTTTTGGTGTTTTGGTCATGAAGTCCTTGCCTACTCCTATGTCCTGAATGGTTTTGCCTAGATTTTCTTCTAGGGTTTTTATGGTGTTAGGTCTTATGTTTAAGTCTTTAATCCATCTGGAGTTAATTTTAGTGTAAGGTGTCAGGAATGGGTCCAGTTTCTGTTTTCTGCACATGGCTAGCCAGTTTTCCCAACACCATTTATTAAACAGGGAATCCTTTCCCCATTGCTTGTTTTTGTCAGGTTTGTCAAAGATCAGATGGTTATAGATGTGTGGTGTTGCCTCTGAGGCCTCTGTTCTGTTCCATTGGTCTATATCTCTGTTTTGGTACCAGTACCATGCTGTTTTGATTACTGTAGCCTTGTAGTATAGTTTGAAGTCCAGTAGTATGATGCCTCCAGCTTTGTTCTTTTTGCTTAGAATTGACTTGGCTATGTGGGCTGTCTTTTGGTTTCAGATAAAGTTTAATTTGTTTTTTTTCCAGTTCTATGAAGAAGGTCATTGGTGGCTTGATGGGGGTAGCATTGAAACTGTAAATTTGGGCAGTATAGCCATTTTCACATTATTAATTCTTCCTAACCATGAGCATGGAATGTTTCTCCATCTGTTTGTGTCCTCTGTTATTTCATTAAGCAGTGGTTTGTAGTTCTCCTTGAAGAGGTCCTTTACGTTCTTTGTTAGTTGTATTCCTAGGCATTTTATTCTCTTTGTAGCAATTGTGAATGGCAGTCCATTCTTGATTTGACTCTCTGTAAGTCTGTTATTGGTCTGTTATTGGTGTATAGGAATGCTTGTGATTTCTGCACATTGATTTTGTATCCTGAGACTTTGCTGAAGTTACTTACCAGTTTCAAGAGATTTTGGGCTGAGACTGAGACCTTTTAATATTCCTTAATTCAAAGCACTCAGCATGCCAAAGTGCCATATATTAACAGTTTTGTTTTCTAAACCCTGACTCAGGTGAAAAAAGAAGTAAAATAAAAGAGAATAAATCCTATCAGTATTACCCTATATTGTTTTTGTTTGTTTGTTTGTTTGTTTTTTGTTTTTTTGAGATGGAGTCTTGCTTCGTCGCCCAAGCTGGATTGCAATAGTGCAATCTTGGCTCACTGCAACCTCTGCCTCCCAGGTTGAAGTGATTCTCCTGCTTTGGCCTCCGGGGTAGCTGGGACTAAACAAATGCTTAATATTAGCAATGTTAATAGATGGGGAAGACTTTCCTTTACAAGCTCCCACTAAACTTTAGTTTTCATGTCTTGGCACTACTATCATTAACTGTTGCCCATAAAGCATAGCTCTTTTTGCAATGGGCTTAGGACTACGCTAATAGATTATTAAAAAAAAAAAAAACTTGTT